AAAACACCATGGAAAAAATCACCTCCCGGCAGCAAAACACCATGCCTCTGAAGGACGGAGAAGCCCCAAAATTGCACCTCGAAAATGCCTAACATAACTTCTGAAACCGATAGAAAATGATGCTTTTGGCTCCTTTTTCCTCTTGCTGCTACTATGACTTTTGGCCACCTTTACATCCGGTCCCCAAATGGGAAAACACCATGGAAAAAATCACCTCCCGGCAGCAAAACACCATGCCTCTGAAGGACGGCGAAGCCCCGAAATTGCACCTCGAAAATGCCTAACGTAACTTCTGAAACCGATAGAAAATGATGTAGAAAATGATGCTTTTGGCTTCTTTTTCCTCTTGCTGCTGCTATGACTTTTGGCCACCTTTACATCCAGTCCCCAAATGGGAAAACACCATGGAAAAAATCACCTCCCGGCAGCAAAACACCATGCCTCTGAAGGACGGAGAAGCCCCAAAATTGCACCTCGAAAATGCCTAACGTAACTTCTGAAACCGATAGAAAATGATGCTTTTGGCTCTTTTTTCCTCTTGCTGCTGCTATGACTTTTGGCCACCTTTACATCCAGTCCCCAAATGGGAAAACACCATGGAAAAAATCACCTCCCGGCAGCAAAACACCATGCCTCTGAAGGACGGAGAAGCCCCAAAATTGCACCTCGAAAATGCCTAACGTAACTTCTGAAACCGATAGAAAATGATGCTTTTGGTTCCTTTTTCCTCTTGCTGCTGCTATGACTCCCCTGCCGCAAAACACCATGCCTATGAAGGAGGAGAAGAAGCCCCAAAAATTGAACATCGAACATGCCTAACGTAAACCTTGAAACCCAGAGAACATGATGATGAATGATGCTTTTGGCTGCTTTTTTTCCTCTTGCTGCTGCTAGAATTCTGGCTACCTGTTCCGCCTGCTGCTGCAGAGGCTTTTGATTCTGCTGCTGCTGCTGCTGAGTCCTCGGATGGGGCACACACATGGAAAACTCAACTCCCGGCCCAGCAAAACACCATGCCTCTGAAGGACGGAGAAGCCCCAAAATTGCACCTCGAAAATGCCTAACGTAACTTCTGAAACCGATAGAAAATGATGCTTTTGGCTCCTTTTTCGTCGTGCTGCTGCTATGACTTTTGGCCACCTTTGACCCGGTCCCCAAACGGGAAAACACCATGGAAAAAATCACCTCCCGGCAGCAAAACACCATGCCTCTGAAGGACGGAGAAGCCCCGAAATTGCACCAAGAAAATGCCTAACGTAACTTCTGAAACCGATAGAAAATGATGTAGAAAATGATGCTTTTGGCTCCTTTTTCCTCTTGCTGCTGCTATGACTTTTGGCCACCTTTACATCCGGTCCCCAAATGGGAAAACACAACGGAAAAAATCACCTCCCGGCAGCAGTAGCAGTAGTAGTAGTAGGAGGAGGAGTAGTAGTAGTAGTAGCAGTAGTAGCAGTAGTAGTAGTAGTAGTAGTAGTCGTAGTAGTCGTAGTAATAGTAGTAGTCGTAGTAGTCGTCGTAGTAGTAGTAGTAGTAATAGCTGGCGGTGGCAAACTCTTGTCTTATTCCCTGGCGCGCTCCCCCTGCGCAGCCGGGGTCGGCGGATATAGAACACATAGATTTTTTTTGAAGGCTGCTGGCTACTGGCTGCTGCTGGCTGCTGGCTGCTACCTGCTGCCTGCTGGCTGCTACCTGCTGGCTGCCTACTGCTGGCTTCGTGCCTTCTGACTGCTGGCCGCTGCCTACTGGCTGGTGGCTACTGGCTGCTGGCTGCTACTGCCACTGGCTCCTGGCCACTGGCTATGTGCATTTCTAGCCCGTTTGAGAGGCTTGCTTAAAAGTAGTAGCAGCGCAATACCTCTTCTTCCCTTACGCGCTCCCCCTTGCGTCGGCCGGGGTCGGCGGACATAAGACGGTGGACTATTCCAATAAAATCACTAAGGTTTTTGATGGTAGGCTATGACCACGGCTGCCAGGCCCACATTGGCCATCTCCCAGTTGGAGCTCTTCACAGCTGTGGAGGCGGTGAAAGGTCGCATGGGAAGCAACTTCTTTGCCACGCAATTTCAGTCGCATGCCTCAAAGAAGCAGCCCAGGAAAAAAAACACAACGAAGAGTTGCATTTTTCTTTCCTAGTGTTTTTGACCTTGTGGGGCGGGACTTATATAAACACACACACACATATATATATATATATTTATTTATGTATTTATTTATTTATTCATGTATTTTATTTATTTGGAGTTACATGCCACCATCTATGTCTACATCCGCCTATAACATTTTAGGTGAGTTAATGACCCTTGGTGGCAAGTCAAGATAGTGGAATATATTCGGAATAATCCCGTTCACATGTGGAAGCTCCGGATAGACTTCTGTCACAGTAATGGTCTCCCAAAATTACCACCGTTTGTGGTTGACCTTCTCAATGGGAAAAAAATCGGTCGATCTGGGAACCCCATATTGATCATATTGGAACACTGATAACGCTGGAACACCCCTCCACAACCGAGGCTCGAATTTCAGGTGTCCATCACCAATTGGCTGGGCCGATCTGACCAGGCACGCCATGGGACGACGCCTGGAACAGTGGCCCAACAGTAGCCGGTGCCGATGTCCATGTCAATCTGATCTTAGCGCTCTTTGCGCAGAATTTCTTTGAGCCCACTAAATCTGATTCTCTTAAAGTCTCGCAGAGTTGGAGGGATCGAAAATGGTACACCTATTCTTGATGGAAATGAAAACAACGGTTTTTCCTTTAATTCCCGCGAGACACCAGATGATATTCCACGCAAAGCAGCCTGAATGTCATAGTGAGCCCCGCCCCAACTGAACTCGAACTCCCCCCCGTGGGGGAAAAATACAATTCCAACTTGAGCCCGTGCCGAACCCGAACCGAACCTTTTCGAACTCGAGTTTGAGCAGTTCGAACTCGAGTTGGAACAGTTCGAACCTGAGTTCGAACTCGAACTCACACCCCCCCGGAAGGCAGTCCCACAACTTCCCGAACCCGAACTCGAACCCCAACTCAACCCCCATGGCCCCATGGCCCCCGCAGCTCCGACGTAGCTGTCATACCCTAATTTTTTTGAGTTGTAGTTTGCCAACCGCGCATGTTTTAAGCCATGAAACTTTCGCAGTGTTTGTGCTTTGCCGGGCTCTCCTCAGCATGATCTAATGCAACGGCTGCAATCACAATGCTACTGGCAGGGTCATAGTTTGCCAATGTTGCAACGATTGCTGGAGCGCCTCCTGTGCAGAGAAGCCGAGGGGCAAGGCCGTTGTATGCTGCGGTCATTGCAACACAGTACAGTGCCGTGCAATGAAATGGGGGAGGGCAAAGGCAAAGGTGACGCCATCTTGGTTTGCATGGTGATGGGTCCTGTGACCTTTGCTTGGCGAAGGGCAAGGGCAACGGCATGTTGCGCTGCGAGCATTGCAGCAAAGAGCTATGCCTGCAGTGCAACGAAAGGCTCGAAGACACTGGAGAAAAGATTCAACATGCAACCGTGCCAGCCCCCTCCTGTGGCCTGTGCTCCGAGAAAAGGAAGGGCAAGGGCATGGGCATGTTGCCCTGACACCATATATAATTATTATTATTATATAGTTGAACTTAATATTACATTAAAGCTGTAATATTAAATTGAAATTAACAAAATAAATCAATTTAGTCCATATTTATGATTTATTAATAATACCTTATATAATTTAATATACTTAATATATTGAATATATGAACCAAATTATTAAATTAGCTAAATGTATTTAATACACTAATTTGTTCTGCTTAATATTATATATATATTAAATTGTTTATATATACCAAATACTTATCTAATACTAAAAACGGTTTTTGGAAATTTGCTATCCAAGAAAAATATTGAATTTTAGAAGCTAATGCTTTACATGGAATTTCATATGAAAGCAAGGTTGTGATATTGAGGTTGCAATATAAAAGTATTCAGTTGATTTAATATATTTAAAACATCTATATTTCGAATGATTTTAAGGCTGTAATCTTAAATTATTGAATGAATATCTATCAGGTGCTTGTAACTGTCGACAATTGAATAATCACATAACATAGACCCAACTATTCCCACGTACCCCTCCAAAAAACACATGTTTCGAAGTGAATTCAAACTCGAACTGCCTCCCCCCCGGCACGACCTCCCGAACCTGAACTCGAACTGAACTCGAATTCCCCTCTCCCACGTGGAAATAAGAATTTTATGTTGTTTTCGAGCTGAATTCGAACTCGAACTGCCCCCGCCCGCCCCTTCCCGTGGCGCGACCTCCCGAACTCGAACTTGAACTCGAACTCCCCCCTCCCCCCCTTCAGGGAAAACAATGTCATTCCTCTTCGAACTGGAACTCGAACTCGAACGCCTCCCCCCGTTGCCGTGGCAGAAATTGTGGAATTCGAATTCGAACTCGAAACCTGATCCCCCGCAGTTTGAACCCGAACCAAACAGTTCTCATCCACCGGGGGCAACCCCAAGTTTGAGGCCACAGTCGTGGTGGATCTGGAGAACTCAGAGGAGCCAATGCCAATTGTCACGCCAACCTCCGCAGTGTCAACCACAATCTACAACAGCCGCCCGGCTGAGAAATTCTGGAGCTCATGGCACGGCATTCATGGCGTCCAATTGAATTTCATGGCCGTCATGGTATTCGTGGCATTCATGGCATTTGTGGCATGGCGTTTGAGGTGATCCTGTGGCCTTTTCCGTGCAGACACTCTATGCCCCTTGATGCAGCGCTGGCGCCATAGAAATAGCCGTCAAGGCATGCTATGTAAAAGTATACTTATATAAATGTTTGGTTGGTGGTTTCAAGATGTGTTTCCCGAAAGGTCCTGCGAACGGTTTGTCCCAAAGAATTGCTGCCAAATTCCACTTTTCACGTCGTCTACATAACATCCCCTACTTCCTTTATATCACCTACATCATCTACATCAACTTCATCTACATCACATACATCATCTACATCACATACATCATTTACATCACATACATCATCTACATCATTTATCTACATCAACTTCAATCATCAACGTCATATTCATATTCATCATCTACATCATCTACATGAACTGCAATCAACTTCATCTACATCACATCACCTACGTCAACTTCATCTACATCACATACATCTATCTACATCAGTAACACAATCTACAGGCGCTCCCTGCCTATACATCTCCTACAACAACTCCTACGATGTCATTTGCACGGGAGTTATTTCACAGGAGTTCTTAGACAGGAGCTCTGAGACAGGAGTTCTTTGAAAGGAGTTGTTACGCAGGAGTAGTTGCACAGGAGTTGAGTTCTTACATGGGAGTTGTTACACAGGATTTTACTTGTAGGTGATCTACTTGTATCTGAATCCCTACAAAACTCCTACTTTTCAAGTTCTTCTAGATTCTCTCTTTGGGCGGCAGGGGCAGCTAGGCGGCGGGTTACGAATGTAAAAGTCCCTGCTTGTAAAAGCTCCTTATTGTGACCAACAATCACCACCACCGCTAACACCACCATCATCATTCATCATGTTTTTTTCCTGTGTATTTTTTCTCGCCTCCTGACTCGCTGGGGTCCTCCCAGTCATCCGAATAGACGGCATTGATACATACAGATACACATTTGATATAATACGTAACTTCATTATCACTCATTCTACATTCTACATCCTTGTGCATCAACAACCTCAGTCATCATTCATCATCTTTCTTCATCAACCATCATCCGTCATCTTCATATTTTCTTTTTCATCCTCTTTTGATCTAATCTACTCCCTCCTGCTCTTCTTTCGGGCCACAGCGTCGTTTAGTAAGTATTTGCAGTCTCCAGCCGAGTGGTACTGAGACTCCTTTGCTCTTGTTTCCAACCTTCTGCTGTGGCACTGCTAGCTGTAGATGTTTGGACAAAGTATGCTGCTGCCAAAGCAACTGCTTACATTGAGCCTGCGATTGCTTAAAGATAATCAAGCAAATCTGTGGTTTTCGGTGTTCATATCTTTGATCTCCATCACTGAGGCCGACACATCGAGCTGCTCAAACACGAACTCCACACCTCAGCAGATAGTTGTCACGTGGGAATACAGCGAGAACTTCGGAGCCTACCAAGCTTTTCCTGTTAGTCTGAGACTTGCCTGAATATCAGAGATGGTTGAAACATGTTGAAACAATTGGAAAGCTTGGTGGATGGGCTATAGTTTGCCACTCAAAGTCGGCTTTTAAAGACTTGGTAGATTTGGGTATCAACGATCATCCACGAGAAAAGGAAAGACCTGGATCGCAGCCCTGGCGGCATCCGCTTCAATGGCTACACCTTCCAGAGCAACACCTTTCACCAGTTCCGTGTCACAGCGCAGTACGAAGGTGCCTCGAGCGTGTGGCTCTCAGAGTTTACTCGTTGGCAGGTGGCTTTGTCTGAAAATGATCGGCCAATCATCAAATTAAAAGTCATTCTCCGTATTAACATGACAATAATTTGCATAAACACAGCATGGCCATGCATAGCCTAGTTTCAGACACTCGCATGGCTAAGATCCATTGCAACCATGGGAAAACATGGTGGGCTACACCTTAAGGCGGGAGCACGGCAGTATGTCTTCAATCTGACCGTGGCACCTCCTGCCCCACCGGTGGTGCGTATCATTGGCCCCAGCAGCGTCTCTGATGCTTGCAGCTTCAGAATCTTGGCTGTGCTGATGCTCAATGTCATCCCCGGATTAAAACCGTACGCTGTTTGCTTGTGGAGGTCTGTTCATAGCAGATTTTATTACTATGTGGGGCACGCCCCAAGAGTTTATTGATCCGGGGTTGACATTATGGGTTAACAGTTAACATCATTGATCCCCCAAAGTTGATTGTTTTCTGAACATTGGTCATGTCACTAAAACAGCGCCGCAAAAGGTGCAACCAGGCAAAAGCGGGAAGCCTTCGATTCCAATTGATGGTGTGCTAGTTGAGTACACCAATGAAAAAATATAATGACGCACTCTGTAGCTGGCGATGGAGAGAGAGAGTGACGGATTTTGTGGGCGCCGTTTTGGGTCGCAGGGAGGTGGGCTGTGAACTCAGGTTTGGATGCATCGGGATCTTATGATCCCTCACTGCAACCAGGAACTGCGGCGGACCTGGCACCTTGGACAGCAGGAATTTCGTGGCGTTTCACTGCTAGATATTGAGATTGTTGCTATCATTTTGATTGCTAATGATTATTATCGTTTGTGTTATCACGCATCATTATATATCTATATAACTATATGTTTTTTAAGGTCCTTTTAAAAATCTTCTAAGTGCAATTTCCATGTGTTGAAGTCATTTTTCCTTTGATAATCCAATATTTCCTAGTGAAAACATCGGAAATCATATTTCCTATGGCCAAGGCATTTGAGTGGTCCTGCGTGTCTTCAACCGGGAGCGACTGTGCACTCAGCAACTTCGCCACTCCCACAGCCACTGATGGCTCCGGCACAGCTGGTGCACAAATCACCGTGGCAGGCGTGGAAATCCAAACATGACGTGCCAGAATCTGGAATTCCAATATGATATGTAGCATTGTGTAGCTGCATTCGTTACAAGATATTCAGAACAAACCCACGCATTCATACATACATAACATACATACCTTCCTACCTACATACCTACCTACCTACATACCTACCTACATACCTACCGACCTACCTACCTGCATACCTACCTACCTACATACCTACCTACACACCTACCTACCTACATACACACACACACCTACCTACCTACATACAGACACACCTACCTACATACCTGCCTACCTACCTACATACCTACCTGCATACATACATCACGAAAGGTAGCTCCAGTGGTGCTACCTTGAGTTTTGCTTTACGAAGTAAAGGGGATGCTGGCCAGCCCAGCTCCCTGATTATTCAGGAGGCTGCTGTTCATTTTAGATGCCCCACCCCACCCCCCCGCCTCCACCCCGTCACAAAGTTTAAAATCATACCCAAAACACTGTAATTAGCAATTTACATGGGCTTTGTCACTTTTGCAGGGAAAAATCACTGCTTGGAACATGCCTAAAAACTGCGCAAATACCAGTGTTTTTGCTCGGTGCTGTCGAAAAGACATTGTAAATTACCATTGTCTTTTTCTACCAGAAGCAAAAAACATCGCAAATACGGTGGTTTTGGGCTTCCGAGGCGCAGAAAACATCGGTATTTACCGTGTTTTTTGCTCCGAGAGTTTTAACAAAATGGAAAACACAACCTATTTGACGATTTTCGGCCACTACGAGATTGAGAAAAAAGCTGCAGGGGCAGCAACAACAACAACAACAACAACAACAGTAACAGTAACAGTAACAGAAACAGTAACAGTACCGTGGTTTTTGGCCTGTGAGGCGCCAAAAACATGGACATTTGGGGTGTTTTTTGTCCCGAAGGTTTGTAAAAAATTGGCTTAGCACAGCAATGACCCCTTGTGGGGCCCTGCGCGCATCACCGACATCATCAACAACGTAACGACAGCAAGCATTTGACTTTGGATTCTTTTGTTTCATCGTTTTTTGCGATTGTGCTGTGGTGACGCATTTTGCACCGATACGCTTCTACAAACAGGCGACGTTACGCACAGAAACCTTTACACAGAGCAGCTTTTATGCGCAGATACTCTTACACAGAGAGGTTTGTGCACAGATAAACTTTTACACGCCGCAGACGCCTTTACACAGAGGTCTTTACGCAAAGAAATTTTATACACAGACGCCTTTGCACACAGCCGCTTTTACACACAAAGACGCTTTTACACACAGACGCTTTTACACACAGAGACGCTTTTACACACAGATGCTTTTACACACGGGCGCTTTTACACACAGACGCTTTTACACACGGACGCTTTTACACACAGGCGCTTTTACACGCAGACGCTTTTACATACATACACTTTTACACAGAAATGCTTTTACGCACAGACGCTTTTACACACAGACGCTTTTACACAGACGCTTTTACGCACAGACGCTTTTACACAGAAACGCTTTTACACACAGACGCTTTGCACAAAGATGCATTTACACACCTTCATAAAGGCACACAGGCGCAATTGCACACAGAACCTTTTACACAGAGAACACAGAACAGCTTTTACACAAAGACACTTTTACGCAGGAAACCTTTGACACAGAAAAATTGCCCACACAGACTGCACAAAGAAGTTTTTACACACCGAAATTTTCACATGCAGAAACTTTGCCCAGAGCAGCTTTTACACACAGAAACTTTTCCGCACAGAAACCTTTACGCACAGAAGTCTTTATGCACATCAGTTTTTACATTGACCCTTTTACCCACAGATGCTTTGACACAGAAAAACTTTTACACGCAGAAGCTTCTGCACACAGCATTACACACAGCCAGCTTTTACACGGAGAGGCTTTGCTTCCCCTTCTTCATGACCTGACCGACCTTTCGTTTCCCCCCTCTCAAGTACCTATTTACCTACCTACCTACCCTACCTACCTGCCTGCCTACCTACCTACCTCCACCATCCATCCATCCATCCATCCATCCATCCATACATCCATCCACCCATACATACATGCATACATGCATGCATGCATACATACAGACAGACAGACAGACCGATATACATATACATATATATATATAGATATACATATACATATACATATGCATATATACATATACATATACATATACATATACATATACATATACATATACATATACACACACACATACATACATACATACATACATGCATGCATGCATGCATCCATACATACATACATACATACATAGATAGATAGATACATAGATACATACATACATACATACATACATGCATACATACATACATACATACATACATTCTGCATGCATGCATGCATGCCACACACACACACACGCACCTGCACACACTCACATATATGATCATTTATGTATATATATATAATTATATATACATATATTTATACATACATATTTTTGATATACACATATGTACATGTATTCACACGTACATGATGTTTTGATGTTGCAGTGTCCATGAGTCCATGGCACACATTCCGTGGGAGTAACTCTTGATTGGCCGTGAAAGAGCTGCTGATTGAAGGTGGGGAATTAGCAGAGGGCTTCTACAACTTCACCGTTCCCAGTCGGCACAATGAAATGCACGAGATTGAGATGAACCCTAAAAGGGGTTTATTTTTCATCACCCCAGTGCGGGTAATAACAATAAATCTACACTTGGGATGGTTATTCAGAAGCCATTTCTGGTACCTGGTAGAATTGAAGTGGGTTTGTTATTGGCATCACAAAACTACCAGATTTCCTTTGCACTAATAGGGGATGGATGCCTTTTGCTCAGGTTTCTGTGCGGCGAACTGGGGAGACAGAGGCGAACCCGGTGTCAGCATAGGGAAATCAATCAAGTGTCAAGATATCGCCAAATACTGAAATTTCCATCCTCCCTTCGGGCTGTTCTCAACAGTTTCCAACATGCTTCAATATCTTCCAACATTTTCTCAAGATGTTTCAATATCTGGCCAAACTTTCAACCTTTCTTGAGCACCTTTGAACAGCGAAGTGCAGGCCACAGTCTCCCTTTGGCAGCTTGAGATCTCCGCTGGAGCGCTTCCGCCTGTGTCCATTGCAGTGCCATGGAGCGAGGGGGAGGCGAACACCTGGCACTTGCCTAATGGTCGGCCACAAAAAATGCCACTATAGTTTGTACATCCTGTAGGTAGGTAGTTAGAAAGTTCAGTAGTTCGGTAGTTGGTTAGTTGGTTAGTTGGTTAGTTGGTTGGTTGGTTGGTTAGTTAGCTAGCTAGCTAGTTAGTTACTTTAGTTTAGTTTAGTTTAGTTTAGTTCAGTTCAGTTTAGTTTAGTTTAGTTTAGTTAGTTTAGTTAGTTTAGTTAGTTTAGTTTAGTTTAGTTTAGTTTAGCTAGTCTAGTTAGTTAGTTAGTTAGTTAGTTAGTTAGTTAGGTTAGTTAGGTTAGTTATTTAGTTAGTTAGTTAAGTTAAGTTAAGTTACGTTAAGTTTAGTTAGTTAGTTAGTTAGCTAGTTAGTTAATTTGTTTGTTTAGTTAGTTAGTTAGTTGGTTAGTTAGTTAGTTAGTTAGTTAGTTAGTTAGTTAGTTTAGTTAGTTAGGTTAGTTATTTATTTATTTAGTTAGTTAGTTAAGTTAAGTTACGTTAAGTTTAGTTAGTTAGTTAGTTAGTTAGTTAGTTTAGTTAGTTTAGTTAGTTTAGTTAGTTTAGTTAGTTTAGTTAGTTTAGTTAGTTTAGTTAGTTTAGTCAGTCAGTCAGTCAGTTAGTTAGTTAGTTAGTTAGTGAGTTAGTTAGTGAGTTAGTTAGTTAGTTAGTCAGTTAGTTAGTTCGTTATTTCTTTATTTCTTCATTTCTTTCTTTATTATTTATTTCTTTTTTTATTTTTATTTACTTCATTATTTATTTATGTATTTATTGTTTTTTCTTTTTTTAGTTAGTTAGTTAGTTCGTTAGTTTGTTAGTTAGTTAGTTAGTTAGTTAATTAGCTAGTTAGTTAGTTAGTTAGATAGTTAGTTAGGTTAGGTTAGTTAGGTTAGGTTAGTTAGTTAGTTAGTTAGATAGTTACTTAGGTTAGGTTAATTTAGTTTAGTTTAGTTTAGTTAGTCTAGTTAGTTAGTATTGTTTAGTTAGTTAGTTAGTTAGTTAGTTAGTTAGTTAGTTAGTTGGTTAGTTAGTTAGTTAGATAGATAGATAGATAGTTAGGTTAGTTAGTCAGTCAGTCAGTTAGTTAGTTAGTTAGTTAGTTTGTTAATTAGCTAGTTAGTTAGTTAGTTAGTTAGTTTAGTTAGTTAGTTAGTGGGTTAGTTAGTTAGTTAGTTAGCTAGTTAGTTAGTTAGTTAGTTAAGTTAGTTAGTTAAGTTAGTTAGTTAGGTAGGTAGGTAGGTAGGTTAGTTTAGTTAGTTTAGTTAGTTTAGTTAGTTTAGTTAGTTTAGTTAGTTTAGTTAGTTTAGTTAGTTTAGTTAGTTTAGTTAGTTTGGTTAGTTTAGTTAGTTTAGTTAGTTTAGTTAGTTTAGTTAGTTTAGTTAGTTTAGTTTAGTTAGTTAGGTTGGTTAGTTAGTTAGTTAGTCAGTTAGTTAGTCAGTTAGTTAGTTAGTTAGTTAGTTTAGTTAGTCAGTTAGTTAGTTAGTTAGTGAGTTAGTTAGTTAGTTAGTTAGTTTAGTTAGTTAGTTAGTGGGTTAGTTAGTTAGTTAGTTAGTTAGTTAGTTTAGTTAGTTAGTTAGTTAGTTAGTTAGTTGGTTAGTTAGTTAGTTAGTTAGTTAGTTTGTTTTAGTTAGTTAGTTAGTTTAGTTAGTTTAGTTTAGTTTAGTTTAGTTTAGTTAGTTAGTTAGTTAGTTAGTTAGTTTACTTAATTTCTACAAAGTTGAATTTAGTTCAGTTCAGTTCAGTTTACTTTATTGGTTAGTTGGTTGGTTAGTTAGCTAGTTCGCATATTTCGACATGCAGATGTATGGATCTATAGTTTTATAAACATGTTTCAAGAACTCTTCCCTTTGATCTGCAATGGCCCGGATTTCTTGGCACAGGCCGTCTCCACTCAAATGGGCTGGCGCTTGGGGCCCACCATCGCAACGGTGCAGGGAAGCCAAGGCCGGGCAAGTCATGGCATCCTGCTGGTTGGGTTGCGTGTAGCCAAACCATCTGCCATGGTAGGTTGCACCGTGCCAACTTCTTGGGCTTGGAAATTCGTTCTGGTGGCCTCTTGAACAGAATTAAGATATTTAATAAACTCAATCTTCCATGTCTGCCTACATTTGGAAGTGACGGCAAGACCATTGCGAAGCCAAGGAAGACAACAGCCAGTCATCTATTCTGGCCTTCATGAGCACTTCCATCTCGGGCTCTGGCTCGCTTACCCTGAGCACTTCCGAGTTCTTGGATCGATTTTTGATTCCAGGCTGGATTTGCGGCTAAGAGTGCTGAGGGCTTATGCATTCCGACAGCTGATTTCTTGAGGCAATAGATACTATTATGCCATCCTCCAGGCAGCGAACCAGGAATCTTGGCTGTGAAATTCGCTGGGTTTATCCAGCATAGCCATGGCTATCATCCAGCATCCCTTTTTTCCGGGGAAGCCTGCAGGGAATCCTTCGGCCGTGAGGCAGAGATGGACATCCTTGAAGCTGGGCCTTTGGATGACTTGGGTCGAGCCATGGCCCTTGGGGCAAAGGTTGTGAAATCAGCAGCGCTGCTCGGTGGATTTGTGCGAAGGTGGACATTTCCAGATAGCAATCAAATAATCTATGATGTGGAATAAAAGGAGATAATAACTGATGACTTGGGGATACTTGGGGATTCTGCACCTTATTTTGATGCACCGGTTTCCAATGATGGGAGTACCAAACCGGTACAACCTCTAAAGATGACACACTCTGTTTGGGTCGAGTTATCTCTGGAGCCTACGCCAAAGTTGATGCCTGTGCCCCTGACCTGCAGGTTCCTGGCTGATGGACCCCCTTCTGGAGGAATTGTGCAGTCCAGCCCACAAGCCGGCTATGCTGTCACAAACTCCTTCTCTGGCACCACCTTCGCTTGGTATGATGAAGATGTGCCTTGCCATGCTGATGTCATCGATGCAAAAAAACTGGAGAAATGATATATAAGTAAGGTGTGAAGATGAGTCAGTGCTTCGGCCAAGGTTAGCACTCTGTCCTATGCCTTCTATTTGCTTCCATTCCGGCAGCCCCTGTGGAGGCAAAAAAGTGCTCACAGAGATATATACCAGTGCATGTCTGCGGAAAAACTGGTTGAGTATATCGGCACATACTTCTGCACGCATCTATAAAGAATTAACAAGTAACAGTTCCGGAATTGAACTTCCGGCGGTTGCTTTTTGAGCTCGTTGACACTGAGTCACTGGTCCCCAAGGAACCTGACCATGACCTCCGACGGCAATGGAGGCATCGTCCTGGATGGCCAGTTCCAAAATCCTGTGGTGGATCCTTGGATCTATTTGGTGGTGAGGAAGGAGCAAAGGCAGCTAAGGAGATATGAGTATCATTGAGTATCCACATTCCCTGGTAGCCACTGGGAGCCAAGGAGCTATGAATTGAGCCAACCACAGGATAGAATTAAGAACTTTGGGGGTTATATGTTCCAAACTATGGACATTTGAATTCGGAAAATGATGATCAACCATGGGCATTTGTGAAAACAATCAACCACCCAAAATGTAAACAACATCAATTTTGTGGGTGTGAACCGAAAAATTCTGACCCCAGTTGCAGTCCACAAAAAAAGCCTCAAGCCTCATCGAAACCGAGGATTGGACCAACGTCAGCAGTCCCTTGTATTGGTCCCGTCAGGGAGGATCATTCCTCAAGAATGTCTCGGACCCAAACGCAGCACAATGGGATGTGAGCGTGGCTTGGTTTGAAGTTATGTCAAGTAATGTCAGACTGTCAGACCAAATATTCTTCAATATTCCAATCTTCAAGATATTTCAGTGACGAGTAGAGGCTGATCCTGGAGTCCTGACCTGGCTTCTTTTAAATGTCATTTGAATTATTGCTCCGCACGTGTAGCAAAGCCGGGTTGCTGTGAAGGTTGGGGTTGGTGCCTACGTGATGGCAGCAGTTGCCAGAGACCGTTTTGGAGCGCGACTTGCTGTGCTGTTCCAACCCACGTGTAGCCACAGTTCATTTATAGAAAGTTAAGGTACGCGCCCGAACCTCCCCCAGCGGGTTTAATAAGACTTCATACAGATTAACAGAAGAATGATTTTGACTCTGCGGTCAGGAGCCGTGACTGCGGCATATACACCCGGTCCTCTAGTGGAAGCCCCACCAGGAGCTAACGCGGACATGTGCTTTCGATCTGCAGTCAGTTAGTACGGTAACGGTTGATTCATTTGGTGCCAGTTGAGTCACACAATTGACTGGTCAGCTGTTGCCTGGTTCTGCCAACCCTTCCAGCCCCTGAAAGAGTGTCAAAGTGCGTGCCATGCCAGGAGGCGTAAGCCCTGAGTTGGCTGCAAACCTGCTGGACACTGCCCTTTCGAGTGGTGATGAGACGGTGATTTTGGGAGCCCTTGGTTCCCTCACATCGGTGCCAGTGGCGGCTCGGAATTGGGATCAGGTGCACCACTTTTTGCTGCAGTTTGAAAATGCACGTTACCGTACCTTTGAGATCCTTTGAGTAAATTAACGCAGACCCTGAAAATAGCCTTTTCTTAGTGGAAAGACATCTTCCAACCTGTCATTTTGCGGGGTCTATGTTAGCTTTCTCATTCACTACGAAAGTGTATTTGATCTGAACACGTTTCATCCCAAGGCTAGCGCCGACGCAGCGCAAGCAGAAGCCGTGACAACAAAGAAATTGGAGGCAATGGTCGAAAATCATGGAACTCCTCAAATGACGTACATGTATATATCTGGTACAAATCGCCAGAATCTGCTAAAGATGACATTAGAACTAGGTGCACGGCTTACATTTCGCCGTGAGTCAAATGACGATTTGAGGATGTCCATGTCGTGCTGAAATCATCGCAATTCCATGGCTATTTCTGTGTCGGCTTCGTTGAATGTCCTCTTCTGCAAAATGCGAGTAAACTACTGCGGTCTTCACCAAATTTTGGTCAGCTGCCGCAAAAAAAGTCTTTGAGCGAGCAGGGACTGCAGGCAAATATGATATGATTCTCCGTGAAAAGGTTGGATCAGGAACGAAGTGGCCACATCACAGTTATGCATGTACATGTAGAGGTTTGCTCATATGTATGTATATATATATTTATATGTGTAAATCTATATACATGAATATCGGGACCTATTTATACACAGTTTCACAGAGACACATCTAACATATCAACACCATATATATGTAGATGGTTAAGTTGTCACGTCCGATCCTCACAGCACGTTGTAACCACAGGTCATTGCTCAGTCAGCAAGTAAGTCAGAAACCAACTCACGTCTGGACATCATTTTTTGTCGCAACGCGAAAAAGCGGAAGTCAGAAGGTCAAGCATGTGTTTGTGGACCGTGCTGCAATTGAAATTTCAAAGTTTTTTTCATTTCCTTTGGCTGCCTGATCAAACTTGGAGGTGGCTCACAATGTTTCCAGGTCGGTCCCTAGATAATATTCATGTCAAATTTGAAATACATACAAGAATCGATATATCAAAACCCACATGTTAAGGTATGTGAAGCGCAATGGAACTTCCAAGTTACTTTGACATGTGTTGTCTACGTAGTATCAAGGACGTGGTCGTCAGGATGTTAATACACCCCCCACCCCACCCCACCCCACCCCACGTCATCAACGTAGCATCAAGAGCGTCTTCCAAGTTACTTAGTATCAAGGACGTGGTCGTCAGGACATTAATACACCACCCACCCCACCCCACAACCCCTCGAATGGTCAAAAAATGCATATTTTACCGCGGCAAATTATGCACCGTGGTCCAACTACCCTTAGTTCTCGAACGTAGCTATGGAAGACAACCCTTGATTGTCGAAAGGATTTAATAGGCAAACAATCTAGAAACGGGAAATTTTTCATCGCTATGCTAGATTACTGGAGGGTATATCACCAACACGCGACTTTTTGGTGTACCATGTGCCCCATGTGGTCCAGGCTCTGGATGCGGCAGCAGGGGTTGTTGGCGCGTCGTCAGCAAGCCTGGACCCAAGCTGCGGGACAACGGTTCTGGTCAGGTTCCACATTTTGATGAAAGATCACCCCTGGGCTGTTTAATTGGGGGGATACCGTATTAGTGGCAAATGATCACATATCACTATTTGGGTTGGTAAGCCCGATTTTCAACCAAGGGACCAAGGGTTATTGGGCGGTTGGGACTGGCTTCCTGGCTTCGGGTCAGCAGTCAGGCCTAACTATGTTCGGAGATGTGGCGAACAACTTGCTGCAGAGTGAGTCTGGTGGAGCTTCTGCCAATGTGGCCGAGCAAGCCTCTGGAGCGCTCGACACCGTCCTGACGGCACCAGGGCTGGAAAACGGATACATTTTAATAGCCTTATGTATATATATATACACATGTATATATATATATACACATATATATATTCATATGTGCGTGTGTGTGTATATGTATAATATATAATTCCACACCAACCTTTCGTAATACCAGTACGGAAGTTTCAAAGATAGGAAAACTCTAAGAGAGTTTCGTTGTTGTGGCGCGTGGATGGCAGAGCGAAATGATGGACCGAAAGGTGGTTGAGTCCCTGTCTCTCTCTCTCTCTCTAGCTAGTTCACTATCTATCCGTTTATTTGTCTCTCGGTCAATCTCTGTCAATCTCTCCCAATCTCTGTAAATATAAATATAAATATAAAAATATATATAAATATATATATATATGTATCTCTCTTTCTGTCTCTATCTTTCTGCCCCCTCTTTATCTCTCTACATATTCTGTCCGTTTATCTGCCTATCTGAAAGGAAGCACTTTTGGGAGACTTCCTAAAAACTTGCAAGTTCACAGATCCAACACGAAGAAATTCTGCGAGACTTCCTCACAAATTTAAAGTTGACAACGTCAACCACGGAGCTTTTCTGCGAGACTTCTTCAGAAACAAGCAATTCTGCGAAATTTCCTTCAAAAATGGAAAGTTGAGCGCATAACTGACGGCCTCGCACCAATGCGTTTTGTAAAGTATTGCGCCTGCCAGGAAAAAAGTGAGGCCAGGTCATACGAAGTGCTGCCTTGTCACGCAAAATCATCTTAGCTTAGCAAAACTGAACATCTGATGCTGACCTCCGAACATTTGTGATAGAGACAGATCCTCTTCAAACGCCCCACGCTTGCCATCGTTTTTGAAGATGCTACAAAACCCACACGTTTAGCTCCCTTTTGAAAAGGTGCGAAATCCATTGCGCCTGCTAGGAAAAACGACGCTTGAACGTCCAACAGTGGTCCGAAGATGGTGCGTTTTTACGATTTTGACTTGGGAACGCGCTTTGCGCCACAGCCGCGTGCACTTTTTCAAGGGCTCAGCTTCCAAAACCGTTCCGACACCGTTATTTTAACATTTTGACTTCGAAACGTGCTTCGCACCACAGCCGCATGCACTTTTTTGAACATCTCAACTTCCAAAAGGGCTAAGACACTGAGGTGGTTCTTCCATTTTGAGATCGAAATGCGCATTGCTTTTTGAACAGCCAAATTTCCAAAAGTGCTTTCACGCTGAGGTGTTTGTAACATGTTGACAAATTTGTTTCGCACCACAACGCTGTGTCAAAATGCATGACAGATCTATGATGATCTATGCTTTTGCGTATGTAAAAACAATTTTGTGTTCTTTAAATTATATGGTGCATATATCATGCATATTATTTGGATAGATGTAATGTTTGTCAGGAAAGCATGACACGACCTCGTGTTGGAGAACCAACCAACATTTGCCGCCAGGATGTCTCAATCAGGTGAGAACCTTGCGCAAAAAAAATAAACGTCCATTGTACTATTTAAGACCCGATTTGCCCGTCCGAACTCACGTCCCAGGCAGCCTTGGATTCTGAAGGCCAGGACTGATTCGCTGCCATGTCATCGGGTTCCTCAAGATTGGGGTGCCCCTCTTAAGCATTGGGTTTCTTCGTCAAAAACGACCAATTTTGGGTGAAACCTTGGGTGCCCCCATAGGATCCATGGCCATGTCCCCATGGCCCCATGGCATGCTATGGCCCCATGGCCATGTGCCCCAGGCATCGATGCTGGCGCCGGTGAGTCCTTGCTGCGCGCCACCACTTCGGTGGGCGACAGCTTCGCAACGTCCTCCAGCGACTCCGATGTGGCGAAGGGCGCCAGAGCCTCGAAGCTGCGGGTCTTGGTGCCTCGGTGAACTGAAGATGTTTTTGGTGAAGATCAATGATCTTCATTTTCCCTGCCATGGCCAAGGAACTACTTTGAGCTGCCCAACCTCATGATGGGTAACCACGAAAAAGATAGAAAAAACACACGTTTGCCACGATGTAGTGGGATTGAAATTTGGGGGCACCCTGTTTTCAAACCCACAGGTCTTTCCGCTTTTGTGGGAAGAAGAATCGAGAAACTGGGACAACTGTAATTGAAATAATATAGGATGCATTGGAGATAAAGAACATATGACAGTCTGACAGTAAAATATGAGCAAATGTATTTTTGTATCTCTCCGTGTCACGACCTCATGCGAGTCGGGGATCAGATGGTCTGGGATTCATGACGTTTTTTCTTAATTGGAGTCTTAACTCAGCCCATACAATTTCCATCTTGCAGTGCGGCCTGTAGGCTCACAAAAGATGCCGACCTCAGTGAGAAATACATTCTTTCCAATTCTACTTGGACTTAGTCTATATTAGTGACAGGGGTGGCAACAAAAAGTAAAATGTAACTTATGCTAAGTCCGCATTTACAGACACCTGTCTGGTTTAGATGGTGTGCGGGCACCATTTCCAGAGCAGATTCTGATCACTTTAGCTCTCCTCTTCTCAATTCAAACGCCCGGGCCTCTTGATCCGGGGTTGAGGGGTTGAGATAAACAAAATCGCAAGTCACAGAAATTATGGTGTCACTGCTGCCACTAAGTTCTCCAAACTTGGTAGCGCTCTACTGCAACAGATGCCAGCGGGTGCGTCCAGTAGTGTCTCTACAGTTGAAGGAGGCAAGGGCACAGTTCCCTGGCAGCAGCCATGGTACAACATGATGCGAATGGAAACTGCTATCAATGGATTGGTTTAAGGGAAATTCTACGGAACACCATGTTTTTTGCCATCAGATATGTTTTGACCGTAAAATTCTGCTTAAAGCAGTACCGTGATGGTAGCCATTGAACGCCATTTTCCCTGATGATCTTAAGTAGATTTAAGTAGACATAGTGGTACCACTGACCATGTTGTGATTGCCATTGGCCCAATTGGCCCAATGGCAGCCACCTCTCTGGCTTTAGGAGATTGCAGTCGTCAAGGAGGACCTCAGCGCTGCTCAGGAATCGGGAGTTAGCTCAGATGGAGCGCAGGCCGAGCTGAGAACTGGTTGGAACTGGTTGGGTTCGCTGTTTCTCTAATCTAAGGCCCGACAGAGGATGCACATGGTGCACGATTGCCAGGATGCAGAAACTCTAGGTAGAAAGGCATGGGCTAGATTCGGCTAGATGACTAGATCTGGACCATGACTTTTTTCGAAGGTAGTGCCGGTCGGTGGAGGCTGACCAAATGTCTTGGCTAGCCATTGCTTGGGGTTTCGCTTGGGGTTTGGCCTTGTTGCTGGCAGATCCCAGCCTCTGCTCTGGCGCGACGACTTCAGAGTGGCTGCACTTCGCTGGCTGTGCAGAACACCAACTTCGTTGGAAGTGTTTTGAACTGATTTCAGGGAAGCAATGGTGATGCCATAGTCATTCAGGGTCAATAGTGATGGCGTGGGGTGGGGGACTTTCAGATGCTTCATGACAACTATGTGATGATTGTTTTCTCCGATGGATGGGTGTGGGGTATAGAACTCCAATGAACTCCATGACTACTTCCTGCTGATGCATATGCTTTTGACATCATTTGATGCTTGGCATGACAATTTGCATCTATTTGAGGACGTCATGTCAAGCCTGAACTAAGGCAACCCCTTCAACTACCTTACTCGCAGCAGCTTGGAAGCACAAGGGGAGAGATATGGGTTTGTCATAATTTCTCCAAAACATAGCGTTCCCCCAAATCTCATCATTTCTTTCTATTTTCCCATTGAAATGGCAAATTTGAGGTGTACCCCGGTGATCCCCGGTGTACCCAGCGCTGAGACACCGTTGACACCGAGGTCTTGGGAAGAACGCCTACGTCGCCAACGATGCCACGGTGAGGACCTTGGAGCTGAAGCAATGCGACACCAGTTTGGTGCGCCCAAACCTTGATCCTCCGATCGCCCTCAAGTTGCAGCTGCAACTTGTCGAAGTGGTCGAAAAAAACCATGGAAGGTTGGAACACCATGGGAAGAAATTGGACTGTCGATAAAGCAACAAAATGCAACATTGGGATATTGGGATATATATGTATATAATTTGATATAATGAAAATAGAAGACTGTAGAAGCAACGATGATTTGGTTGGTGGTTTTATTTGGTTACTTTCTACCATAGAAATGGGATGATTGCACCCGATGACCATATATCTCGGGAGTGCAACCCCCTGGAATGGCACTTCACTGTTTTCTTCGGCATTGTAGCTGCAAGTATCCCATATATTAGCCATGTGTTATAACTGGCTTTATGACGATTGCATACGAAGGCTATGACGTTCACATAGAAGTGATGATCCTCAATAACTAGAGGGGATCATACTTACAATTAGCGCAGGTGTTTCAATCTGGATGATGAAATTGTGGAAGCTGGTGCACTCTGGTTCTTTGGTGCTCAGACCTGGCAACGGAAATCCATTTTTCTTGAAAGATCTATACAATTGAACATGGATATATGATACTATCTAATGATAGCTAGATGTTGGATCTCCCACTGCTATGTTGGAGGGTAAATAAAAATCCATTCTCAGCCGCTGGCGGATCTCAGGAACGCAGTGCCGGGACTCGCACCCGAGGGATACGTCTATGAGCCGGTCTGTGTGCGACTGGACGAGACGTCTGAGCTGCTCCCGCAACAGGCTGGGAGGTAAAAAGGGCAACTGGTGGATGAAGTGTTTCATAATGTTTCATACCCCCCCAGAACTTTAGCAATAATTCTGGAGGCCAGACGGACAACTGAGCTAATGGGGGAGAGAAGGAATGGTCTTTTGCAGCATGTTTTCTTGGGGGGGTTCTAAAGGGCAAGATGTTGCTGCAGGAGTGGACAGTAGACTCAATGACCTGGCTGTTGCCTTCATCTTATGGTGCCACAGAGCTGGAGTGTCTTGCGGGCACAGGTGGCGGATCCTATGCAGCAATTTATGTTCCTGTGAAGCTGGAAACAACTCTGACCAGCACCTCCATGACATCTACTAGGACCTTGGTGACAACTGTAACCAGCGTGCCAGTAGAGGTCCAATTTACGGATGGTGGCATGGTGTTCGGGGTGGTCTTGGCTGGAATTGCCCTGGTGGTGGTGGCGGGGGCAATTGGTTGGCAGTGCTATGTGGGCAATGTAAAGGTGCAGAAGCCTGAAATGCCCAGGGAGCTGTTGAAGCAAGTGTCTGATCAATGGCAAGGAATGAAGGAGAAGATGCAGTGGAAATCAGCGAGGGTTGGCACTGAACCAACTGGCCCTGGAACGGAGCGAAAGGAAGCTTGGCCAGAGAACCCCCAGCCAAAACCACAGGCTGAAAGGAAACAGGCACGGAGCGATGCTCAAGATCACTTCTGGGATTGGGCCAATGACTTGATCAAATCGACCTCCCAAGGTGATGCGCCAACACCCCCACACACGAAGTCCAGCGGCCAATCTTTTGCACTTGGGCCGCCCAAAGTAGGCAGCCCACCAACTCTACCTCCACGCTTTTCTGTGCGAAGGCCATCCGTGGAGAAGGAGGAATACTTTCAAAGTTTTGCCCAGGAACTTCGGGAGATGGTGTCATCTGGCATCCCTGGCCTGATTGCCGACTCCCCAGTTGATGTGATCCCGCCCTCACCTCCTCCAAAGCGTTCGGTTCAAAGCAGTTTCCCTGCTCTGCCCCCAGCACCTCCTCCCCGACCGCGGAGGGACACATCTTCGGCTGTGTCGACTGTGCCACCTCAATTGGCCAACGCTGAGAGGGTGGCGGTTCGGGTGGACCAGGCGTACTCCGACTGGATGAACGACTTCGCCAGTGTGGCGGCCCTTGCGCCCAGCGCAAGGGAAAGCCCCGACTCGCCACCGCCGCCACCTCCCAGGCCACCGCTTCAAAGCATGTTGCCAGGGCCACCGCCAAGGCCAGCCATTGCGAACCAGGCGGCCGAACTCAAGGCTCCGCCACCATTGAACAGAGGAGGCTCCGCTTCGTTGTCGGAGTTGAGGAACTTTGCCAAAGCACCTCCACTCCCTGCAGCAGCAGCTTGGATGCAGTCATGGTTGAGGTAACGTTTCATTTGGCTTGGAGCCAGGCCATGATTCTTTTTCCATTTTCCCATCGTGCTTCAGATCGCTAAGGCGTTGGCTGGCACCCTGCCACTGCCACCACCGCCACCAAGATCAGATTCACAAATGTCGGTACTTTCGCCTCCCTCCTTGAAAGCAGGATCTCAGCAGCCTGTCTCAAACTTGCTGGGGGGATGTTCCTGGGAATTGTTGGGATGGAATGAGGTAGATTGGAATGGATGGGTGTACAGATGTTTTGGTCAGTATCCGGTTGAAAGGATGTGGCTGTGGAAGAGAAGTGCAAGGGACTCAAATTGGACCCAGATCGGCTCTTCCATGTGCTTCTGATATTTTTCCTGGGGGAGATGCTCTCACAGCTGACCAACAGGTTTGTACATTTTGGTCTCAAGGGCACTCGGACTTCCTAGATGGACCACGCAGTGCCAAGGGTTAGGTTCCAAAATTTCTGGCCTTGAAAGCGCGCTCTACTGGTGAGCTTTTTGAGATGGACCTGCATCAGGTTGTCTCGGGCGCTTCCGAAACATCAACCGCTTCATCCTCCGCTTCCGAAAGGCCGGCGGTGGTCTCTGGGTCAATTCATGGCCAGTCACACTACACATGGCCCAACATGGCCCAACATGGCGCGTGACCAGTCTCCCATGTGTTTCATTGCCTCACACCTGCAGGCGCGTCGGTAAGAAGCACATCGAGTGCAACAGGCTTCTTGCTTGGGTGTGACATGGAGATACATGGAGGACAAAACATGGCAAAATAATTCTTCTGATTTCTGCTGTAAATGGGATTCATCAGGGAATGGATGAACAAGCAGCTTTTTGAATAATAACAGGCCAGACAGGATTTTCCAGCCAGGTGCTCCCCCAATCCCTGGTGCCATCAGTGACTTGCCTGAAACATCACTGGAGCCGGGCTGACGTTGTCAGCCAGGACAAACCATCTAAGGCGGTGAGGGCTCACATACGCCCCGAGAACACCACTCCCGATAGAATTGGATAGATACTCAACTGCCCGGTGCCAAGTTGACTGCAAATCGATGTCATGCTCTGGATGATGTATTGTGAGCAGACCTGTTTCAAAACTGAGGCTGCGTCTGAAGAATCACAGTCTGGAAGAGCAGCAGAGCAAATGTAGATTCCCATGTACTGCACCTTTTCAGAGTGCAGTCTTGGAACCACACTGGACGCCTTGCGTTCATTTTCCTTGTCGTTTCAGTGCAGCGGGCTCCAACTTTCTAGGCAATTTCATGCATATCTTCGCAGTCACACCTTGTCAAGCATTTGTGGATCCGGCATGGCATGACCAATGTCAAACCCCAGTTGAAGCTTGCACACTACTTTTTTCCTTGAGTGAAACCGTGCTCGAGGCAATTGTAGCAGTCTGGATTTGGCATACTAGCGATGGCACACCAAGTTTTGGCCATGCATTACTAGCACATGCAGTTTACAAATGCCTAGCTGTGGGTAAAATGGTTGGAAACCCCGGCGAAAAAAAGAGAAGGAATCGTGTACTCACCGATCATCATTTGCCTCAGAAACATAAAATTGCTGTATCCATCAGGCATGTCAAGTCTAGTCGAGCAAGGGGGAGCATGATGGCCCCCTTGCGAGACATCCTAGCAGAAGAGGCCGCAATGTTCAGGATTCGTAGATCGATGCACATATGTCTGAAACATTTGACTGGCTAAGCAGGCTGTTGGAGCTGGCCACAAAGGGAAGACATCTCGTGCTGCTGCGCTCTGCATATTTTTTGGGCCGAACTTGCCGCCCAGCTTGATGAATTCTGAATTACGACAATATTACAGTATGACAATTGTGCCATAGATTCGAGTATTTCTAGTCATAGAGTCATAGATGAACATCTCAAAGATTGCCAAAGATCATGAAACTGCTTGGATTGGAGAAGCTGAGCTGGCAACACGCGCTCCGTCTGCGCCTCTAGAAGCCGACGCAAGCTGGAACCACCTTGAAGAGGTGGAATCGGCCCATAGCACGAAATTGTTCTGCCCTCAGGCCCTCAGGTGCAACATGGTGCAACCACGAACGGCACAAGACAGGTCCAAGCAGAAACAGAATACTATAGAATACTATTTTTTGTATTTTTTTCCATCCCATGGACATATGTGTCGTGTATGTAACATGCAGCTGAGGTGATGGAGTAGCAGCCGTCCGCGTGCAAAAGGATGCGAGCCGTGCTTGCTTGTGGAAGAAGAGAAGATCATTAGATGGTAACACACCAATTTAGAATCGCGTAGCAAGAAAGAGAACAAAGTACTTGATGGCTTTGGCCTTGGTAAGACGAGTTTGGACAGCTGTCCTTATTTTTATATATATATATATTTGAACTTGGTACAGCAAAATTGCTCTACTTGATTCGGCATCAACATTTGATTATACGCAACTCGAAGCCATAGCAAGTTAATAGGTGGAGAATGGCTCACTGCTAGCGTTGCTCGGCTTGCGGATCAAGTGAAGTGCGCAGGTTTTCTGCCGCTACAACTCGAAAACACAGCCGCAGCAAAAGCAATAGCACTCAGGTGACACTCGGCTCAGCCCAGCTCACACATCTTGTGCCCCTCCAATTCAGCTGAACCTGGGATGTCCTGAACCGCCTGCCTTACCGTATGCAAGCCACCAAGTTGGAGGTCCAATGTCTCAGCCTGCTGTTTAGCCGCCCTGGTCCACTGCGCGGCCATGGGCCCCAGAAGGAGAACGCCATGCGGCTGCTATGCTGGCTGTCACTCTTCTGCCATGTTGTGGCCGAAACCGTGCCACGACATGAGCGGGTGGCAGCTGCCCAGAAGGCAAGCTCCTGTCATCGTTAAAGATGAACCCTCAGTTCCAACATGTCAGAACCTCCTAACCTTGCGATATGTTGGGATGTACACCAGGTACGGTACTAACCGTTTACAAAACCCAGGGACACTGAGGCCTGGGTGAATGATTCCAATGCTTCTGGACAACAAACTTCCAAAGCCCTGCCCCCCAAAAGTCTGTTCTCCGGGTGCTGCAGGTGCAAGACATGTACAGGCATGCCTTTGACCCTTGGCAGGTTCAAGTGGGAAGAATTTGTTTGTTTGATTTTATTTGATTCTCATGATTTTCACTGCTATTCACAGCCATTTTTGCAGAACAGAGCCATCCATGTGCAGAAGAGAACCCACCGAGGACTCCTACATGATGCACGCCTTCCCAGCTGATGAATTGCGGCCCCTCACTTGCGATGGACGACTCAAGCGCGAAAGAGGGGACTTGGATTCCATGCTTGGGAACTATTCCATGACGCTTGGAGCAGCTTGGGAGTTGACAGGATGCCAGGTGGCCATACCATGCCACATGTACTGCTTGTACTGTAATCCCACAGATTTGTGGCCTAGGGGCTCCCGGCAAGACTGCTGGGTAACTGGAGCTGGGAATCTGATGGGAATGTCTGTGTTGAAGAAATAAATCAGTCATAGACCGACCTGGGGGGCATCGTTCATTGCCATCACGCCATCATGTCTATGATGGGTGAGGTTGACACAGCATTTGTCAACGATCCTGGTTTTTCAATGAGACCTCAGCCCCTCGCAATGATCTCAGGACCTTGATTGATGCCCTGGACTCGCTGATCATTTTTAAGCGAAAGGCTGCGTTTAAGGCGGGTCATAGCTGGCTATAGCTGGAATTTCTTGAAGACAGTGCGCTGCCATGATGGCTTGCGCTTGGACGTGCCAGTGCCAGGTGGCAGTGTCCTACATCCAGGATAGTGTCCACTTCGATAAAGACATCGAAGTGAGTACCTTCGAGGTGAACATCCGCAGCTTGGATATCTTGGGGATCCACACGAGACTTTGGGCCCACAATGAGTCTATATGGCACTATGGCAAGGGAAAGGGTGTTGGGGTATGGTGGGAAGGGCTGGTAATCTTGAACTTGCCACTTTGCAACCTAGGCATCCTGGGTGGTTTGCTGAGTGGTCATCAACATGCTGTCAAAGTGCTGCCAAAGTACAAGGGTGGTCTTTTGAACAAGGCCCGCAGGTGAGAGGGGGACAAGGCAAAGTCTAAAGTCAGCAATTCCAGCCCCTCAAACCGTGCTTCAGCGAACCAATGGCTCCGTCTATTGGCTTCTGTTGGTACTTTGATATCTTTGAGAGCGATTGTCAATGATTTCCATATATTTTCATCATTCCCCACTGTTTTTCCATGATTTTAATTGATTTTAGCCATATTTACCATATTTGAGTCGCTCAGCCTCTAGCACCAGACCATGACAGGCTGTTGATCTTGGCGAGCGTTTACTGCGTGCTTTCGACACACCCACTGGCATGCCACGCTGCCGTGTCAACCTGCGGTCTGGCATCCCCAAGGCACTGAGAGATCACAACAGCTGTGACAATGTCATCCAAATTGCATCCAATGGTGTGGATTTCGTTTGATTTTTATATTTTTGCCGAGGGCTCCTCGACGACTGTGACAATCGCAGAGGCCATTGTGCAGCACGTTCTTTTGTTTGTCAACAGGCAGGTTCGACACTGCCACGGAGCTCAGGCTGGCTCGTTCCTGCTCGAGTTTGGGATGCTCAGCGTTTTGTCTGGGCAGAGTCGTTTTTACAACGCCGCCAAGCGTTCCCTGCTGGCTTTTTGGAGTGCCTCGGATGTAAGTCGTGGTCAATCGAGTACCCTTCGGTACTCAATGGGAAATAGGGAAATTCCTCATAGATGGGCCTTTATACAAATGGATGCAAATGGGAAATTCATTTGTGAACGGGATATTTTCCATTGCCATGTCTATTACCAGAGGATACCAGCGGGTAGTATATGACTTGCAACCGATCCAACAAAGCGAGAGAGGGGGATCAGAATGACGCTGAGGCAGAAGAAATGCCTTGGATTTGGTGGGCACATCAATCGATGCACCTTCCTCAGTCGCATGTGATGTAAAATCATTTGCCATGTGGACATGGATTAAAGCATATCAAAGCTCAAAAAATAAGCATTGATGGTTTGACTGGATGGTTTAAACATTTTGATACATTCGGCATGTCCATTGAAACATATTGATCATATTGGTAGCCGCAAACGGGTGCCCATTTCAGGTCAACTCGGGCAACTTTGTGGACCAGCAAAGTACAACTGGTCCCGGGTGAGAGGCTCAGGTCCCATGAGGTGATCGACGATATCTTGGATCCACTGAATTCCTGAATTGAACGAAGGAATGTTATATAGGGAATTTTAGGGAATTTTAGGGGATTTTAGGGAATTTTAGGGAATTTTAGAGAATTTTAGGGGATTTTAGGGAATTTTACACGGAATTTTAACATGTTCAAATCTTCAAACATTGAACCATTGAAGAATTTGTTTGAAGGGGGCTGCCCCAGGAATGAATGGGGATCGACCCATTGGCGCCGACTACATCCAATTAACTGGGATGATTCGGGATGATTAATTCATTTCTTATTCCAGCATATTCCAGCACTTATATAGCCATTTGTCATTTGGGGGATCCAGATATTGGGAGGACCACTGAGACTCCCTCACGTGAACTTACCTCCATACGTAGTTTTAGACGTAATCCTATACCGGACATGGTTGGTGAATTTCATTGCATTTCCCATTCTTGATCGCGTTGAAATCCCAATTCTTATCTGGCCAATTTCCCCTTTTCTGTCGGAAAAAATGTGAATCCCCACTTTGGCTGGTCAAATCCCACTACTTGGAACTACCCCTCTTTCGCTCTTGAGACAAGTTTCATCAATTTTCCGTTTTTGATGGTTGATTACCAATTTCGGATGGTTCATTTCGTTAAAAGGCTAGTTGGCAAACTCCCCCAGTTTTCTGTTGGAACGATGCTATTTTTGATGAGGCAAGACTCTTTCTTTGAGTACCTCTTGAAGGGCTACATTCTTTTCAAGGACCTTGAGCTGCTCGACATCCAAAAATGTTTTTACTGGTGATGTTGTTTTTTGAAATGGAGATTTGGTTTAAAGATGTACACAGTCTACAGAGCCTGGAGAAAGACCTGGGGCCCAGCCTGAGCCTGGGGCCCAAAGAAGGTGGCAAAGTGGAGCTGGGAGCTGGGAAGGTTTGAACTTAGGTTTGGTTTTTGTGGTTTGGCAGTAGCAATGTTTGCTCCAACCTTCAAATGAAGGCCTCGATAGACGACATAGACAGATTAGACGGCCTTCATAGACCAAGAAGGTCAAGAAGGAGAAGGTGCAAAGCCCTAAGTGGATACACGTGCCAAGAAGACGGCCAGAAAGCAATTTGGTCATATTTGGTCCACATCCAAAGTACCACAGTGCGTGTTTGTGTTTTTTTCTAGCTTGTTGCCGGACGCGAAGAGTTTCTGTAGTAGAGTTCTGTTTTAAATGCAAACGCATTTTCTTTTCTCCAAAGCCGGAACAAACCCTGAGCTGAAAATATGAAGATGCCAAGAAACTTAGGGGCTGAAACGTCTTCGGATCATGATTTGGCGGTGTCACACCCAGGCTGCTCGACATCTTCCTGAGCGCGTATGCGGCGGCAGCTTAACAGAGCTTGGCCGGATTTGGGGGTACCCCCAGATCGAAACCCGCAAAATCGAAACGGAATGAATTTGATCATGGTTGAATAAGGATATTGATCAAAGAATGTCCTTTGGATATCGTAGGATTAGTATATCGATTAAACTTTGAAACGCGCATGCACACAACATGTGTATATAATTGTATATATATATATTATATATGTATATATATATATGTATATATATATATATGTATGTATGTATATATATATATCTACAGGTATATAACTATATATATATGTAAACAAATAAATAAGTAAACAAACATATATACATACTGTGTGCACCTTCATGATGTCGAGGTTCCGTCGTGAAAGAAACCCGCTCCTGAGGTCGAACAGCATCACAGCTTCGAAGGTTTCACATATACCGTGGAAACTCGACCAGCTTCAGAGGCAAAAATTATATACCCTCCGGTGATAAAAAATGGCAATGGGAAATCATGGGAAATCTTTTGTAAGTGAAGGTTTCAATGGGAAAATCATCCATGAATGGAGAATTTGCCATTGCCATGTTTGATTATTGGAGGGCAGGGATGTTTCTTTACTGTATCCTTGGATGCAGCTGGATGTTTGATGCTTTCTGATGACTTTTGCAGTTGCATGTTAATTTGAGGGAAATAAATCAGGAACCTTCATATTTGGCTTGCAAAAGATGTATGGTTTCCTGTAGCCTGTCCTTGAAACTCTTGCATGTCCAGTGGTGTGCAACTGAGGACATGAACAAAGGCTTGATGATGAACACACATCTTTCTCCTCTGGCATGCGTTTGGGCTTCCTTGCAAGTTCTCATTGGAGATGTGGCCAGTGGCTTGCGTTCAGTGCTGTATTGGTACCTAGGCATACCTAGGCAGATTATGGCAGATTCAGAAACGAACCCGTAGCCGTAGCACCTGAGCTTCTAGGAATCTCATGGAATCTCCGCGCTTCTTGTGCCTTTCTGTTTATACTGAAAATGAAAAGCAAAGCTGTGCAGCTACTTCTCAGGTACAGTCTGTGGAAGAAGCACGATGCACTGCCAGAAGTTTTCGATACCCGAGCCGAAAGTCCAACACAAGCCAGGCCTGCCCGCACAACATGTGTGAGTTTGACCTGTCTAATGTATATTTTGTATAGCCAAGTGATCACATGCCCCGTTGACATTTGGCTTTAGGGCCCTTGAGTCATACCGCGCTGCCGTGGTAAAAGTTGGGCATTTGACGATCCCGTTTCCAATTCATATTGGTAGCGGAGCAGGTGACGACCTGCATCCGGTGGTACGTCAGTGACCCAGGGAACCCCTTTGTGAATTTGAGTCTGGTAACTTTGGGAATCAACTGAACTTCGAGTGTGTCGTGGTTCGGGAATCTGTCTGACCCTGACCAGGGCAGACACTTGTTAACGTTTTTCCTTGTTCGACTCCGAACGGAGCGAGCATCATGTCGATCAATGGCCTTCGTTTCAATCAGGAACGCCATTCGTCGGCACCACTTGAGACGAAGAGTGGATCATACATCTATGCAGGTGATGCGGCGAACTTTCATGATTGGCAGTTCAGGACTCTCCTTCGGATTCGTCTTTATGAGCAACAATTGGAGGAGGAGACAAGTAAGCCTGCGGATCCCGTTGGGACCACAGCAACAGAGCCTGCCGCAGAAGACGCAGATGAGTATGTTACTTTTCCAGATTTGTCGGGTGCTACTCAAGCAGCCCAGCCTACATCAGCAGTCTCGACTCCGAAGTCTGGAGCGAGCCGAAAATCCTCGAAGTCCGGCAAGCAGAAGACAGACATTGACCGTGGACCATTGGTCAACAAGGTGATTGAAGGACTGAGAGGAGATGCTTTCTCAATAGCTAGGGATCTTGGACTTGAAGTGTTGTCCAAACCTGGTGGCCTTGTGAAACTTGTGGGTGAGATCAAATCCCATGTGTTTCCAAGAGCCCGTGAGGAAGCCAAGGAATTATTTCGAGCAGGACAGAAGCAAGGTGGTCCTTTATCTCGCCAACCAGGCGAACCCATGCTTTCCTATGTTCAGAGGAGACGACGTTGGTGGCACATGCTATGCGAGTTGGATGACACAATGGTGTTTTCGGACAGCTTGAGGACAGAGTTGATGTTGGAGTTGAGTGGGCTCAATCGACAGGAGATCCTCGTTGTGAAGGCCTGTGCAGACACTAAGGATTTTGAAGGTGTTGGCAAGGTGCTGATCGAGAACTACAGTGGCACTCACTTGCGAGAAGGGTCACGATCCTGGACAGGACGTGGTAATCCTCAACAGCATGGCAAGTCGTCAGGCAAGGGTTATGGCAAAGGCAAACCTTCTTCGAAGGGATCGTATTCCCAAGCAGCCTATGCAGCCTACCCCGATGATGGGGAGGAACATGCAGAATCTTGGGATGAAGCTGTGGATCAATCCTGGGAGGATGATTCATATGTTGGCATGCTTGGTGACATTGCAGAAGAGGAGCCAGGAAACCTAGAAGGTGACAACGAATTTGATTACTTTGACGACGTCGATGAGTACGAAGCAGTTGCATTGAACAGCTTGCTTGAAGTTGAAGGTGCAGAAGACGATCGACAAGCAGGAGACGCCATCCAGCTACAACTTGCTGCTTTCACCGCAATGGGGAAAGCAGGTGGCAAGGGCAAATCCTTCGGGAAGCCCAAAGGAAAGGGGAAAGGAAAGATCGTGAAGTCCAACCTCACGATCGATCAGAGAAGACGGAAGCTCACAGAGCTGAAGTCGAAGAGCAAATGTTTGAGATGCGGAGTCATAGGGCACTGGGCCGGTGACCCGGAATGTAAATTCCCGGGGTCGAAAGCCGGAGCCCCTGGAAAGTCAGCCCCAAAGCCCGCAGCTCACTTTGCCGACATGAGCGATTCTTCAGATGACGATGGTGTGACTTTGACAGCTTCACCTGATCGTGACAGAGATGGAGTTGCTATGATGGCAGTTCGACAAGCGAAGCCCAGCAGTCGACCTTCACGTGCAGCAGCATCCAGCAGCAACGTTGGCTTGATTTCCCGGGATCTCGATGTTACAATGAGACCCGAGGACCATGGGTGCATCTTTCCTGTTGGACAGTTCAAGGGTTTGTCTTTTTGGAATGTGTTGTTTGAACAGACAGGGTACTATCATCATGCCAAGAAACATACCCCCAAGAGTCCATACTATGTCACATGGTTGAATTGGGTTGACAAGTACTTTGTGGTTGGTGCTGATGGGATTCACTTGCGCGAAGTCCCTGTTGAGCATGTCGAGCACCGAGATTTGTTGGTGGCTCGGGGAACTGGCAGAAAGAAACCCCCAAATCCTCCTTTGCCGAACAAGTGTCAGGAATGTCGTGAGTTTACAAAACAAGGTTCTACGGGGTACACCATCAGGAAGACCTGTCTTGTGTGCGGTCATTCCGAAACAACAAGGCGTGACATGGTACCGTTGATGCCCCCTGAGAATTGCCCTCATGATGACACCGATTTTAGGGGATCCAGCAAATCAACACACCGTACTTTCTGCAAGAAGTGTTGCACTTTCATTGATGAAGCTCCTATGCAGATTCGCAAGGAGCGTGTTGCCATTGCCAAGAAGGTTGAAACAGCATCAGTTCGAACAGTCCCCATTGTTGAATCATTGGTTGAAGAATCGGATGGATTGAATCCAGTCCAGTTGGAAGAGTTGTTACCCTTGTTTGCCACTCTTGTTACCGAAACCTGCCAATCTGAGGTGATGACCCGTGCACGACTTCATGAACTACTGCATCAAGCCATCAATGACGTGACAGAGGAAGAGGACAGTTTTTCACTTGTCAATGAAGATGGGCACGGCGACCCCTCGGGCAGGGAGTTAGCTGGGTACGTTGGCATTTGTTTGCATGGAAGTGACACTCAATACCCTCAAGACTTGGTTTACATGAACTATGAAACTGTTGACATTGCCAAGTCACCCCATGTTTTTGCAGTATTGGATGAAGGTTGCAACAGCACTTGTCATAGCAAAGCCTGGGCAGTCGATGCAGAAGCACGACTGGCCCGATTGGGTTACAGCATGCCATTGAAGGATGACGGTTGTAAGAGTTTTGCTGGTCTGGGAAGTGGTAGTACCAAGACCGAAGGTGTGAGATCTATTCCTTTTTCGCTGCTGCTTCCAGACGGGAACATGCATGGGGAGTTGGATTCATATCAATTGTCAACAGGCAACAGTCCATTGCTTCTTTCATTGCATGCGCAAACCAAGTTAGGCCTAGTGAAGGACCTAGCAAAAGGGGTGGTTTCCATCAAAGATCAACCATTGAATATCAAGAGGTGTTCAAAATCAGGTTTACTTGTGATGAACTTGACTGAAGGATTGACCAACATCAACAACACACCGTCGGATGAACTTCCCCAAATCCCGAAGTGTCACAGAAAGTACAACATCGCATACACAGCATCCACATCGGAAGTTGCCATGGCTGACCATGACATGTGTGGTTTTCATTCGAGGGACTACGACATCTTGCAGACGAAGTTGAATGAAGAACTGCGCAGTGACAGGAAGGTGGTCATCATGACTCGTGGACGTAGATTTCAACAACATGCGTGCAGAACCAGCAGGAGCACTTTGAGCATCAACTGTGAGGACATTAACGATCCTGATCAGGACGTTAACCTCAGGTCGCATGTGGGTTGGCATCATGGGATCCTTGAGACTATGAGCAAAGTAGACAGGTTCATCCAACATCTCAACAACATCCTCCAGTTCGTCACACAACAGGAAGCCGACAGTAAGGTGCTGGTGGATTTGGAGTGCAAGTCGGGTCGCCACAGGTCAGTGGGACAGGGATTTGCTGCCTACAGGTGTCTCAAGGTCCTTGGTTATGACGTTGTTCTCATTCATGCATCATCTTGGATGTGGGGAGAGATGCGTTGTGGTGGAGTTTGTCATGGATGTAAGGACATGGCTGCGAGCTTGGGACAAATTCGACATTTGATCCCGAACATGTCAAGGTTGGCACGATCACCAGGCAATGTGGCTTCAAGCCGTGACGTGCGCGATGCTCCAGCCGATGATGTTTCAGGTGGACATTCATCTCATCCTACATCAGATCACCCCACTGCAGGACATCCTACATCAGATCAACTTGATGAGATTCGACGTTTGGTACAAGGGCTTGCAACAGATGTTGGACATCTTAGGACAGAACAGGTTGAGATCAAAAGGATGGCCGAGACCGGAAGGAGATCAAGGAGTCCATTGCGTCGACGGAGATTGCCGACGCCACCGTCGCCACCAGCAAGGCGCAGAAGATCACCAAGTTTTCGTCGCAAGTTACCTCCTTGGAGACATGCACAAGCATCCAGGGGAAGAAGTCCATCGCCGAGGCCACTATCTGCGAGGCCAGCTCCCAGGAGCCCAGATCATCCTCCACCGCACATTTCGGACGTGCCAGGGACCGATGACGGATCCCGATCTTCAGGGGCCATGGATGGACCTCGAACTTCAACGTTGCCACAACGATCTCGAGAGCCTCCCAATGATCGCGATGAACTTGAGCGACTGATCCGAAACAATTTGGCATCAGATGGACCGTTTGACAACAAGAACGTGTCAGTGAAGACATTGGACGGCGAGCTCCTTAGCGAAGTTGTGTCTTTTTGCATCCGTGAGGGTAACAGGGATCGGCTCTTTTGGATTTGCAAAGATGGAGAAGACCCACTGGTGGAAGGAGTTCGCATGAACGTCCTGATTCGAGATCATATCCGGCCAAATCGGATTGTCAAGGTCTCGAATGGCATCAAGCACTGGAAGCGATCTACATGGTGTCGACCTCGCAATGGAGGCGACTGGGAACTCATTGAAGACAACGTTGATAGCAGGGCAACAGTGCGTTTGAGCAACTCGTGGATCGATGTGATTGTGTTTCACCACCCACCTGGGGTGTTCGATGACTCCGGGAGGGGAGCATACATGAGCGTTCGTGTCAGGTTGACCCCCAACAAGAAAATTCGGGATGTAAGGGATGATTTTGAAAAGTCTTTGAATCCAAAAGTTGAGATGAAATCCTCAGAACCCAAAAGGATGTATGCAGTGAAGTCGAAGCCCCAGCCAAAGGTCTTGATGCCCAAGTTGGAACAAGATGATTCCGATTCATATGAATATGACTATGAGTATTCTCCCACTGGTTTCATGGCTGTACGTTTTGATTCCAACGTTGATTTGACAGTCCGTCCTGATGAGAGGAGGACCATGAGCAAGAAACACAGGAAGCTGGTGTTGGAAGGTATCAACAATCTCAACAACCATGACCGGGTAATGCAGTCCAGTCTTGAGATGCAGCCTCAAGTTTCCAATGGGACATCAGGGGTTGCAATCATCACGTCACATCCGACTCTTTTCCAGGATTTTTTCGAGCACACCTATGACGTTGGCATGAATGCTGCGTACTTGGACGGTGATGCTGAGCAACACGGTTGGAAAGACATGTTCGAAGGTTGCACATTGATCATTGTTGCAATTGAATACAAGTCAGAACATTATCCACTGTGTCATGGGGATCTTGTATTTGAGTTGGAACAGTATTGTGATGCCACAGGGTGTAGGTTTCTCATTGTTGATGTCGCACACACTGAACGATGGGAATCATTCAAAACACCACAGATACCATACATCAATGAAGTTGGTCTTGCTTTTGTGTCAAATGATGATGAACTCATTCAAGGTTTTCAAGATTGGTCTATGTATCGACAATTGGATGACGTTTTGGATTGGGAGTTTTGTCAATGGATTCGTGATTGGTCACTTGAACGTGAATTGGAGGAGCAGATGAGCGTTGCCTTTCCAGCAGAGATCATCGAAGAGGCTCAGGAACATGGTGGGAACTGGGATGCAGTCGATGGCCCAGAAGATGTTGCATTGCAGGATCCAGTTGAGGACCTGACACATGAAGAGACCCTTTTGGATGATGTTGATATCCCTGGATTGCCAGAGGATGAAACAGAAAGGCGTAGGTCTTGGCGCAAACCTCCCCAGCGTGTCAGGATTGCTGTGCGTAGGTTGCACAGGGCTTTTGGACATGTCCCCAAGACGGTGATGGTCAATTTGGTGCGTGCTGCAAAGGTGAGTAAGGAGTTTGTTGATGCAGTGAAGTTGCATAGATGTGAAACATGTGAGAAAACATCAGCAAAGAAACCCACTCACAAAGTTACGCTTCCAAGTGATTATACATTCAACCATACTTTGGGGATTGATGTACTGGAGTTGACAGATATAACTGGGCAGAAGTATCAAGTTCTCAACATGGTTTGTATTGGCACTTGTTTTCAACAGGCTGAAATTGTGAAGGTTGGAGCAGGCCAAGCTTCTTCGCGATCCTGTTTGGACGCACTCATCAAACGTTGGTTCAGTTGGGCAGGACATCCTGTTGCTATCATGTGTGACCGTGGTTTGCACAATCGTGGTGTCTTACAACAATACATGGATGAACATAACATTCAAGTGCACCATGTGCCCCTTGAGAGCCCGGAATCATTGGGCCGAGTAGAGAGGCATGGTGGTTTGTTGAAGGCTCTTTTCAGGCGAGTGTGTACAGAAGTTGGGGCTTGTACCAAAGAACAGGTTGAGTCGTGCATCACACAGGTGCTCAGTGTGAAGAACGACTCTGCACGTGTTGGAGGTTTTTCTCCATCTCAGTGGGTGCTTGGTCGAGCTCCCCGTGGTGTAGCTTCACTCATGTCAGAGGAAGATCACGCACAGCTCGGAGCCATTCAGGCCCGACATGGCCCTTCATCAATTTTTGCATTACAACATTTGGCCAGGATTGAGGCACAAAAGGCTTTTGTTCACCTTGATTGTTCAAGAAGAGTTCAGAGAGCGTTGACACGCAATGCCAGTGTGTTTGATCGTGAGTTCAACATTGGTGATCTTGTCACTTTCAGACGAGACAATCAGAGAGGAGGAACGTCCTGGTCACCAACATGTCGTGTGATCGGACACGAGAACCAGAAGAACATATGGTTACTGTGTGGTAACGTTCCAGTACTTGTAGCTTCTCACAACATACGCATTGCTTCTCCTTCTGAAGCTCTTGCTCAATCAGTGTTGAATGGTGAACCTGTGATTCCATACAAGATCATCAATGATACAGGTCAACAAGCGTTTCTTGATGCAAGACAATCAGATGAGGTTGAAGTTGTTCGTGATGGTCCAGGACAAGCAGATGATGTTGAGGTTGTCCATGAAGGCAATGTGGATTCAGCACTCCCTCCTATACCAGAAGTATCCGAAGATGAATGGGATATACGGCCCGGTTTCTTTGAAGAAGATGAGGAGGAGGAAGATACAGGTCCAATGGAAGAAGACATCTTCTCACAGAGTAGAACCCCAGAGAGAAGAGTTGAAAGACCACATCCAGGAGATGGAGGTCATGAACGCAACGTGAGACCTCGAGTAGAGTCTCAGTTACAACCTGAGTCGGAGAGAGGCTCATCACTTGTGCCATCTCGAAGAGACTCCTTTGTGCCTGATCTTACTCCAAGTGGCTCCGTTTTGGGACCACTATCCTCGCCGTCAGCATCATCTTGGCCATTGCGAAGGGAACTTTTGGATGACTTACCACATCAATTGCGAACACATCTTGAAAGAGCTCGTGAGAGAGACTCAGAACGAAGTCCTGAAGAACAACAAGAAGCACGAGCATTGTTTGCATCATTTTTGTCCCAGAAAGTTGAAGTCCCTGAGGACGAAGAGCAAGGTAAGAAAGTGTTGAAATCAATCCACTATGAATCAGCGTCACCTGATGTACAGAAGAACATCATGGATGCCAGAACCAAGGAGTGGAGCAAGTTCCTTGAGTTCGCTGCTGTTGTTGAAATTTCAAAAGAAGATGCTGAGAGGTTGATTGCTGAAGGACATCAATGTATTCCTAGCAAGTGGGTTGATGTCGACAAGAATCAGTTCATGAAAGGAAGATCAGATCAAGAATATGTGCCAAAGTTCAAGAGCCGGTTGGTATCATGCGGCAATTTCGAAGTCAGTGAAGGTTTGAGATCAGACAGTCCTACAGCAGATACGGAAGCTCACAACATTCTTTGCTGTTGGGCGGCGATCCAGGGCGCACAATTGCACAGTGCGGACGTCGCATCCGCATATTTCCAAGGTCGTCCTCTTGATAGAGTTCTCATTATGAGACAACCCCGAGGAGGTCTCCCGGGAGTTGATCCAGAGGTGTTTTTCCTTGTGCGGGTGCCTATATATGGATTGACTGACAGCGGTCGAGGTTTTTGGTTGAGGTTGGACGGAGATGCCCGATCCAGTGGCTTGAAACAATCCAAGTTTTACCCAGGATTGTATTTCCTTCCAGGAACCGACAAAGATTGCGTTGCACTTATGGCGACACATGTGGATGACATCTTGTACGCATACATTCCTGAGGGAAAGTCAGTGATCGACAGCTTCTTGGAGAAGTTCAACTTGGGATCTAGTGAATCAAATTCGTTTCGCTATTGTGGCAAGCAATTTGAGCGTACTGCAGATGGAACAATCACACAAGACACTTGTGACAACACCCGTCGCATCAAGCCGATCAAGATCGCGCCGGGAAGATCAGCATCCGAGCCGTTGGGTAAGGATGATGTGACCCGATTACGGTCCGTAACGGGATCATTGTCATGGGTGACAAGGCAGACTCGACCCGATTTGGGTTATCGTGTGAGCCGCCTACAGTCCAGTATTTCTGGAGCGACAGTTGCTATTTTGCACGACGCAAACGCCGTAGTACAGCTGGCACAACAAGGCATTGAGAACAAACTCATTTTTCCAGGTGGACATCTAACCTGGGGAGACGTTGGCATCATTACAGTAACAGACGCTTCATTTTCAAATGAGAAGAACTACAAATCACAACAAGGTCGTTTCCATTTTCTTGGAGACATCAACGAGATCAAAGACCCCAAAACTACATCCTACAGGGTGATGCCATTGGGATTTGCATCAAATACAATTCGGCGAGTATGCCGCAGCACTCTTCAATGCGAGGCTTATTCACTGCAGGCTGGACAAGAGAGCGGTGACAAGCTACGTGGAGCATTGGCCGAACTGATGGGCCAACTTGACTCGATGAAAACATGGTTGGATGACAGCCGCAGCTGTATTCCACAACTGATGCTTTCAGACTGCAGGTCTCTAACAGACCATCTTGCGAATGAGGTACTCGGCAGGGTCGCAGACAAACGACTCGGCATTGAGTTGCAGTCGATTCATGAGTCACTTTGGCAAGACGGCCGGAGGACCTGGGATATGCATCATGGCGGAGGAGACATTGTTACCTGGATTGCTACAGGGACTATGGTCTCGGATGCTCTGACCAAGAGCATGCGCCCGGACCTCATTATCCGCGTCTTGAAGGAGTGCATTTACCGTGTACAGAAGAAGCCTTAGAGCCAACTTTTTTCACTAGCATCATGTGATCCTTGAAGAACAGGTTGAGTGTGAGTTTGACCTGTCTAATGTATATTTTGTATAGCCAAGTGATCACATGCCCCGTTGACATTTGGCTTTAGGGCCCTTGAGTCATACCGCGCTGCCGTGGTAAAAGTTGGGCATTTGACGATCCCGTTTCCAATTCATACATGTATTAATTATTATTATTACTGCTATTATAATATATATATATTATTATCATAATACTACTAATAATTATTATCATTTCTATTATTAATATTATAGATTCAGATTCAAAATAGGACAGTTCCGCATGCACATTGGCCAAGCTCGCCCCGGCACCTGGCATGTATTTGACATTCTTTGATTGAAAAAACCATCCCATTTCCCCACGCCCAGCATTTTTCCGTTGGAAATCAGGGATTCGCCACTGCGCCCCGAGCTGATCGAAGCGATTTTCTACCTGTCCCTGGCGTTGCCCGGGGACGCCATGGTCTTTGAGATGGTGCGGAGACCAGGGCGGTCAGCCAGGAGGATCCTGGGAAGATCACCAAGACTGGATAACCCATGGATGGCATTTGCAACGGAAACTCAGGGAGAACCAACCAGTAATATATAAGCATTGGCATGATTTATCATGTATAATATTGGAGCCCGTGATGGAGAACCCTTCCAGTGATCATCTATTTCAGGTGGCGAGAGCAGTGGCTCGGGATATGTTGGCCTCACAGTCATTGGTGGACAGAGTCCCACACTTCTCTACTTCTTGTAGAAACCTCTTGCTTTCAGCCTGTCAAATCTGACCGTGTCGGCGCTCCAAACTCGACAGCCTCAGTTGATTTGAAACAAGTGGAGATGGGTCAACACCTCTGGGGACCATCCTTGTAGGAATGAAGATCCATTCATACCGATGATATATCAGTCATATACCAGTTATGCCGTTCAGAAAGGTACCATGCGTTTGACCCTTGCCCAAAATATGAGTGTGTGCCAGCATGGGGTCATTTTTGCACCCCTGCAGCATGAAGCCTTTGCGACTCTTTGCGCTGGGTGCAGGCCAAGTCCATCGCAACAGCCATTGATGAACAGAGCCGAGTCTCCTGTGGCTTCGCATCTGTTGCAGATGTGACGACCAAGAGGCGTGGTTGTGGCACGATCTGCCCACCATAGCCAACCCATTTTTCACATTTTTATGTTTAAAATCATCTACAATCAGGACTGGCAGTTTGAAGCAGTTGAATTTGCTTGCAACTTTTGCATCCGTACCTGGCACATCGCGGCACTATTGACCTAAATCAACTACGATCATTTGGGATGGGGTTGCAGAAATCCATAAATAGTCATCGGGTGCCCGGATTTGACTCCATCACCGGCTGGGCGTCTACAAAATGTGATCAGTTAAAGGCTTCCCTAGAAAAAACTTAGCATACAGTGTGCAGTGTTTTGCTCCTGCATGTGGCGAGTGAGCAGGTTGGACAACAGGATGGACTCTTTTTTCCTGTCTGAGACGCTGGTCTACCTCTATTTGGCAATGGCACCAGCAGATGCCGCCTTGCTGCATTACTACGTGCTGAACCTTCAGCCCTTGTTAAAACACAAAAATACGGCTGGGTGGGCCTATAGCCTATGTTGATATGCCGGTGGTTCCCGCGTGTATGATCCTAATGATCCTTTTCAATATCTACCCCAAAGCATGCGACTCGCAGGCATCAGGTGTTTTTCAAAATGTCTTCCTGCCAAGAATTTGGACACGAAATGGGTAGGGCCGGGTCCAAAACCCTTGAATTTCAATTTTACATGAATGAATAAATAAGTAATTTCATGGTAACCTAGATAGATCAATAGATAAGACGACACATAAACAAAACAACATACTTCTACATAAATACATGCATCTATATATATATATACACACACACCCTCTCTCTCTCTCTCACACACACACATATATATATATAGACATAGATACACACACGCACACATGAACATCCACATCTCCATTATTTTGATGAACATCCGTGATGGCCGAAGCCCAGGAAGTGGCCTCAGCCATCCCATGGTCGATGGGCGCCAGCATCTTCACCACAGAAGGTGCAGCTTTCATACTTTAGAACCTGAGGTTGTGAAGGAAAAGAAGGTGCACGGTGTATATATATATAATATGTATATATATGTATAAGTATAATTAAGTATATATATATATACACATGTATGTATATGGGCGTGTGATGACATATGGACATATGGAAAAGGGATAATTTGATAGCATTTGCCAAGATCACCTGAAGACAAAATGCTTCAATATTTGATCTGACACTGAAACAGCGAAACTCTGGAGGGTTCTGAGTGGCACAGTGCCATTCCTGCAGGCCATATCTTTCCACTGCAAGGACGTCCCCCTGGAAGTGACGACCCTCTGGCAACGAGTCATCGGCACAGTGAGGCGAGTGGAACATCTGTCCTGGATTTGAGGAAACCCCAACGCAAGAATGGATGAAAAAAAAGGATGCAGGGTAGTGGGTAGTATCTATGTTATAATACTATTATAGTTGTAGTATATTCTTGGCTTATGATACAAGTCGGCGATGGTCTCTTTGAGCAACAGATAGCTGATGATGATTAGATATTTGTGCATGATGTTGTGAACGTTTCCAGGACTTCGTGATAGATTGTGACTTTCAGCTGGTCACCACTGGTCAAAGCTGTCAATCGTGGATGCTCTTTGGAGGTCCTCTTTCCTTCAGCAGCGCTTACTGCTCCAATGCCTACCTGTGAGGCTCGTCCGCGCTCGCGCGATCTGCGCGACCATGAACTTGGTAGAAACCACTTCATGACAACATGAAGTCTCACAGTATCTCACGGTTATTCTTCTGACAGAGTGTGTCTCCAAAGAGGGGTTGTTGCTATTGCTGCTTTGTATCAAAGCGACTTTACAAGTAACACTTCCTTTGGAGGCCCTGTCGCCTTTCGAGCGTGTTGCGGTGCAGCAGCGGTGTCGCACAAAGTACCTCTTGACACCCAGATGCTCGATTGCAAGCCACTTTGGACCAGGAGGCCCCCCATAGCCTCCTCAGATGAACAGCCCGGACAATCACCACATTGGTGAAAACTAGACTGGATGCCATTAGTGCTTGTTGGTTGCAGGGCTTCAAGTCCTAGTCCTAGGCTACTCTTGTCTGAACTGGCAAACTCTTTGAGGCTATCAGCTGCAAATGATTGCCGAGACCACTCGCCGATGCCGGCCGCAAATTGTTCCCCGGCAACGGTCAGTTTTGGCACCTTACAAAATATGTATAAATTATAAACATATATATGTTTATATTTATATTCACTTGTTGATGCTTGACTATGGCGCAAAATTATTGCTTCACAAAATTGGATGGTGAAATGCGAAGCACACCCAATTCTGTGCGTCGAGGGCCACATTCTTGAGCCATCTGGGTGGCCTGTTGACTAAGGTCACCCTGCTAGTGTGGCTGGATGGCATCTTCCAACAGAGTGCCACTGGTCCAATGCGTATCTTTGGCCTTGCTTCTTCCTTGGGAAGACCAGTGCCAGCCTGGGACCCAAGGAGGGTTTGGCTTGAAATTATGGGAAAACCAGTGGAAAACTAGTGGAACACATTTAAAATCCCATGGTTGATCCATGTTGATCTTCATTGCCATGATAAAATATCGTCATTTTCACACAAACCAAGCTGTTGGTCCTTGGGCCATCCATTCAAAAGCGGGGCCTGTCATCACCTGTCTGAGGCACTTCCAATGCTGCACTGGCAAATGAAGGACAAGGACAGACGAAACTGATGACAGATAGCAGATAGCCTCTTGTCTTTCAGTCGGCTGTCAGCTCTGGCATGAGGAGGTTGACACCAAGGGCATCGCAAAGCCTATCCAAGATGCAGATTTCGGAGGTTGGACGGTTGGACAGATTTCGGTTCTGTTTTGATCTCAAGGTCTTGTGCAGCACTTGGCATCCTGACAGGTGCTGCAGCTGCCAACATGACAGGTACCTGCCAAGATGCTCTGGCAGGCATGTTACAAATGTTCATCGCCCATCACAAAACGAACAACGCCCAAGACCCCTCTTTGTTGATGGTTGTTTAGGGTTCTACCATCCCCCGCGCGCATTTCTTGAAACATGGTCATGCCCATATGCTCCATGTAGGGCATATTTACCTACATTTGGGTGTTATTAGGGCAAATGTAGGTAAATATACCATACATGGAGCATATGGGATGGTATGTCATGGTTGTAGCGTTCTAGGGTAGGCCTTAGTGAAATGACATGGTGCATGAAATCTCGCCCATTTCAGGCTTGGGAAGTGGCGAAAGGCCCCTCCCACAGAGCTTGTCACTCTTGCGCCTGGATTTGGAGCAGAGCCCTGGGCGCATGCTCGCGCACTTAGTGTCAATGTGGTGCTTCCACCGTGCTTTCCACTTGGCGACTGGAAAAATGGTAGGGAAATTCGGCCTGTGGACACCCTGTAATATTCCAAAATGACATTTTTCCGCCATTTTTTCCATGAGTGCATTGGGTGGGGTGAATGATATGGCAGTTGTGCAGAATTAGTTGCGCCAGCAAGGCCATTCTTCAGCTCAACTCAGCGCCTGGAACCTTTGCGCCAGCTCTTTGCAACACGAAGCGTGACGGTGGCAGGGGCCCATGGTCAGCTACAGTGCTTTCGTGCATGACTTTCAAATGGTAAACATATGTAAATAAAGGACGTAAAAGGACATGGCAGGTACGGGCAGGTATTTAGATGGATGGACAAAAAATTGACATGCCCGTTGAGTTTGATGTCGTGTCTGGAACTTGTCGGTATGTAACCTGAAGGTCACCAGGATTGAAGTCCTTGATTCTAGCTTCAAGGGCTCAAGCACGACCCTATCGCTCCCCAATCTCCGGTGATCATGCAGTGGCAGCAAATGAGCGCACACTGGGCTGCAATGATGCAGGCAGGGAGATGGGGCCTTTTCACTGCACATTTCCACGGATTGGCAGATGTCCTGTTTCTATGTTCAACAGCACTATTGGATAATTGGTGAAGATGATATCCCAGTCAGGTGATGTCAATCGATTGTTATTTTATCACCTTTGTCCTTGTCCTTTCCTCCTTTGCAACGCATCCGACCTTCATGACCCACAGATGGAGAACCTACGTTTGCAGCAGATTGCTGCCATGCAATCAGCTATGATCGACTCAATGAGCCAGGAGAGACATCAGAGGATGTGTTTTTGGGTTCAGTGCCTTTCAGATCTTTCGGAGCCCAAAATCAATGTCTGAGTTGGCAGGGGGACCTTGACAGCTTTCGGATCGGTCGGTTGTAGAGTCAGACAGGAGTGAAGAGGAAGGAAAATAGCTGCTGAGAATGACCATGGAGAGAGAGAGAGAGAGAGTGACCAAAACCTATGCTTCCAGACCGCCCCATACCCTTCTCAACACTGCAGGAGATGGCAAAGAAGGGTGAAGATCACAAAACGAACTCAGACAAGTCCCTCAGCAAAGGGGTGGTTGCCGTGGTCTCTGGCATATGCTGGCAGCCACAGGCATCATTTCCAGTCTTTCATTTTGTTGTACATCAGGTTTTTGACCGTTTTGGAGCTTACACATCCAATTTTCGTGTTGGCAAATACGAAGCTGGCTCAATCTAGTCATTTGGGGGAAGCCTCCATATTTGGGTGTATATTCTTTTCCCAGCACAACCAATCCATTGATATGACAAAGATTGTAGTAGGATATTAATGATGGATATATCAATACTAGATCCCCATTGTACATCCCATGATGGTTACTACTATTCGAAGTCCACATTCTATCCCAATTGTGCATGTAAGACTGAACGTATGTATGAAACATCCATCTCAAGCTTCTATGGACTTGGTGTGGGGTGTTGTTCTCATCCAGCCAACCTGCCAGCAGATTGCGCAAAAGTCAGTTGCCAAGCTTCAGAAAGCGTCCTGCATCTATGAGAAAGAGAGCGCTGCAGGATCCCCTGAAAAAGATGTTGCAGGATCACGGAAGTTCAAGGTTGTTGCTGTTGAAGTTGACTCCTCCCAGAAAGCGCTGTCTCATGGTTTGGTGCTAGTTGGCGCCCCACTCGAGAAGAGGGTTGCTTTGATTGTCCTGTCCATGAGGATCGCAAACGTGCCGGTCACCTCATCCTCACTTTCAGCAAGGCTTGCAGGGAATTGGGCTTCGATCTTTATGTTCAGAAGATGCATGATTTGCTTGCTGTTTGAGAGCTACAGCTACAGTGCTACAGTTTTGGCAGTGACTGCGAGAAGACCACAGCTCAGGTTTTTGAGCTACCAAGGAGCACGGCAGAGGAGCTTATGCTCAGTAGTGTCTTCGCCCTCGTTGCGGTCTCCAATGTCAGAGCTGCGTGCAGTCCAGTCGTCTATGCAATCGACGCACCGATGCAGCGAGGAGCGGTGACAGCCAGACCGGTTAGCCCAGACATAGCGAGAATGTTAATATGGCTTGGAGGAGACAAAAAGGGAACCTACACAGCGCTTGATCCTCCCTTTCGAGCGTGGCGTAGATCATTTGAGATAGACCTTGAGGAGCTTGAAGGGGAAAAAGACAAGTCCCCAGCGTCCTTGGAGTTTCAATTCAGCTTTGTTGAAGTTTGTGGTGTTGTTGGGTCAGTATCCAAAGCCCTGGCAGCCCGGGGTAGATCGGTTATGGCTGCGATAGAGCTTTCCGACTCCCCACGCTATGACATCAGAGAGCTTAGGCTCGTTGAGTGGCTGTGCCATATGCTTGAGAGTCGCAAACTCCGGTGTATCATGGTTGAGCCTGTTTGCGCAACATTTTCTTCGGCGGCCCACCCAGCAGTGCGGAGCTATGCTGAAGTTTGGTTCACCTCACCGGAAGGAGTTCAGGATGATTGGGAAATGTTTGGATATGCAGAGCATGACATGCAAGTGCCTTGGCGGACACGATCACCTCAGGATCGAGGGGAAATATACCAAACCATCTTCAATCTACGTGCCAGCCCTTGCGGAGCACCTTGCAAAGCATTTTGATGATGCGCTCCGGAGAAGAGAGGCAGTTGAGGAGCAAGCGGCAGGTGTCTTAGGTCTTGAGTCAGTTTTGGCTAATGATATCCGGAGAATGGCGTGTGCAGATGTCATGGTTGTGGAAAATTCCCTCTCATATCAACATCCTAGAGTCGCATGCCTTTGTCTCCCTTCTGAGAAGCTTGCTTGAGCCTGCAGATGGCCAAAGGTTCTCCACCCTCCTGGATTCAAGGGTTGCGAAAGGGTCACGTGCTAAGGGCAGATCCTCTGCAAGAGCCCTCCGGCCTTCACCCAAGAAGCCTGCTGCATACCAGCTTTCAAGTGGCCTGTACCCAGCAGCACATGCCCCAACTCGTGACCGTGACTTGCCTGAGGCTTCTTTCAGCGAAACAGTTTCAACAGCAAGAGCCAAGGCCCTTCATACAATTGGACTTTCCCGACATGCTTCCGGCTGGGTCAGGCTCACCGTCCTGCTGCTTATTTTGCCACGTGCCGAGGCTGACGGGCTGTTTGGATTTCCCTATAAGTCTGGTTCAATGTGCCTCCATTCGGTGGATTTTGGATTTTCCTCTCCTTCTCCATCTTGCCCTTCGGATTTTTGGACTTTCAGCCTCTCTTGGACTTTTCCTCCTCATCTTCGCTGGTGGATTTTGCTCCGAGTCTTCCCAAAGTCTCGTCTTCAGAGGTGGTCTTGGTCCAAGGGTCCCGTCTGGTCGTTCCTTTTGGATAATAATTTGGTTTTTATCGCCCCAAATTATTAGTGCCCCCCGAATTATTAGTGCAAGCGCCAAGTCACATGGAATGCAGCCATTGCCCCTCGCTGCGTGCTTTCCCATTTTTGCTGAAGCCATGCCCATGCAACCTCTGAATGTGGATGGGCAGGGAAGAGCTGCAAGAAGGAGCACGAGCGTTTTGGTTGCGGACAGGGTAGTGCGCGCACAAGCCAGAAGCAGGCGCGACAAGCTCCTCGATGACTTCGAAGCCTAGCTGATTGCAAATGCTAGGACCACTTTGGCTGTATTCCTTGAGGCACCCTACGTCAATGCGGAACAGATCTCTGAACTGCTTGTGGCGTATGGGAAGGAGTTGTACTACTCAGGGAAATCTTACGGGCGCTACTCAGAGACCATTAACGCTGTGGCCTCAAGGCGCTCGGTGCTGAAGCTCCAATTATATAGTTGGTGCCTGGGGCCTGGGACCTCACATTTGCATGGGTTGCGGATGAGCCGCACTCACATCATCCACCTATACCTCTGTTAGTCATCCTTGCGTTTGCTGCACTAGGGATGTTGTGGGGGTGGGCGGCTGAGTCAGCCCTCCTGCTTATGGGTGCGGCTTGTTAAGGATTCTCTAGCCGCCACAAGAGGAGATTTGGTTCTGCCAGGAGAAGGAGCTCCAGGAGTGTCATTTGCATTGCTCCAAATTCACCAGTCAAAAACATGTGGTGTTGCGGCGAGGCATCAGGCGCCTCGAATAGATCCACAGGATGTAGTCCGCCTTTTGACTGCAGCTTTTGGGAAGCTGAATAGCAGTGAGCCTTCAGAGTTTTTCATCGAGCACTTTAAGGAAGAGATTCTCTATGCTGCAGGCCGCGCTTGGCCTTCCAACACGTAGATCAGCAGAGGTTGCACCATATGATCTAGCCTCTCTACGCCCTGGGGGAGCCACGCGCTTGTTGCACCAGTTCGAAGATGCTGAGTTTGTTCGGCGACGTGGCCGTTGGCTCAGCAGCCGAGTTTGCGAAATCGATCTGCAGGAAGTTGCGGTTGTGACCCATCAGACCCGCATCAGCGCAACTGCAAGATCTCGCATATCTGAACTGGTCAAAGCCTATCTTGAGATTCTTGAAAAGACGATTCGTATGCTGGACAGCTTCATTCCGCTTTCTGCATGGCCCCATTTATGGTGGACAAGCTTGAGTGGACAATATGGAAGAAGTGGGGCTGATGAGTTTCATCACAATGCCATGAACAACATGGCACAGAGCAGCTACGCCCTTAGATGTGAAAAGGAGTGTGGAAGTCTTGCGCATGTAAGACTGAACGCATGTATGAAACATCCATCTCAAGCTTCACCCGCGCCACCCTGCTTTGCTTGCTCAGTTACCACACATGGGGCTTTTCATCAAAACAATGCCATGAACAACATGGCACAGAGCAGCTACGCCCTTGGATGTGAAAAGGAGTGTGGAAGTCGTCTCATATATATTCCCAATTAAGAGATGCTTCGCCAACTTACAACCCGCTTCCCCGGTTGTCCGAAAAAGGAATAGAAGCGATGAGGAAGTGCCACGCCGCCACCAGATGCCCAGGAAACTGGTACGGTGGGAGCCCAAGATGGGAGTTTTTCAATTTCGGGGCGCGCTCAAAAAATGGTAAATCATTGGTTTACACATGGTAATTATATGATATTATATGTAAATATTATGCAAGTATGGGTGGAATATGGTTTCCAACAAAAATGTGGTTGATCATATGGCAGTATAGCAAGAATAGGGGAAATTCATGGACAAGTAATAAGCAATTGGCGCAATGTGGTAAACGCAAGGATCCAGGATAAACCACCCCCAATATTACTATAGATGGGTTGTAACAAACCATCCCCAAGTCGTAGTTGTGCAGGGTTTACCACGCGAGGCCCTTGGAGCCCAACTTGGAGCCAATGAAAATTGCAACCCCCGAGACTCTATCGCCACAGTCCACAGGAAGTGCCTTGGCCATATTTTTACGGACTAAAGTGGCGTTTGCTGCATGGTTTGATGGGTGACTTTCAAACCAACAATATTGAAATACCATTGTCCCTCCAATGGCTCACTTCATCAGAGTATCCAGTTTTGGCCACGTTCACATTGGCATATGAATGCACTGCGACGCGCGTTGTGCAACTGTTTAGGTCTATCAGTTTTCTCCTACATTTCGCCTTTGCCCTCGCCAGCATCTTTGCCATCGCCCATTGCAATGCAATCACCTCAGGTGCACCTTGAAACTATTGAAAACCAATCGTGAGGATCGAACCTGCAGACATGGATACAAAAAGTAGCATGCCCCAATCACCAAACATTTGCCCGATTGTTTCTGAATAAGGAACTCTGGGTTTGGTAAGGATAATCAATAACAACTGTTGATTACCAGCAAAAACTGCGGATTGACAGGCTGGTGCTTTCCAACTTTTCTTTCACCAATCCCTGGGTAACAACCTCCATTGACCTTCATATTTCACAGGTGGCTCAGACTGCTGTGCGGGGTGCAGGTGACGCCACATCTGCCACCACCACCGGGTCTGGAACTTTCCGTCCTACTTCAGCATGAGGCTAGTGAGAACAGCATCGGAACAAGTGAGGCAGGAACTTTGGGTGGCGGCACTAAGGGGGTTGAGAGTTGAATCATGTTGTGACGACAGTGTTGAACTATCTGCTCATCTGAGTCCTGGAGCAGGTGATTTCAGCACATGCGCCGCCATCACATGCCATGGCGTATTTCATTTGATGTCTTCAATTTTCTTGAGCTCCACAGGATCCGGACAATCTCAAGGGCCTGAGCATTACGACCTCCCAGCTACAAGCTGGCATGGTGACCCACGTGGTGTGGCACATTGGAAACCCTCAGGCAGGACGCCCAGGCTGTGGGGTATGGCTGGTGGTGTACACTATTTTTCAATGTCCATCATGGGCCTCATTAACCAGTATGTTTTCGGCATGGGTTGAAATAGCCATGCAGACCAGTCGCTGGCCCTCAGCAGTAGTTGTGACAGCCCAAGGCCAAATTGCAAGTGAGCTGTGGTTCTGCGCTGGTATCCCCATCCTTCACAGTCAACTATACGGAGGGCCTCCGACTCCTCTTCTCTCCCGGGGAGTCTTGTGGCAAAAGCTGGATATGAGAAACCTTGGAGTACTTGGGAGGATGGGAACCTAGATTATCTAGATTCGCAATGAGGAATATGGAGGATTTCCATCCATTGAATTCGCAATATCCATCCTTTTTTGAATTGGCATAGCGCCGTAGCGCCACTTGGTCCTCCTAAAGGGTGCATTGCCATGATTTCGGAGTATAACATCAGTACAACATCAGCTATTTCCCAGCTTATCGGAACAAACATGGTTACATATCCCAACATATGTAACATATGCCAACTTGCAATGAATTGATTCATACATCAGTTGAGGTTTACCTCAAGTTACAGCAGTTATATATATATATGTATATATGTGTATCCGAACTTTTGTAAACCTGGTCGTGCCATTGTTACATGGCCAGTTGGCCCAGGTGTTGGTGGCATGAATTCCAGGCCAAGAAGGCGAAGAAGGTGGGTTACCAGTATGGGGTTCTTATAGGATGCCTGGGCCGCATGATTTTGCACTTGTCTCCAACTTGTCTCACACTAGGCTGTGGGTGTATTGGGTTGCATGATGTTGCATTTGCGGCCCACTTGTCTCGTGCTCGTCTCCCACTTTCTCCCATGCTGTTGTTGCGTTGGGCCACGTGGTTTTGTACTTCTCTTCATCCGACTCCATCCCTCAAACAGTTTAGTGGGTTCAAAAGGGTCGCGTCTTTGGGATGGAAGCTTTTCCTTTGTCTCCGCTTGTCTCCTACTTGTTTGCTGCATGCCACTGCTGTGGCCTTGGTCTCCTGCCTTCCTGCCGTCACATGCCGTCGCTCTTTTTCTAATGCTTTCTTTTTTGCGGTCTCATGGCGGGCAACAATTTGGCGCTTGATACAGTATTTCCTCCCGTTTGGGGTCAACCGTTTTCTTTTTCAATGGGGATTCAATACAAATAAATGGGTGATATGAAAATCTGGTGGGTGAATTACAGGGTAATATAATGTAACACATTGGCTACAAGCAACTAATTGATGTGGATGCTGGATGCTGAAGTTTGTTCTAAGGGTTTGGAGTGGTAAATTGTAACCTCAATAGTCGTGATAGATCCATGGCTACCATAGCTTAGTTTGTTTGTCATGGGTCACATGATAAATTTTAGGAAGGAGTTCCCTCCAAGATTCTCAATGGGCTTCTCTTCTTCAGAATTCATGATGTATTTTATACTGGTATCCTGACGGTATCCTATCATTTATTGGGTGAGATCGAGTTATATCCCACAGGTTTACCGCTTCGGGTGATTTCTTGTGCGCCAGGGCAAGAGACGGGCGGAACGCCTGCCGCGCTTTGGCGCTTTGCACCTGAAGCTGTCAGGATTGTTTTTTTTTTGCTGGGGACACACCTGGCAATGGAAAATCCAGATGTTTAGAGTAACCCAGTCAGTCATTTACAAATTGTGGCTTTCCCCTTGCCATGTTTGATGTACCAAAGGGTATCCAAAACTGAATCATGCGCTCCACAGACAGTTGGTCCAGCCCTGGGATTCATGACAGGCCATGCGCATGAGTGCAGCCACACCCACCTCTGACCGAATTCATCCCAATCTGGGTGTCTTTGAAAGGTGAGTTTTCCCTCAGTTTACGGCAATTTGTATAGGGAAAATATGGGAAAATGATGAAGCAGCGAATTTGAGGCTATCCGGCTATCCGGCTATCCCATTTTCAAGATAGCTAGCAAACAGCATAGCAAGCAGGATATTGATCCCGCAGGAGACCTTGCGTGTGGAGCACAGGTAACGTTGGTTTTCACAGTGGGCGGAGCTTTTCGGCCGCAGTTTCGAGCAATTTTCGGACAGCTTTGCTGTGTTGCAATAGGTCCAGACAGTGACCAGTTGTAGCTAGGTTAGTAGTCTCAGACAATATTGTGTACGTACAAAACACGAGTTTGCTTTATTTGCATTATTAGATGTACTGTACCTAAATTCAGTAGATGGTTCTTCTTGTTATCCTTACTCTTTTTTTTCTCAGAAGGTTCAGAAGGGGACACCCTGGGAGTGCGGTTTTTCACTGCATTCTGCAACCACTGACACTGCACATGTGCGATGGTTCTCTCACTGCTTTGCAACCATTGATAATTTTTGCCTGGTTTTTCTGCAATGGCTAAACAAAACCAACCCAAAAACCAAGAAACCAAAAAACCAAAACCAAAAAAACAAAAAACAAAAACCAAAAAAAAAACACAAAATGACAAGTCCCAACTCTCTGCCACTACTCCCCCCCTTGGGGTGTGCAATATATATTTTTTTTTGGTTTCTTTTTTTTAGTTTTTTTTGTTTCTTGTTTTCTGGTTCGTTGTTGGTTTTTCTGCCATGGCTAAACGCAACCAAAATCCAAAAAACCAAAAAAAACAAGAAACCAAAAAAACAAGACCCAACTCTCTACCACTACTCCCCCCCTTGGGGTGTGCAATCTTTTTTTTTTGGTTTCGTTTTTTTTTTTTAATTTAGTTTTTTGGTTTCTTGTTTTCTGGTTCGTTGTTGGTTTTTTGAAGGGCTGGCAAAACAACACAAAAGTGAAGGACCTAGACCTAGCTCTTTGCCAGTTCTCCCACTTTAAGGGTTGCAAACTTGCTTTTGGTTGATTTTATTGTTTGCTTTGGGCCTGTGGCTCCATTAGAAAACCATGTAATTACACAAGCCTAGCAAAATGCAGGTATCACTGGAGGAAGCTTGGGGGGCTTGGGACACAGATTAGGCAATTTTGTTTGTTTATATATGTAATTTTTCAAAAACTGTGTTGAACAAATGCAAAAACATAGGCAGCCCATGAATTCTGAATGTGTAGAGCTGATTTTGATATTGGCATTGTTGGCTCAAACCCTTGAGACTTAGAAAGATTCTCTTGAAAAGGAGTGATGCATCTCTTTGAAGGGAGTGCTCCCTTCAACAAGTGCATTGCTGCATTTCTTTTAAAATGGTAGAGTACCCATTGAAGTAGGTCATGTCTTAATCTACTTTTATGTCAAAAGTGAACCCTCTTGCACATGCAATGCCCTTTTCACAATATATTTTCTTAAATGAAGAACACATGGTACATGTAAGCACGTAAAATATGTCCTTCACAATTGCACATCATTTTTCTGAATGCATAATGTTATATTCTTCCAAGACAATGAACCGTATTTTGGGAATAACACCCTTTGGTGTAGGCAGCTCTCCTCTTGAAAAATATTGTAATTTGAAGAATGTGCATCTTTAAATCTTAAGACAAGCAAACATTGTTTGAAAATATGGTATACTGCATGCATGTAGCACTCTTTTGACAGAGTATGGTCGTCCTTGAAGAATCTGTTGTTGAATTTGTGCAATACCCCCTTGATATGAGTGAGATATTTGATTACACGAAAACATATGAACACATTAATTATTGTTGGATTGTATTGAACACATTTCTTTACGTGAGTGTTGTCTAACTGAAGGCTGGGCTGATCTGACAAAGGGGAAGAGTACACATATCAAACAAAAGGAATGCTCTATGTCAAATAATCTTGCATACATTATGCAGAGACATTGGCTTTTCTAAAAGGGGTACTGCTCCTTTGAAAGGAGGGTTAGACATCTGGAAATGCACACTGCACTCCTTCAAACGGCATGGTGCAACTTTTCAAGGAATACTTCATATTTTGCTTGGATATGTTCCCTGCAAACACACATGCCCCAAAGGAAGATTAATTACTCTTATTCAGAAGGGTATGTTTGTTTTGAATACTGCATTTGTTGGCAGGCATGGGGATGTTGTAATTATGTTGAAACCATCAAGTCATCTAGCATATTCTGCAGAAATTGTGTTTTGTTGAAGGGACACTGTAGTAGCATTTATCTATATAAGGTAAAATGAACACCTGGACACTTCTTCAAGCAATACATGCTATCTAGCGGACATGAACACAGCTTTATCTGTAGCTTAAGCTTTAATGTGATTACAGTTTTGAAACAACATATTAAACAGTGCACTCCCACAGCGTCCTGCTCTCTTTTTTTTTTGGTTTTGAGGGTGAATGACGTGATTTCGTGTATTTTTTTTTCCTCACATCAATCCATTGAATCTCTGTGATTTCCTCGGCTCAGGTCAAACAAAGCCCCATCCAGGTCAGTCCGGGTCACAGCACCTGCTTGACTTGCGAGTTGGACAAGGACTGGCGACGTGAGACTGACGGCGCCTGGGCAATGATTTAACGTGTTTACGAAGTTTACGAACATCAAAGTTAGATTGAACATGTTAGAATTAGAATATGATTGTAGTAAAATGTACTTCTTTTCGACCTTTGGGGGCCGTGTGATGACCATGATGAAGAAGTCCCCAGGTGATGCAAAGTGTGATAGTTCCAAGATGTGTTAGAGATGAAGTGTCACGGTGCAGCAGTCCATCATTTCTGACCATCTCATTGCCAGGTACCGATGGTTCGCTGACAGTGGGTGTGGATATTATTCGTGGCCAAGAGTCGAACGATGATTGCCGCTGGGCACTGAAAATGGACGAATGGTGTCTGAAAATGGAGGAATTTACTTGATTCACCACCAATTTATGGCGGACAATGATGATTAAGCAGCGGATTCTGGCGGTACTCCATAATTTTCAAACAAGCCCTCATTGAATTGACATGGGATTGGTTGACGTTTCTGCGAAAAACGACCATAAACATAACATACTTGATCATCACTTTGGCTACTGCAATTATTTGGGTATCAATGGTATTTGTGCACTTTCTGGACGACGCCATTTGCAAGACCCTGGGCTCACAGATGTTGACTAAATATGGAGTAGGCATGGGTAGGCACTGCCACTGAATGCAGATCTGAGGATGTGATGTACAGGCTGAGAGCTTTGGTGAGTGAGATCTTTGGCAACGCTTGGGGGTAGCCATGGACAATTCAGCAGAGTGCCGCAAGTCCATTGGGGCTGTGTAAATCAATCGGCAGCTGCTGCTATCGTCTGAGTCCTGGCGAACCCCATAGCATAGCTCACTTGCTAAACTTGGCAGTTCGATGTAGAGAGCACCTTGGATTTCAAGAGATTTGACGGTGACGATTTGACATGAGCATTTTTGCTGGTTTTTCTATGGTGACCACCCTGGCCGATCCAGTTGCTGGACTTACCCAAACCGTGTAGTGTTCTCGTTTTAATCAGGAGATTAGGAGAAGTTTCTTTTCCGGCTGTGGCACTCTGAACTCAAGGCTCTAAGACTCTAAGAATTGATTTCCAGGTGGGGAGATCCTTTAGCAGCTTGTTGGGGCCAAACCGATTGGGCTCTTGGGAGTAAGCTGCATATACTGCGTGTATGCATTTTGTCTAAAAACAGAAACACACGCACAACACACACACACACACATACACGCACACGTATGTAATATGTATATGTATATGTATATGTATATGTATATGTAAATATGTTTATATATATGTATATATACATGCATATGCGGTTCATAAACATTTGCTTCATTTGGCTGCTTGCAGCGTTTCTCTCACTTTTTCTAGAGGCTATTTCTCCAAGCCAACCGAATTGCTTCATTGTCATTTTGTGAACAGTCACCGCGTAAGCAAAGGTTACAAAAAGGCTGCAGTTACAGAAGCCTCTGCAGCCTTTTGTGCTGGCCTCAGTGTTGGTGATGCTTGTTGCGTCTTTCATCCCTGTGCGGCTCAAGTAGATAGATAAATATACTGTATGTATTTGTTTCTACAATAATATTTAATGTTTGAATTTACTAATAACACACCCACACACACACACATACGTGCGTTTACATACATACATACGTACGTACGTACGTACATACATCCATCCATCCATCCATCCTTCCTACATACATACATACATACATACATACATACATATCGTACATAACGTACATATCGTACATATCGTACATATCGTACATATCGTACATATCGTACATATCCTACATATCCTACATATCGTACATATCATACATACCATACATATCATACATATCATACATACCATACATACCATACATACCATACATACCATACATATCATACATATCATACATATCATACATATCATACATATCATACATATCATACATATCATACATATCATACATATCATACATATCATACATATCATACATATCATACATATCATACATATCATACATATCATACATATCATACATATCATACATACATACATACATACATACATACATACATACATACATACATACATACATACATACATACATACATACATACATACATACATACATACATACATACATACATACATACATACATACATACATACATACACACACACAGACATACATACATACATACATACATACATACAACATACATACATACATACATACATACATACATACATACATACATACATACATACATACATACATACATACATACATACATACATACATACATACATACATACATACATACATACATACATACATACATACATACATACATACATACATACATACCATACATGCATACAATATATACATACATATCATACATGCATACAATATATACATGCATACCATACATGCATACAATATACATACATCAATATGTACATGCATACAATATATACATACATACCATACATGCATACATACATACATGCATCAATATATATACATACATACCAAATACATTACATTACATAACATTACATAACATTACATAACATTACATAACATTACATAACATTACATATCATACATACCATACATACCATACATACCATACATACCATACATACCGTACATACCATACATACCATACATACCATACATACCATACATACCATACATACCATACATACCATACATACCATACATACCATCCATACCATCCATCCATCCATCCATCCATCCATCCATCCATCCATCCATCCATCCATCCATATATGCATGCATGCATGCATCCATGCATACATACATACATACATACATACAATATATACATACAATATATACATACAATATATACATACAATATATACATACAATATATACATACAATATATACATACATACCATATATACATACATGCATTATATACGTACATACATGCATTACATTACATTACATTACATTGCATTACATCACGTCACATCACATCACATCACATCACATTACATACATACATACATACATACATACATACATACGTACGTACATACGTACGTACGTACATACGTACATGCGTACATGCGTACATGCGTACATACGTACATACGTACATACGTACATACGTACATATGGACATATGTACATTATATATTATATATTATTGATGTACTTGTGTGATAAATCAGTGATAAATATATAATATCATTTTGGTTCTTGATCATCCATTTTGGCTTGTACTGGTAAATATCCATTTGGTTGGCACTCATTCAATGATGTTCCTATGGTGACAACATGGTGATATTTCACAAACCCTGACGATGTTCGTAGACGACCTCCAATTCTCAAATCAAAAAACAATCCGAGACGCTCGCCCAGGCACGCGCGGTGCAGCCGCAGAGGCACCAGATCTTCTGCGCACTGCAACATGGCGCAAGCAGCTGGTTGCAGTTGCGGTGGCTGTTGTTGCTGTTGTTGTTGTTGTTGTTGCTGCTGTTGTTGTTGTTGCTGGTGTTGTTGTTGTTGTTGTTTCTACTGGTGGTGGTGGTGGTGTTGGTGTTTTTGGCGAGCACTGGACGTGGCATCTGGGATTTGAATCTGGGATTATTTGACAACTCTGCTTGGCAATTTGTTTGTTTGGTGCATGGCTAAGGCTCTATTTGAATTCACCTCTCAGTATAGATGATCACGCATCTTGGAGAAAAACCAGCATGGCCAACATCAAAATTCAGATTTGTGCAAATAGGAGGCAAACAGGTGTATGGTTCGGTGGCAGCTACAGCACGGAAGCTTTTGTCAATGCTGGACATTGCTGGCCTCAACTTTTTTTGATGTGCGTGTCAGAACTCAGAACCAAAGGTTGCTGCTGCCTTGGTGGGGCACCAAGAGACTCTTACCAAAAGAGCTGCTCTGAAGCTTCGTGGCAGACAAGTTTTCAAACTATCCAAGTTTGCTATGCACAAATGTGGATGCTGCATGCTGCCAGAAATCCATGGTCAAACCACCCAACAAATTCCAACATCAAAATTTTGCGCAAACTCTCCAGCATTGGCAAGCATGGCAGTGTTCAATGAGTTGAACTGGAGCCGCCTTCCCCGTTTCGATCTGATTTGATGGACGGTGACGGTTGTATAGCAGAGCTCCCAGACACTCAGAAAAACATTTGATATACGCATGCGAGGCATGCGAGCCCCTGAATAGATCAGGCACACTCAGAATCGATTCCCAAATGCCAACCCTCCCCTTGCTGAGTTGCAAGGCTTGAGGGCAGGTGATTTTGCTTTAACACGAGCATTGAGCCTCAGAATTTTGGGAGACATACGGGAGGCTGCGCTTTGACAGGTGGTGAAAGATGCATATGCACAAGCATCAACTTATCAACATATTATATAGCTGTAGATTGAAGTAACATCTCACACATCTCAGACATCTCAGGCACCAGGCTATTCATATGTGTGTTTATGTATATATATGTGCACATGTATTTAATGTACAGTAATATAATATGTATGTATATAATCAGCACACTCATAAAAAATTGTCCTCCTGTCCCTAAGGTGTCGTTGAGTCATTGCCCCACGGGCACCATGGTACATAGAACTCTTTTGCAACACCAGCAAGCAACGGAGTTGCTCACGTGAACCGACCTGGGGCGACCATTCCCCACACGGCCATGGGGGCCGTTTTCATTTGCAAAGTGACGCATGACACGAAATGCAGTCATATTTCCGATTCTTTGATCTCTGAAGCCTGCAAGTACATATCCAGATTTCTGGTGCATTGCGGCCAAAAAGTCGTGCTTTTCCTGACTCATGGCTTTATTGCTGCGCAATTTTTTGGAGCATGGGGAGGTGAGTTCAAAGGGCCCAACACCCAGTGGAACTGCGGAGCATGAACCAAGGCCGATCCTCTGAATGCATGCAGTGACCTTCAAGTGCCACTCAAACAGAAGCAAACCCTGGAGGACTCTCAGTAGCCAAGTTTTTGAGCAATTTGCTGAGCTTTGCTGTCCTTTGTGCTCAACTGGCTTCGTTTGAAATTGGGGGACTCAAAATGGGGGACTCAAAAATCCAACCGATGATCATCATTTTCCAGGCAATTTCGATCAATTTTGATTACCACCATTATGAAACAAATGAAATTTGATGTTATTTTGGAACTTCTTGAAGTCACGGAGCAAATCAAGAATTCTATTGGGACCCTCAAAACTGAATTCGATCCAATGAGCCCGCAGGTGGATGGCACAGTATATCCGCAAACTTGGGGACCTCCAGACGAAAGCACAATGAGACATGAGAAGCTTCATGAAACTTCCATCAAAATGACCCAAGATATCCCAAGATGCGGACTTTCCGCAAGCCATTTTCCAAGGGGGCCTCCACTTGGCAGGACACCTATGCAGGCCGACTGATTGTGATTTCCCGAGGCGGTTGCCTTTTCGTCCAGCTACTTGGATTGGCGATATGGAATGCCATTGGTGATCTACAAATGGTCGGTTTAAAAGAGATCTACGGCTTGTGCCCTTGGGTACTAAAGTAAATGTTCGCTTTAGCGGGACGAAATGCCGTGGCCATTTTGGATCGAAGCCACCCAACATACTCCCCAGATTTGTTTTTCAACAGGGGGAGATGTCGGTACTTGCCTGGGCCAAAGGACACAAACCTGGCCCTGGTGGGAGACCTCAGGAGTCAAGCTTGGAGAGCAGACATCTAACGGTCTATACCCCGAGGGGAGGTCGAGCCCCGAAAAGCGGGAGTGGACCTTCAGACCGGGGTCGTACCTCGAAAACCGGGGGTGGGCATTCAGATGCTGCCGCAACAGCTGTGTTCCCTGGAGTGACAGAGCGCAGGATCGAGTGATAGCAAATCCAGAAGCGCCAAGCGATCTGATACCGTTGAGGACCCTGCACAGGGTAAGGCCAAGCTGGGCAAAACCGAAGGTTTCTTTGCACTCGGTGCCTGGTCGGCGCGCCTTGACATTGCAAGACTACTCGAAACCCGAGTCCCGGCGGACGAGATCATTGCTGAAATCAAGAGCGGCCAGGAAGGGGAGACCCCCTTAGCGCCACCTGTCAAGGAAAGGAGTCCAACCCCTTCCGTAGAGAGGGGCGCCAGGCGGAGCTTTCCCGGAGTACCGGAGTTGAACATCGGCACAAAGTCACCGGGCAGTAGAAAGGTAGGACGGGCGAGTCAAAGGAGCCAGCATCAAAAGGTGTTCCCACTTGGGCTGTCGGCTCCACAGCTTCAGCTCTTTCCTTTTGGGAAGAAGTCAGCAGCACGCCCAGCGCCACCATCCCAGCACGGTGACACCTCAGCAGAGGATTCCACGGACAGAGGTGCACTCGGAAGGTTACTCAGCTTCGTTCGGTCCGACTGAAGATCTCGAGGGCGAGGGTGTCGAGTTGAGTTGGGCGGAATGTTGAGTCAGTTTTCGAAGAGAGCGTCCTATCCTGAGAAGGAAGAAAAGCCGCCGAAGGGTGACCCGTACATCCCTCGAGCATTACCGAGGAGGACACAGAAGCTCGAACAATACAGGAGGCCGCTCGTTCTCTGTTCGAGGAGATGGTGATCATGCAAGCCCCCATGGATCTCAATGCAGAGGTCTTTAAAAATGGTCTCGGGACCGATGACAATACTTTCACCACCCTCACTGATCCCAAGTCACCGGGAACGGGTTGAGATACGCCCGCCTGATGAAAAGACTCCTGGCTGCGCACTCTGAATTCCAAGAGTCAGAAGGGCCAACAGATCCATTTTAAAGTTCATGCAATTTCTCATGTCAGATGATGTCAGCCTCATCCAGGATGAAGCGGGCTTCAGAACGCCACAGAGCATCCTTTATGATCTTCAATCTGTGGAGGAGATCTACAGTGGAATTTTTGGCTTTGCTTGTCCGGGCGCAGCGCCATCGGGTGAGGAAGCTTGCCAGGAAGTATGTTGCCAAGGCCCCTGAGCGTTTCGGCTCCTTACTTCGAAGTTGGTTTCTTGTTGTACCTAGAAAAGGTTTACCCTTCATTCATACTTCACGTGATCTCCAAACCAGAGTGGCCTGTGGGAAATTGCGCTTGTGCACCCAGGCGAGCATCAGACACAGTGACGTGGTTGCAATGGTTGAAGTGGTCACCTCACCACAACTGCTGGATGTAGTGTGGTGTAGCGCAGTTGTAGTTGTAGCCGTAGGTGTAGTGGTAGTTGTAGTGTAGTGAAGTTGTAGTTGAAAGTTGTAGTTGTAATGTAATGTAATTAGTGTAGTGTAGTTGCAGTTGCAGTTGTTGTTGTGGTGTGGTGTAATTAGCGTACTGTATTGTAGTGTACTGTAGTGTTGCGTACTGTAGCGTGGTATAGTGTAGTGTAGTCTAGTGTATTGTAGTGTAAAGTAGTGTAGTTGTATTTGTAGTGTAGTGTCGTCTAGTGCAATGTAGTGGTAGTTGCAGTTGTAGCGTGATGTAATGTAATTAGTGTAACATAGTGAAATGTATTGTAGTGGTAGTTTTATTCGTATTTGTAGCTGTGATGTGCTGCAGTTCAAGTAGTGTATTGTAGTGTAATGTAGTGTAGCTGCAATTGTAATTGTAGTTGTAGCTGTGGTGGTGGTGGCGGCGGTGGTGGTGGTGGTGGTAGTAGTAGCAGTAGTAGTAGTAGTAGTAGTTGTTGTTGTTGTTGTAGATTGTAGTTGTAGTGTAATTAGTGTATATAGTGTAGTGTAATTAGATGTAATTAGTGTAATTAGTGTTGTGTAATGAGTGTAATTTAACGTAGTAAAGTTGTACTTGTAGTTGTAGTAGTAGTGTAGTGTAGTGGTACTTGTAGTTGTAGTTGTCTGTCTATCTATCTATCTGTCTGTCTGTCTGTCTATCTGTCTATCTGCAAGCTTGAAAGCGCAGCAATTCTGCTAGACTTCTTCACTTTTTGAACTTGACAACATCAAACACGAGACAATTCTGCGAGACTTCCTCAATTTTTGAACTTGACAACATCAAAAACGAAACAATTCTGCGAGCTTCCTCAATTTTCGAAGTTGACAACATAAAAAATGAAACCATTCTGCGAGAATTCCTTCAAAAATGGAAAGTTGAGTGCAGAGCTGACGGCCTCGTGCCAATGCGTTTTGCGATTTTTGCACTCGTCTAAAGTACTGCGCCTGCCACGAAAAAGTGATGCCAGGTCATACAAAGTGCTGCACCTGTCATGCAAAATCATCTTCCCCAAACTGAAGATCTGATGCTCCAAAATGCAGCCCCTCTCAGGAAATCAGCGCCCGGACATCCTAACAGCTCTGATGAACATGTCTCTTGTACTGCGCCTGCCACGGAAAATTCATCTTTGCAGATCCTCTTCAAATGTCCCACGCCTGCCATCGCATTTTGAAATGCTACAAAACCCTCACGTTTTGCTCACTTTTGACACGGTGCACAATCTTTTGCGCCTGCCACGCGAAACGACATCTGAACGTTCAAAAGTGCTCCGTACCCCTCAGTTCTTTTACACTTTTGACTGGGAAATGTGCTTCGTGCCACGATGGCGTGCACTTTTGGGCTGGCTCATGGGCCCGCAAGTTTCGTCGCATCGACGATCACCAAGCTTCAGGTATGAATGAATGCGAGCACAGATTCCAAAAAGTACCCATGACAATGGTGGACTATATTGGTGTCATGCTGAAGAACCTGGCTGAAGGGCCACTTCTTCGATGAGGATCTCTCCTGCTTGCCGCCATCCTGGGCATCCTGTTTAACACAGAGGCCCTTCGCACGCAAAGAATCAATTCTCTCTGCGCAAAGCTTTCTCGCCTTTCAAACTTGCTGCTGATGATTGGTCAAGTCCAAACATCAGGTAAGCTCACCCCTGCGCTGGCTGCCAGCTTAGTTGGCAAATTTGGCTTCCCTTGTTCAACGCAAGAGCTTTGTCCCACAAGTTCACCCCCAATACTGGTCTACACGGACGCATCTGATGTCCCAGGCCGTTCACCTCAAAGAGTATTGGGAGCCATCCTCTTTCAGCCCGGGACCGGCAAACTCTTTTACACTTCTTGGACAGTCCCGCAGTATCTTGTACAGAAATGGCTGCCCAAGAAGTCCTTCATGGGGCAGCCGGAATTGCTGGCCGCGCCCATGGAGCTTCACACATGGGCTAATTTTGCTTGAATCGCGGGAAGCCATCCTTTTATCGACAACGATAGTGCGGCGGCCAACCTGGTCAAAGGCTACCCTCCACAAGTCCACAACTCTTCTATCGTCGGCGAATTCTGGTTGTTATAGCCTCCAAGTTGCGTGCACGCATCTATGTCGACAGGGTGGAGGGCAAAAGCAATATTGCAGATGGCCCGCCGTTCTCGTCGGAGATATGTGCGCTGGGTGGAATCTGGTCTTCGCCTAAGCTTGGCACCTTGGGTGAGCCCGTCACCCCTCCTTTTTTCAGCTTGGCACACTGGAGCACCAGGGGGAGAGAGCAGGATTGATGCCCCAACTTTAGATACTGCAGGGGGAGTTTATGGGGAGTTTAGTTGGGGTCTTCTCCCAGGTGATTTGTTTGATTGCAGGCCGTTGGGATTGCAGGGTTCCTATTAAACGATAACGCATCAAACACAACAGGGTTGTGCCGGTTCCATACCCATTGCTGACTCCGACCATTGGGAGGACAAAATCAGTTCGGTGAGCGGCCAGAATATTTGTACTGATTTACTGGAAAGTATTTTGGAGGAAGGGGTTTCCTTTTGAAAATGTGATTTTCACTCACTACCTACTTGTTCTGTTAGTGGGTGGAGGTAATGTGCGAAACTGAGCCTATGTTGTCGCCTGTGACGTTCATTAGAGTTAGAAACCAAAACAACCAACATCTGGTGCTTCAACCACGTATTAGACATTCCATCCTACCTGGGATGATGGTCCAAATCAACTAGTGACATCTAGCGTCAAGTATTTCTCGAATGGGTTTAAGCTGAGGAAACTTATGCGGGCACAACAAGCTGGCGCTGCAGGCTGCAAGAGGACATCGTGGATTTGCCCAACAAACATGGCAATGTTCATGGGAAAATGATGTGGTAAACCAGTGGATGTCGAGGTTTCCCCCAATTTTTTGGACCAACCCATGTGACAACAGAGTGGCAAGTCTCAAAGTTTCGCCGTGACAGGTGTGATCATGATGAACTCGGAGAATTACGACCAGCGGCTTCAAGCTTCTTGGATGGCAAGTGGCAGCTCCTTTTGGGACGCTTGCAATGTCAGTGTATAGTGTGCTCTGAGAATGTTGGAAGTGTAGGTCATGACGTGCCCCAACCAAGAAAGAGGAGGTGGTAGCGAGGTGCAGTGTTGTTGAAACCACAGCCTGTGCCGCTGTCGGGAAGATGTGACATGACTCCATGACTTTGTGGATGCTTTTGCTCCAGGTGCGCATACCTGCAGCCATGGCCAAATGCTTGGAACGAATTTTCCCACTGTTTCTGATTGGGTTCACAAGTCTCTCTGTCATCATGTGGTTTCGACGGGCATGACTGGTGGATTTTGCCAACTGCTGCCCACTCAGATCTCTTGGAATGATGGCCAACTGCTGCTACGACAGCTTCAAAAGGGTTCATTGGTTGCGACTCTGTTCACGCCCTACTAGAGGAAAAAAAATGAGGACCTTTCTGCCAGCTGTCAGCACTGTGGGAGTTTCTGAGAGGGTTCAAGATGTCCAACTGCTGTGAATATCTGTGAATCAAGCGCTGAAGTTTCATGTGCGCTGGACGGTGAAGAATTCGACGCTCACCTGCGTCCAGAAATGGGGTATACTGCGGTATGCTCCAAATGATACCATGCATGCGATTTCACCTGGGAAGGTAAGCTTTCAAACCACCATTGTGCAGCTTGGTGAGTTTGGTGTTTCCTTCATTGTTGGGACACACCCACCACCGCTGTGCTCCTTTTTTTGGCTCTCATGGCTTGGAGAGTAGTTATGCCTTAGAAGGGCCGACAGCCGGCAGTGGGGCACGGTGCTCACCTTAGGTGCTTCTGATCGGCCTGAAGGGCTGAGTGTGGAAGTTTCACGTCAGGTCCATGGTGGGTGCAGCTATGCGGTGGCCCCAGGGAATTTCAATGAATATTATGTGCCAATTTCATCCAGTTTAATGTGGCAAACCCAATAATAAACCATCCCCAGAATCACCATAAATATCCATAAATGGGTGGTAAAAGATGGTAAAAGCCTTAGCCAGCCACAAGTGGTAAGTTATGGTAGGTTCATTATTGGGTTTCCCGCAGCAGAAATGGATGCCACAAGCCCTCTCCCATTGCAAGTTGGTGGGCTTACCACAACATGGAGCTTCGACGGAAGGCGCAAGCGTGCCGTGGAGGAGGAGGAGGCTGAACCGTTAATGAACCCAGATGCTCCTTGGACGCACCTTTGATTGGTAAAGACGATATCCTTGGGCCCAAACTGGAAAATCTTGATTCTGAACGATTTTGATTCTTAGGAAGATGACGAATACGAGGACTATGTGCCCATCAAGAAGCGAAAGGCCAGTGCATTTAGATAGATCAATCTAATTCTATGATTTCTATGGTCGAAGGTTGGATGTTCATGACACGCTTCCCTCTGCAGAGGCGGCTATGAAGGAAAAGCTTGTTTCTGACAGGCATGCGACAGTTTGTTTTTAGCATGCATGATGCAGCGGATAGCTTGATGCACCCCCGCTCCAACCCCAATGATGTGTCTGTGGAGCGAGCGGCCTGCCTAGGCAAAAAGAGAGGAGAGAGGAAGCTGAGCGAGTCATGCGAGAAAGACTCGCAGAGGTGCGGTGGCATAACATTTCCAATTTCAAACTAAGCTTAGAGTCTTAGAGTGATTGTCGGGGCAGCCATGAGCGAACAAAGGTATCTTGCACGAGAGTTTCCGAAATCTTGCAATTGTGCCTGCTAGGAGAAGAAGAAAAGAGGAATTGCTCTTGGCTCAGAGCCGCTCACTTTTTTTGATGGAAATATTTGGTAGCAATGCCGTGAAGTTGCAAGGCCAACTCTTTGCTAGCAGTCTCTGCCAAGCTCAAAGCCGAAGAAGAAGCAAACAAGGACCGGAAAATGGCAAGGAGTCAAAGCCAAACATCACAAGAAATGGGTAGACAAACACGCCCAAATATATCTAAACATTGTTATCATTGTTGAGTGCTTAATTTTTTTTTGCTAAGACCTAGGAGCCTAGGACCTTCAAAACAAGCCACCAGGAATTTTGACCCGCGTCGATTGGGACTTAAACTGGAAGAATTCAATGGCCTGTAGGGCCCTCCATGTCTAGATTATAGATGGCAGCAATTTTGCTTGACCGGCAGAACTTCCAAATTTGGTCTTCCACGAGGACTCAACTCAAAGTGAACGCAGGGTTACCATGCTCAGGACTCTCGGGAACAGGCTATCAAAGAAAGCATCAAGAATGAAGAGGACAAAGCTGCTTTGAAGAAAGCCGTCACCTTTTTTCTTTTTCCAGTGGCAGGGTCGACTTTTTCCCTGGCCGCACAATGTAAGGCCCAATTTCCATAGTTCCATCGCCTCATCATGGGCAGTTTTCATGGAAGCCGGATGCAGTTTGGCATTTGCAGGACCAGTTGCTTGAGCAAGTCCAACTGCAGATGAGCACTCCTTTGATGTCCGCCGGGGCCTTGGATGGCTGCAGAATTGTAGGATGAAGTAGCACTGATTTCAACTTTTACTTGTTCATGTGTGAGGTGAGAGAGCGAGCCAAGGGAATCATTTACAAAGAGAGGACATACACAGACGAAGAAACAGAACATCACAAAGCATGCTCGTTCTACAGTCTACATTGTCTACATAGTGCCGGGCCAGTCCGGCAACTTACACGATTGGAAAGGTTCAACAGTTCAACTCCATTTCAATTTCCCGGAATCCAGCTGACAGGCTGACAGACATGTGGCTTGCAAGATGTGTAGCCGATGTCTCTGGTTCTCAATTGCTAGGATGCCAGCGATTGGCGACTGGCGACCCATCAAAAAATATCGTCGCTTGGCCTGGACAAGTTCCCCCCAAGATTGCCGCCGAAATCATTTTGCAAACTGAGGTGATATGCCTGAGGAGGAGCGCGCCTCCATCAGAGAAAAGTACTTCATAGAGGCTGCCTGAAATTCAAATGCAACCGCCACAATTTTTTCTGTGCTCACAAATGGGGAATGCCAAGACGCCCCAGTTCATGGCCATCTCAATGAGGAAAATGATGATCAACCCTGAGATTTGAGGAGACCCTATTTTCAGACCAACCCAAATGATGCACTTTGGCCAATTCAATTCGCCAAGCAACGATTATCCATCCACACTCCAGGGCTTGTCTTCGCACCTTTGGCCATTTGTATATTTTCTTAGGCTAGGAGGGCTGGGTGTTTTTTTAAACGCTGCCAAGCCCCATGAGTGTTTAGCTTTCCGAGTTTGTGTGAAGGTCAATGGCAAGGATATTCCGTCGCCCATCAAGCGCTTTGAGGACCGAAATTCAAATCCATGACTTGCCATGGGCAGGCAAACACAATGTGGCCATATCTATGTCTATGTCTATATCTATCTCGATCTCGATCTCTATCTCTCTATCTCATCTATCTCTCTCTATCTCTCTCTCTCTATCTATCTATCTATCTTTCTATCTATCTTTTGGATCCATTGTGGATCCCATTAAAATGACTCCCAGTCATGATGGTGGGATGACCATGCGCCCGTGCGCCATCCCATGTAACTTGACCATGGCCATCAGGAAATGCGGCTCCCTAGAGGGATCCTTGAAGGACGGGCCTGGCGTTTTGGGGAATGGAACAATGACTCAATGACCTTGTGGTGAGTGCAGACCATACCTGATATACCTGGGTCATTTACAGAGGATGGATTGATGAGTTCTTGTATGAGCAGGTAGGGTAAGGGATGGAAACCCACATCAACGTATTAAGCTGTGATACACTGTGATACGGTACAATGGATCAGATGCGAGGTAATGTGATGTGATGCAGTCTGAAAATGATGTAGCGTGATGAATTTGAATGAATGCTAGACCTGATTTTGATATCGGTGGCTTTGTTTGTCTTGGAAGGTGCATTTAATTTGTTTGTTCAAAAGCTTCCAGCACCGCATTTCGGAAACTTGTGGAAGATTGCAAATAGGTGAGCGGACCCTGGCTTGCAGGCTTGAAAGCCAAGGGTATCATGCGACCGACGCAGATCCAAATGTGCCTTCGTTTGCACCGACGCACATCCTTTCGGCTTGTCTTGTTGTCTCAAAATTTGGAATCCCCAAATCGGGTTTATCAGATCATATCAGATCTATATAACATGGTTTATCATGGTTTATCCCACTCAGAGGGCCATTTCTGATGTATCCCATTGCATCCCCTATGTTGGTGCATCCATTTCTATGTTACCAAAAAAGTTACTCATTTTTTTTGTGATGTATCCAATGTATCCTGCTCAGAGAAACCGATCCGCAGATTAAACTAAAACATTGAGGCAAGGCATTCCCTGCGGCTTGATGGGTCGCGATATCATTGGCGCCTCGGCGTGACTTTTCGGGCCGAGCTGGGGCAGCTGGGTGTCGGTTGAAAACTGGGGTGCCTCAAATGACCAAAATGGAAGCTTTTTGGCTGGGGATTGGCTGGGGATATCTATGGAAATGCATGGGAATCGGAAACTGGGGTTCCATGAGGATATCTCCCATGCTGGACACACCCACGTGTCCGACGAAGCGCTCAATTCTTTGAAGATTTTGAAGCTGCTGAGGGATTGCCTTCACGGGAAGTGGAAAGACATTAGTGCCGCGACCTTAGTAGATATCTTTAGAATATCAAGACCCAATTGGTGTGTCTTGAAATCTTGTTACGGTATGTTATGGTCTTGTTGAGAAACCAATGGATCGCAGATCACAGAGCACTTCCACGGAAATTGCAAGTTGGAGGATCCGCTGATTCACCCAATTTTTCGACATTTTTTCGTCCTCCATAAAGACACATGCGTCAAGACGTCCATCGACGTGGTGGATGAGGTTTGGTCTTCCGATGATCATGTCGGCCTTGGAGCAAGAGCTTAGAGCAAAAGTGCGCCCCCTTAGCATATTCGTCAATCAATTGGTGCCTTAGAATCTTGAAACTTGTGAATATTGAGTGACTATTGAAATCTTGTTGGTAGGTGTAGGTAGATCGCCAGCCAGATATTTTGAAGATATATAATTGATTCAATCCACGGAGGGGACCAATAGCTGATGATCCAGGTTCAGCCCACAGAAGGCCCATTTGGCTTGATCATTGCGCCTTCCCGCGAGCTGGCGCATCAGACATACGAGGCTGGGTGCCGATATGTGCCGATGGCGGGTGGCGATGGAAAAACGCTATCCTGCAGCAAGATCGCCTGTAAGTGCGAGATCCACTTGATTTTCTGAAAAACAGTCCGCGAGTGGTGGAGTTTCAAACTTCATCAGCACAGGCTGCATAGGTTGCAGATGTTGGCTGGGCTTGGTTGTTTGGATCTGTATTTGGTGTCCAGGTGATCGAGTTCTATACAGATCACCTTGCAGAGTACCACAAGGAATTTCCAAAGCTACGATCAGCGACTGCCTCAGCATTGACTTCTGGCGAGTCACTGATGAGTCACTCATGTCACTGGAGATGTCTGGAGATCATCTGTGTTATGGGTGTGTCTGAGCATGGGATGTATCCATGTATACACCCAAATCACCATCAAATCCTGCGAAAATGATGAAACAAGATGAAATTCTGAAACATATTGAAACATTATGATTCTCAGATATTCTCAGTGGATTTTCTTTGGGGTTTCCCATGGTTTCCCTAGAATTTTCAAGACAAACCTGGAGATCCCTGGGAAAAAAACTGGGTCATTTCGCCCAAGGTCCTGACGATCGGAGGCCTCAGCACTGGAACGCAGGCAATGGCCATCAAGAAGGGCTGCCACATGGTTGTGGCAACGCAGCTGCAACGCAGACATGTCGGATTTCTATGGATTTCTGCTAAGAAGTGCCTCAAAAAGAGAGGAGGAACATTGCAACCTTTATTTTTATATATATTTTTTAATCTCATCTTGAAATGAGATACACTTTTCATTCATTGATCATTGACACCTGTTTGCCACCCACAACTCTTTGATGTTTGTTGACGCATCCACTGTACTGCAGAGCCATGCAGAGCCAGCCCAAGGCAACGCCGGGAAGGCTCAACGACCTTCTGACCAAAAAAAAGATGTCTTTAGCACAGCCGGGATCTCAATCTGCTCCCCTTTGACTACTCTGTGTTATATGAGTATATATGAGTTATATGCTCTATCTACTGCTCTTCTTACAGTTCCTTTCTTCCTATTCCTTTCATCCCTTTTCTTCCTATATTTGTGGTATTTTGTGGTTGTTCACTGGCACCACTGTGGCGAGCCCTGGCAGGTGCCAGGTGCTGGTGCTGGATGAGGCCGATCGAATGATCGACTTGGGTTTTGAGGAGGAGATTCGGAATACCTTGGACCACTACCGAGGCCGGGTGGCAGCTGCAATGACAACCATGACAACCATGACAACCATGACAACCGACCTGGCAACCAAGCAGGAAGCGCCAGCAGTTCTAGGTCTTGTGTATGGAAAATGGATGTTGCCCTGCTACTCCCCCGCAAAATCACATCTAAGTGAGGTGGGACAGCCTGGGACAGCACATTTTGACTACGAGACGAGCTCTGGGATATCTCCAGACTTCACAGCTTGAGTCAGCTTGAGGTCAGCGGCAGACCCTGCTGTTCAGTGCTACCATGCCAAAGAAGATTCAGGAGTATGGCAGTGAAGATTTTATTTTGTGTCTTGTGGGGGCCACCACCTGCACTGCAACAAGTTGGCAGCAGCTCGGATGTTTCTTGGGTCCCTTCTTTGGAGTTTAGGACTTCGCCAAGACTGCCCTGGTAGATGCGGCAACTTGGATACAACCCATGCAGTTCGACCTGAAGCTCGCCCTTCCAATAGCGGATTTGCAAGTCGTTTTTTCCCCGTTGGAAGGGGCAACCTTGAGGTTCCATCTTAGATTTTCCCATAAATATATGATAAACACTTTTTCGCACGCACGCACACACACACATGTTTATGTATATATATATATGATATATTGTACATATACACATTATATTATATATTTATCTTTGCAGTATATACATATCTTTGTGTGTATGCTGTATATATATATATATATGTTACATACATGTAGACATGTACATATATGTTTATAACATTTGCCAATGTATAAATCCTGTCCTATGTTCGTGATGAGGTCGTGATCAACGTCGGCCGTGCCGGAGCTGCTAACTTGGATGTGATCCAAGAGGTGGAGCCTCTTGGTGTCAGATGAGGCGTTTTTTCAGCCCCGGTGGAAGTTTTTTCTGGAAAAGATTGCGGTTAAACCATCCAAGTTAGATGAATCAACAAGGATCAATAATTAGTAGGGGTTAGGAATAGTAATAGCAATAGTAAGAGTAAGAGTAATAGTAATAGTAAAAAAAAATGGTAATAGGAATAGTAATAGTAACACGAGTAATAGTAAGAATAGTAATAGTAAGAATAGTAATAGGAATAGTAATAACAATAACAATAACGACACTTGTAATAGATAGATCTATGCATGATTTATATTTTTATCAACCATTTTATGAAGATATAATGGGATTACATGGGATAACATGGAATATGGCTGGCAGGGTGTTTTGCGTGATTTTGCTGTTTTTTTCCGATAGCGTACCGCTTGTGCGTGTGCATATCACGGTATGCCCAATTCCCACATTGTTATTGGGTGAGTGCGAGATTTGATGGTAGACCAGTGATATCCTCATGAATGCTGACTATATACACCAACAGCGACTGTGACTGAGCACCAGTAATAAATGTCCCAGCTCGTCATAGGCCACCATTCCTGGGGCCTGCTGAGGTATGTGAAGCAAGAGGCCAAGCTGGTGTATCTGCTGAAATGCTTGCAGAAGACACCACCCCCAGCAACTTGGTAGACAATGAACGGTGCTTAGCAAGTAGTTGTATTTGGGCTGCTTTTTTTTCAAGGTCCTCTTTTTTTTTTAATCATGGGGGTCCGACAACTCCCTCATTTCGGTGACTCCTCCGATAAAAGATGCTCACGAAGCCGTTCTTTGTGGTTCTTGGTGACTGTTGGTGGTGCATACGCTCTTTTTTCCAGTTCTTATTACCCTCTGGTAATTTAACATAGCTATTGAAAATTGCCATCTATAGTGGATTTACCCATTGAAAATGGTGATTTTCCATAGTTATGTTAGTTTACCAGAGGGTATCCAAGGTCCTGATTTTTTGCGAGAACAAGTCGGATGTGGACGATGTTCACGAGTACCTCTTGTTGAAGGCCGTCGAGGCCGGCGAAAACTCTGCGAGTCTTTCGAGGACTTCACAGCTGGCCAACTATAGATCATGGTTAGAACATGCTAGAACCAAACTCATCCAAAATCACCTTGGTGTCTTTTATGAAAAAAACGATTCAACATTCAATGGTTATGATACACCTTTTCTATCCTTTTCTATCTCCATTTAAATGTATGATGATCACGGTATATAAATCAGCGGAACATATCGTAACATAAATATACGTATACATAATTCACCATGAAATCCATTAGAAGCACATTAACTCACCATAGATCACCACCATTCAGACCAATCATAAGCCATAACAGATCTATAAATATAGTCATAAATCATCATAATTAAATCGGGTCACTAAATCCATAAGGGCAACGCGGCAGGTTGTGGCAATCCATGGAGGCTTGGACCAGGAAGAACGCCATGAAGCAATCCGATCCTTCAAGGAGGGTTCCAAGGCGCGGGGGTCCTCAATTTTTTCCAGCCAAATGGAATTCAAAATTGGGAAGATATGGAAAACATATGAAAAAACGATGAAACACCACGTCCACATCATGATAAACCAAGATAAACCATGGCTCCCCATGGCTCCCAGCAACAGCAAACCCTGAGGACGTGCTGATCGGCACGGACGTGGCTTCAAAAGGTCTGGATTTTCCGGCCATTCAGCATGTGTCTTGGCAAATCTTGGTAACATGGATGTCATATGATGTCATAGGCACGGGAATCGGCAGTGTATGCGACTTCTTGGACTTGATCAAGGGGATGGGGGTCGTGCAAGTTTTGATGTCGGACGTCAGGTCATCAACTTTGACATGCCGAAGGAGATCGAAAATTATGTGCACCGCATTGGGCGAACAGGCTCCCTTGAGAGCTTAATCATTCCGCAGAGACATACTCCATATTCGTACCGTACCACAGGCAATTGTCCCGTTGCGGGGTCATTCCAACATGTCTAGATTTTCCGCAATGTCCCGTGATTTTCTGACTGCTCCAGGCCGATGCGGTCGAACGGGTGTCGCCACGACGTTCGTCAACAAGAATCAGGACGTCGCTTGCCAGCAAGAAGCAACAAGAAGCTGCAAGGAGGCCGAGGCCAACGCACCCTTCAACTTCAGTGGTCTGATTCACCTTGGAAGGTGCCTCCATACTTTCTGAGTCATTTTCGATGATTTGAGGGCACGCAAAGCCCCAAGCAGATTCCAAGGGTTTTTCATATCCAAGGAGACCATTCTGCTCGACTTGAAAGCCTTGCTGCTTGAAGCTGGCCAGCATGTTCCTGGGCTGAAAGATTGTCAGGGCCAGAGCACCCCCAGGTCATCCACCAAATACAGAGTAGATTGTATGTAGATAATATACATAATATCATAATGCAGGCAGGATGTCTAGGGATATGTCTAGGGATATATTCGATGATTCTCTCTGCCTCTTTTAACATCTTGGCTAACGGCTTTTTTGAGCCGAAATCCACACGCTCCAGCGGGGATAAGGTGCCTCCCTTCCTCATGCAGCTGGACTCCTCTGCGGGCGGTCGAGAAGAAGAGGAAATTGGTGGTGTCAAGGCCTGAAACCAGGCATTTAACCATCAATTAACCATCAAAAGCGGTTCAACCATGAAGAAAATTCATGCAAAACTAGGTAACTAGGGGTTGTGATGAACTACTTTAATGAGATTTAATGAGGGTTTTGGAGCATGAAGCCTGGCAATGTCTCCAATGAACATAACAAGCAATGGGTCAGAATTTTCATGGATGAGCTAGTCATTTTGAATAAGCATTCCAGCCTGCCATACCCACTAGACAGGGAAGGGAAGCCCATCTAAAGCACACAGGGAGATTGATTTCACATGATTTCACTAAAGAAGTGGATTTTTTTCTAGAGCTGCCTTCGGCATTTGGATCTGCAACCTCACTTGAGACTAAGGGATGGTAGCTGCGGTTAAACGTGCTGGCTTTCAACTAAAATATCTAAAACTGTAAGTCAGCAATTTCCTTCGCAGTTGGGATCCACTTTGTCATGCTGCCATCGCGTGACAGGGCTGTGCATACTGTGGCGGTCTGGGTCATCGTATCAGCGACTGCCCCAAGCTGGAGACCACAAGACAGAAGACCACCTCCGCCACAAAGGCCGCAGCTTTCCGTTTTCGGGGTAGGAACGGGTAGGATGGTGAAGTTTTTCAAGCTGTGGATGTCTCTGCCTTCGAAATTTTGGTGGGAGATGATGGGAGATGGCCTGCAAAATCCTTTGGTGACGTCAGGACTACCTCACGACAGGAGCGGCACGCTATACAGGTGCAGAAGGTGCTCAGATGCTGCTGGGGGGTCTGGGCTGAATGCAAGGAACAGTTTTTTGAAGATGTGCCCAGGGTGGGCAGATGACAGGATATTCCAACCCGTGACAAATGGTGGATTTCAGTTGTCGGACATAAGAAAACTACTTGGCAGGTTCCAGCAAGTTGGTCGAAGAGAAAAGAATTGCCAATACCTTTCTCCAGGTTATGCTGGCGATTGGTGAGCGAGCAGCGGTGGGTGCATGCCCAGTTTCAGTTGCTACTTGCCGCAGCACTGGCATATGCTAGCAAGACCAACCAGTATACTCCACAACCCCACCACCTCCATCTCGCACAAACACATTGCCGTGCAGATGAAACATCAGCTATACAAGCTCTAGACCTGTCTTTCATTCAAGGCAGTGCGTTGGACAGAGCCAGAGCGGTTTCACTTGAGTACATTTGGGCGGCACGTGCGTGGCTAGCCTGAAAAAAAATGTCCTGGACGATGCAGCAGATGGGTTGCCAGGTCAGGTTTTGCATGATTTTGCATGATTCTGCCATGTATGTATATATATATAATATGTGAGTCATATGAGTTGGTGTTTTTTTTGAGGCATTTCTATCTCGGCACATGGGTTGATCATTTCCTTCACGTGCACGCACACGAACTGGCCATTTTTGCCATCTCTCGGCTCAGTGCCACGACAGGGTTGGCCAAATTGTGGCCGACAACCCCTCCGCCAAAGGCGCTGTTGAGCCCAGGTATCATAGATTGATCAAATTCATGCGATGAAATGTGATAAAGCTAAAGCTGGGGGTGGGTGGTTTATTGGGTTGGTCACATTACACCACGTTTCTTCTTGAATTTTGATGGATACCTGGGAGATTTCATTCTTGACGTCGTCGGTATTCTGATCTTACTTATCTTATCCGCAAGCTTTACATTCCGGCGATGCTCGCCCCAGGCGGATGTGGGTTTCATGAGTTTGAATGCCTGGACAGGACCCTCTGGCTCCAGTTTGGTGCCAGAGTTGTGCTGCTTGCGTTGCATTTTCAACTGTGAAGCGATTTGAAAAAAAAGGTGACATGCTGCAGCAGACTCACTTCTGTTGTTCCCGAAGGAATCCAATTTAGCGCTCAAGCGTGCTTTCCCCCCTCTCCCTACTTCTCCCTACTTTCCATCTTCATTTTGCCTCATGGGTTCTGGTGCCTCGACCTCTGCAGCCATGGATATCACCTCTGCTGTGCATCAGTTGGTTCAGGGTTTCCGGCAGCATGGCCCCACCGAGGCGCTTCTGCCGCTGATCCACCGCGCTTTCGTGGCGCTGAAACTGAAGGCCGCGGATCGCAGCTATCGCTACAACTTCACCGAGAATTACATGATTCTGCTGGGGCAGAGCCGGAGCTATCAACCACAGGTTCTGGATGCCGCCTTAGTGCAAAGCCCAGATTTGTGGGTCAATGGAAGCTTATATCACATCTCACCTGCCGCGTTGCAGAAGGGCCGCATGTTGAAAAGATGCTTTCTGCAGATTTGCGACCTCCTGAATTTGGAAGTCTGAAGATGACATCGGAGTGTTACTGTGTAGCCGCTTGGCTCGTGCATTGTCGGTCTTCGACAGCCAATGGGTGCAATTTGAGGACCTCTACATCAAGGATCTCATTTGCATTGAGACTCGTGCACGGGTCCCCTTGGAAAAGGCCGTTGAGATGGAGATCGTGCTCTTGAACTTTGAGCATGCCAAGCCCAAAGAATCCTTAAACTCCTTAAAGTGTCCAGTTGCTGAGCAGTCAGTGCACCACCTGCCGGTGCCCAGGCGAAGACACACCGCCTCTGATGCCAGTGGAAGAGTCGCTGCAGCGACTGCAGCGACTGCAGGGACCGCCTCCTCCCATGGGACGCAGTTGTCGCTGCCAAGGCATTCCCGCCATGTGCCCGGAAGCAGCTCCAGTCCACCGTCCAATCTCCATAGCCGCGAGGAGTCCATCGTTTTCCCCGAGATGGGTGGCAGTGAATGTCCCCGATCTCGGCAGCACACCTTGTCTGGCGAGCTGCCATCCATGGCCATGGCCTCCCAGACTGTGTTGCCTGAGCCTCAGGAGGCAACTCGCAAGATATGCGAGCTGAAACACCTAGCGCAGTCTGCAGTGGCACGTGGAAGCACCAGGTGATTTGGCGGCAGAATATTCTGAATCACTTCAGGTGTGTAAGTAACAGTGTCCTGCATGCTTGCCTTGCTCCTTGATCTACATGGATGTGCACATGTGCATACATCTTAATATATACTTAAGAGCAGACACCGCGCACCTGCCTTGATCACAGGAACATAGCCGCACGCTTGCCATGGTTTGGCCACAATGTGTGACTTTCAAATCATTTTGATCCATCCATTGAATTCCAGCAAGATTGATTACTGGACGTGATGGGTGACAGCTTTCAGGAGGAATTTGTTGGAGGAACTGGTCGCTCGCGTCAATGACCTCAACGCCTGTGCCAATGCGCGTGGCAAGGGCCGCAGTGACATGACGGTAGAGGTCTTGGAGGCAGCCGCCAAAGTCTTCCTAGCACAGGCGGGAAAACCCCCCATGGTGGTCACACGTAGTCAATCCATCCAGAAACCGTGGCCAAGCAATGTTTAGTAATGTTTATATAGTACTGGAATATGCTGGATCCATCCAATTTCAGGGCCACACACTTGGGGTATTTGTCGGGGGAAGCAACTGAATCACAGATTTCTCTCTTTCCGTTACCTTCGGAGCTTTCTTTGTAACCAAAGTTCACAGAGCTGTGTTGAGCCGAAAATGTGAAGGACTCTATTTCAACCCCTGCTGCATTGGCCCACGCTGCGTTAGCTCGCAGTGTTTTGGAAGGCTTCTCAGCGAGCGATTTTGTTGATGGCACCAAATGTTCCATAATCAAAAGTTGGATTGCGTTGGATTATATATCATAAATATTCATAAATAATTGGGGCATGGTCATACCTCCACTAATTAGGGATTTGTAATGGCCAACCCAAGCAGTCTCAAGCAAGGTGGGATGAGCATAAACCGTAAATCAGTAAATCATGTACCATTTTTTGATCTCCACCCAATACATTCGCTGTGTTGTTGGACATTCTGAGGTTTCCTTGGGGTTCGCCGCTACCTCTCAGTCGCAGACCTAGCCATCGTGCTTGATGAACCACACCATCGCTGCGAAATTTTAACCATTTCAATTTATGAATCAAAATAACTCAAAATTATCAAATCACCCAAATGAATGATATTCATAGCCAACAAATGCCAACAAAACATTTCACGATGCGAAACAGGATCAAATTTCTGGATCTATTCGTGTCCCTTTGACCCATAGCCATGTGGGCGCCACAGCTGTGATTCCCAGGCTGTCTGTGATCGACTTCTGTGGATCGACCCACAGCTCTGCATGAACGCAGAGCTGGAGAACGCCCTGGTTGCTTGGGAAGATGCCTGGGCCCCTTGGCACTTCGGAGATGCTGATGTGATGCCAATGCCTGATTCCCAGCATTGGTTTAAGAAGGAACGTAAAGGAAGCCGCCTTAACTTTAGTCGGAGGTAAAAGTGCGGATTTTCTGTAAACTTTCATAAACTTTCCCTTCAACCAATGGACAATTTGACCCTCTGAGCCGCTGGCAGTGGCCGAGCAAGGAATTGGCTTCGTCATTTCTCCTGAAGATGGACTTGTGCGATGCCATTTGTGGCGTGGCCGTCCATGCTGCACGAGCCTGTGAGCTCGAGCCGATGCTCAGCTGGAGAACCACAATAACCTAGGGACATCTAGGGACCTACTGTTGATGTAGTGATTCTTACTCGCTTTGAGTATGAGGTCACAGAAATCACAAAACGCCAAATCCTGAGGAGCTTTGCCAACATGATTGACAATCAGGATGCCGAGCTATTCCTCATTTTGCCCAGGTTCCGATTGTCATTCTTGTTGGGGCACAGACGTTGGTGATGAGTTTTTCACATTTTTAATCATATATGCAGACACATGCAGACACACACACAGACATTATATATAATCTGATTCATTTGATCCTATGAATTCACATGATGAAAATACATGCAAATATCAATCAACAAGTTCAGCTTATCATAATGGGACTTTGCCCTGGTTAAAGATGGATCACTTCGCCAGGCTCGTGCTGCTAAGCGGCCTTCAAAGTGCCCCCAACATGGCCTTGGCGCAGTCTCTGATGCCTGACTTGGAGGACTCCCCAGCTCCTGGGGGGGGTCCGATGGGCCGGCGAAAATTCCACATTTTTTTTTTGATGGTTTGCCAGTTTGCCCTTTTTTGTCTCAGGGGCCTTGGACACATATCCATGAATCCATGATCATCCGTGTGTGCTTGGCCTTTGCTTGCTGTCATGCTCTTGTCGTGTGGCCGCTGCATGCCCTATGTTGCTCAATTCAGCAGGGGGGGTTCAAGTCGAATTTGCAGGTTGCGACGAAAGACTCGCAGATTGAGACAGGTAGGGGTCTCAGTGATGTGTTGAAGTCAATTGCTTTTCCACGTCCTGTATACATCGTCCTGAAATTGCTGCATGGCTGCATGGATTGAAGCAGAATTGGTTGATATGCCAAGATGCAGCGGGCGTGGAGCATGGAAGCTCATCCAAGAGGAGCTTGCGGCATTTTCAATGAAGGATATGAAGGCTGCACACATCCTTAATGAAAGCACCAGGCAATCCAACTCACATCCAGATGCCATGGAGACACCATGGGATACCAAGAAAACATGGAGCCATGATATGGTGCCAAGAAATGTCAGCCTGGGTTGCCCATTGATTTTCAATTAGTTGGTCAATGAATGAAACATATTGAAACATGGAACATGAAACTTGGGTTTGCTCTGAAAATGGTTCGCCGGCCCAATGAACCACCCCTTGAGTTTATTCATCTAGGGTTGACCTATTGTTGACCTTATTGGAGATTCAGATAGAAAGTGGCAGAATCGAATAGACATATGTAAATACAGTAATTGCAAATAGATACAGTGGAGCATCCAAAAGAGATAGAAAAGAAACATCAACAAAAACCGATGACAAAGTGCTTTCCCATGCTTTCCCTTCCATTTTCTGTTCAACTTTCCACCATTTTTTCCACCTTTCTCTCACCTTTCCCTTTGGCAAAAGGAGTGCCGTGGACCGGTGCCTGGCTGATCTCTTGGTGGACGTGGATTGGGACGTCCTGACGTGGCAAGTCATCAAAGGCGCTCTCTCCGGTTGTGGGTTTGATGTAGAAAATGGGGAAAATGATGAGGAAAACATAGGAAAACTAGAACTATGCCACTATGCTGTACAAACATGATTGGAATGGAACAGAGATGAGCATAGATTGTGCCAACACCCTAAATGAAAGGAAATCCTTTCGTGGACTATAGACATCTATAGGCCCTCTTCAAGTGGCAAGGGTTATGCTCTGTGGGTTCTGTCGAAGAGATGGCCGATGGGACTTTGCAGCACCACCAGATCGCCTCCTAGTTTAAACAAAGAGGATCTTTATAAAGTGGTTATGAACCCCGACCAAGCACAACGAAAGGGGCTGATTAACCCCATATTGTTGGGACAGTTTCGTTGGGGGTTACTCTGGATTTGCATAATGATGATCTACTTTTTAGATTCTTTTTAGTCTATTTGGAGATGTGTAGGCAGTAGCATGAGTCCAGGGATTGTCCTGAGAGATCCTGTGGCACACTTGTTGAGAATTCGATTGCGAGGTCCTGGAAATGCCAATGGAACTCTGGAGGTTCTGCAGGGATTTATGGGATTCCACATTTCCGGCTGGGTAGATGGTTGTTGGACAGGGGTCCTCTCTATGGTTGGGTCTGGTTGGGTCTGGTTGGGTGATCTTCAAATTGGACATTGCACCACCCGATTGGGTGGAGAACGGAGGAGATTCTGTTGGGTACAATATGCAAACTATCATGAGTCAGGTGGCAATGGAGAGAGAGAGAGAGAGAGATGAGCATATAATAGCATATATAGCATCATTGCGAACGTAACCCTGAGTTGGACTTCTTTGTCAGGCCTTTCTCTTGGAACTAGAAGTTTTGAGCATGGAGCTGCAGCGCAAGGAGAAGCTTGTCTGAAAGTATGGCAGAACTGAGTTCGCTACCCTAGTGACCTGGTGCATTAAAGCTGGAAAAGCTAGAAACAACTTCTTATATGATGGTATTATGATGGTCAACATCTGGGAGTTCAGAAACTATCAACAGTTATATCAAAATATTACCTTGATTGAAAGGCCATTTGCTTTCCAGAGCAGCCAAGGCCACAGAAATGGAACCGCTGCAGCAGTGTTTTGCTCCACTGCATCTGTGCTGCGTCTCGCCAATGCTAAGAGGTGGTGCAGGAAGTGGTCTCCCATTCGCACCATGCGCGCCATGCGCGCCATGATGGGCACCCCATTGAGAAGTGGGAGCAGGGCCCATCAGTGTAGGTACAAAGAACCTGGAATTTGGCAAGGAATTCATCGGCCTGTGAAGGGGCCTCGAATGGCCTTGGCGACCGATTGGAATTCAAGCAGCGATTCAAGACAAACAGTTCCAACTTGGCAAACTCATCGACCAAATGATGCAACATTCATCTCCAAGCCAGTTGACAAGTCCAGCTGAGTCAGTGTCAGTGTCCTGCTGATGAGTTTGCCTCTTGCAGACTGCGTTTGCAAAACATATTGCATCTTGCGAAAATTGCCTGAAACACTGGCCACGGAATCCAAGAACCGCAGGGACTGTACAGACCCCGACCTTGCAGTGCATATGTACAGGCATCGGATGGCATCGGTGCACAACAGCTGTCCGACTGCTTCCAGCCGTTTGCGGCTCGAATTTCTGAGCTCACTCACAGGGAAAAATGGCGGAAACCTGATCGAAATATGTCATATATGTCCAGATCTTGTATGATGCAAGAAGCTTCCCTTCCTTCAGAGTGTCCCCAAAAATCCCCATGGGATATCCCCATTATATCCTCATTACTGGTCGGATTATGGTGGGCCTACTCCAAGTCTCAATGGTCCCAGCTCACGACAGTGCTGTACTGCAGGAGTACGGAGTACGTCTAAATCGGCCACGTCTGAAACGTAGTGCTGACAACATGCGAGAAATTTACCAAAAAGGATGTTCACTATAGAATGCGCAGCTGGGAGATGATAGGAGTACTTGTGTTCCACCTGTGCTCGGATGTTGAAATTATGTTGGCTATTTTCTAACATAGTCGTGCACCTCGTTTTAAAGCGGTCTTATGTAACCTTATGTGCAGTCGTGCTTGGAAAAACGACACCATTCTATAGTGAGAAAATTTACAATTTTTAGGGTTGTGCTGGGACCATTCTATAGTGAAAAAAATGCATTCTGTAGCCACAGGGTGTGCTTGAGGGCTTATAGCTACAGATTGTCTGGCACATCTTCACCCCCAGAAAGCACAGGGGGATGTTTTTTTTTGGGGCATTTCTATCTCGGCACATGGGTTGATCATTTCCTTCACGTGCATGCACACGAACTGGCCATTTTTGCCATCTCTCGGCTCAGTGCCACGACAGGGTTGGCCAAATTGTGGCCGACAACCCCTCCGCCAAAGGCGCTGTTGAGCCCAGGTATCATAGATTGATCAAATTCATGCGATGAAATGTGATAAAGCTAAAGCTGGGGGTGGGTGGTTTATTGGGTTGGTCACATTACACCACGTTTCTTCTTGAATTTTGATGGATACCTGGGAGATTTCATTCTTGACGTCGTCGGTATTCTGATCTTACTTATCTTATCCGCAAGCTTTACATTCCGGCGATGCTCGCCCCAGGCGGATGTGGGTTTCATGAGTTTGAATGCCTGGACAGGACCCTCTGGCTCCAGTTTGGTGCCAGAGTTGTGCTGCTTGCTGCGTTGCATTTTCAACTGTGAAGCGATTTGAAAACAATGGTGACATGCTGCAGCAGACTCACCTCTGTTGTTCCCGAAGGAATCCAATTTAGCGCTCAAGCGTGCTTTCCCCTCTCCCTACTTCTCCCTACTTTCCATCTTCATTTTGCCTCATGGGTTCCGGTGCCTCGACCTCTGCAGCCATGGATATCACCTCTGCTGTGCATCAGTTGGTCCAGGGTTTCCGGCAGCATGGCCCCACCGAGGCACTTCTGCCGCTGATCCACCGCGCTTTCGTGGCGCTGAAACTGAAGGCCGCGGATCGCAGCTATCGCTACAACTTCACCGAGAATTACATGATTCTGCTGGGGCAGAGCCGGAGCTATCAACCACAGGTTCTGGATGCCGCCTTAGTGCAAAGCCCAGATTTGTGGGTCAATGGAAGCTTGTATCACATCTCACCTGCCGCGTTGCAGAAGGGCCGCATGTTGAAACGATGCTTTCTGCAGATTTGCGATCTCCTGAATTTGGAGTCTGAAGATGACATCGGAGTGTTACTGTGTAGCCGCTTGGCTCGTGCATTGTCGGTCTTCGACAGCCAATGGGTGCAATTTGAGGACCTCTACATCAAGGATCTCATTCGCATTGAGACTCGTGCACGCGTCCCCTTGGAAAAGGCCGTTGAGATGGAGATCGTGCTCTTGAACTTTGAGCATGCCAAGCCCAAAGAATCCTTAAACTCCTTAAAGCGTCCAGTTGCTGAGCAGTCAGTGCACCACCTGCCGGTGCCCAGGCGAAGACACACCGCCTCTGATGCCAGTGGAAGAGTCGCTGCAGCGACTGCAGCGACTGCAGGGACCGCCTCCTCCCATGGGACGCAGTTGTCGCTGCCAAGGCATTCCCGCCATGTGCCCGGAAGCAGCTCCAGTCCACCGTCCAATCTCCATAGCCGCGAGGAGTCCATCGTTTTCCCCGAGATGGGTGGCAGTGAATGTCCCCGATCTCGGCAGCACACCTTGTCTGGCGAGCTGCCATCCATGGCCATGGCCTCCCAGACTGTGTTGCCTGAGCCTCAGGAGGCAACTCGCAAGATATGCGAGCTGAAACACCTAGCGCAGTCTGCAGTGGCACGTGGAAGCACCAGGTGATTTGGCGGCAGAATATTCTGAATCACTTCAGGTGTGTAAGTGACAGTGTCCTGCATGCTTGCCTTGCTCCTTGATCTACATGGATGTGCACATGTGCATACATCTTAACCGAAGGAAGTTTAGAAGAGATGAAAAGCAGAGCAGGGCAGAGGCAGAGAGAAGAGAAAGATTAGAAGAGAGAAGAGTAGAAGAGAAAGAGTCAGAAGAAAGAAGATGCAGATGCGCGAAAAGGTAGGAAGTCGCGAAACACTGTGTTTTTCCAATGATTTGAGGCTCCGGAGGGTCGAAAAGTAGGCTCGCTAAAGCGGCGGGTGCGGAGCCAGCTGGCCAGATGAGAGATGAACAATTGCACGCCGTTGTGGCGCGAAGCACATTTCCAAGTCAAAATGTACAAAACACACCAGCATCACACCAGCTTCGGACCACATTTACTAGTTGAGATGTCGAAAAAGTGCACGCCGTTGTGGCGCGAAGCACATTTCCAAGTCAAAATGTACAAAACACTAGGGGTGCGGACCACTTTTGGCAGTTGAGATGTCGAAAAAGTGCACGCCGTTGTGGCGCGAAGCACATTTCCAAGTCAAAATGTACAAAGCACACCAGCATCACACCAGCTTCGGACCACTTTTGGCAGTTGAGATGTCGAAAAAGTGCACGCCGTTGTGGCGCGAAGCACATTTCGAAGTCAAAATGTTAAAAACACTAGGGGTTCGGACCACTTTTGGACGTTCAGATGCCGCTTCGCATGGCAGGCGCAAGGGATTGTGAACCTTGTCAAGAGTGAGCCAAACGTGGGGTTTTGTCGCATTTTCAACTACCACCACCACTACATCACACTACACTCCAATACGCTACACTACACAACAACTACAACTACAACTACACCTTCACTACATTCCACTACACTACACTCCACTACACTACGCTGCACTCAATTACACTCAATTGCACTACACTACATTACACTACACACTACACTCCACTAGACTACATTACACTACACTACACTACACTACTCCCACTACACTTCACTACGTTACACTACACTGCACTCCACAACACTACAACTACGACTACACAACTACACTCCACTACACTCCACTACACTCCACTACACTCCACTACACTCCACTACACTCCACTACACTCCACTACACTCCACTACACTCCACTACACTCCACTATACTAAATTACACTACACTACACTACATTACACTACACTACACTCCACCACATTACACAACACTACATTACACTACCTTCCACTACACTTCGCTACATTACACTCCACTACACTCCACTACACTACAACTACAACTTCAACTACACTCCACTACACTCCACTACGCTAAATTACACTACACTACACTACATTACACTACACTACACTACACTCCACTACACTACACTACACTACATTACACTACACTACGCTACCTTCCACTACACTTCACTACATTACACTACACCACACTCAACTACACTACAACTACAACTACACTCCACTACAGTCCACTACACTAAATTACACTACACTATACTACATTGCATTACACTACACTACACTACATTCCACTACACTACATTACACTGAATGACACTGCGCCACAGATAGACAGGTAGACAAATAGACAGACAGACAGACAGATAGATAGATAGATAGACAGACAGATAGACAGGTAGACAGCTAGACAGATAGACAGATGAAAGAGAGAGAGGGAGAGAGAGAGAGAGAGAGATAGATAGATAGATAGGTAGATAGGTAGGTAGGTAGGTAGGTAGATAGATAGATAGATAGATAGATAATTAATGGTAATTAGATAGATAGATATGTAATTAGATGAAAGAGAGAGAGTGAGAGATAGATCGATAGATAGATAGATACATAGATAGATAGATAGGTAGGTAGGTAGGTAGGTAGATAGTCAGAGAAAGAGAGAGAAAGAGAGGAGGCCTCAAGCACCTTTCGGTCCATCAGTGGCTTCGCTCTGCCATCCCTGATTCACAACAACCAACCTCTCCTATAGGTTTCCAATTTTTGAAACTTCCGCCACCGCCTTGTGCGGTACTACTGGTATATACTTAAGAGCAGACACCGCGCACCTGCCTTGATCACAGGAACATAGCCGCACGCTTGCCATGGTTTGGCCACATGTGTGACTTTCAAATCATTTTGATCCATCCGTTGAATTCCAGCAAGATTGATTACTGGACGTGATGGGTGACAGCTTTCAGGAGGAATTTGTTGGAGGAACTGGTCGCTCGCGTCAATGACCTCAACGCCTGTGCTAATGCACGTGGCAAGGGCCGCAGTGACATGACGGTAGAGGTCTTGGAGGCAGCCGCCAAAGTCTTCCTAGCACAGGCGGGAAGACTCCCATGCCATGGTGGTCACATGTAGTCAATCCATCCAGAAACCGTGGCCAAGCAATGTTTAGTAATGTTTATATAGTACTGGAATATGCTGGATCCATCCAATTTCAGGGCCACACACTTGGGGTATTTGTCGGGGGAAGCAACTGAATCACAGATTTCTCTCTTTCCGTTACCTTCGGAGCTTTCTTTGTAACCAAAGTTCACAGAGCTGTGTTGAGCCGAAAATGTGAAGGACTCTATTTCAACCCCTGCTGCATTGGCCCACGCTGCGTTAGCTCGCAGTGTTTTGGAGGGCTTCTCAGCGAGCGATTTTGTTGATGGCTTCAAATGTTCCATAATCAAAAGTTGGATTGCGTTGGATTATATATCATAAATAATTACCGATGTTGGGGCATGGTCATACCTCCACTAATTAGGGATTTGTAATGGCCAACCCAAGCAGTCCCAAGCAAGGTGGGATGAGCATAAACCGTAAATCAGTAAATCATATAATCATATACCATCATATACCATCATATACAATTTTTTGATCTCCACCCAATACATTCGCTGTGTTGTTGGACGTTCTGAGGTTTCCTTCAGGTTCGCCGCTACCTCTCAGTCGCAGACCTAGCCATCGTGCTTGATGAACCACACCATCGCTGCGAAATTTCAACCATTTCAATTTATGAATCAAAATAACTCAAAATTATCAAATCACCCAAATGAATGATATTCATAGCCAACAAATGCCAACAAAACATTTCACGATGCGAAACAGGATCAAATTTCTGGATCTATTCGTGTCCCTTTGACCCATAGCCATGTGGGCGCCACAGCTGTGATTCCCAGGCTGTCTGTGATCGACTTCTGTGGATCGACCCACAGCTCTGCATGAACGCAGAGCTGGAGAACGCCCTGGTTGCTTGGGAAGATGCCTGGGCCCCTTGGCACTTCGGAGATGCTGATGTGATGCCAACGCCTGATTCCCAGCATTGGTTTAAGAAGGAACGTAAAGGAAGCCGCCTTAACTTTAGTCGGAGGTAAAAGTGCGGATTTTCTGTAAACTTTCCCTTCAACCAATGGACAATTTGACCCTTTGAGCCGCTGGCAGTGGCCGAGCAAGGAATTGGCTTCGTCATTTCTCCTGAAGATGGACTTATGCGATGCCATTTGTGGCGTGGCCGTCCATGCTGCACGAGCCTGTGAGCTCGAGCCGATGCTCAGCTGGAGAACCACAATAACCTAGGGACATCTAGGGACCTACTGTTGATGTAGTGATTCTTACTCGCTTTGAGTATGAGGTCACAGAAATCACAAAACGGCAGTGAAATCCTGAGGAGCTTTGCCAACATGATAGACAATCAGGATGCCGAGCTATTCCTCATTTTGCCCAGGTTCCGATTGCCATTCTTGTTGGGGCACAGACGTTGGTGATGAGTTTTTCACATTTTTAATCATATATGCAGACACATGCAGACACACACACACACAGACATTATATATAATCTGATTCATTTGATCCTATGAATTCACTTGATGTAAATACATGCAAATATCAATCAACAAGTTCAGCTTATCATAATGGGACTTTGCCCTGGTTAAAGATGGATCACTTCGCCAGGCTCGTGCTGCTAAGCGGCCTTCAAAGTGCCCCCAACATGGCCTTGGCACAGTCTCTGATGCCTGACTTGGAGGACTCCCCAGCTCCTGGGGGGGTCCGATGGGCCGGCGAAAATTCCACATCTCGAAAGAACTTATGTTTTTTTTTTATGGTTTGCCAGCTTGCCCTTTTTTGTCTCAGGGGCCTTGGACACATATCCATGAATCCATGATCGTCCATGTGTGTTTGCTTGGCCTTTGCTTGCTGTCATGCTCTTGTCGTGTGGCCGCTGCATGCCCAATGTTGCTCAATTCAGCAGGGGGGGTTCAAGTCGAATTTGCAGGTTGCAACGAAAGACTCGCAGATTGAGACAGGTAGGGGTCTCAGTGATGTGTTGAAGTCAATTGCTTTTCCACGTCCTGTATACATCGTCCTGAAATTGCTGCATGGCTGCGTGGATTGAAGCAGAATTGGTTGATATGCTAAGATGCAGCGGGCGTGGAGCATGGAAGCTCATCCAAGAGGAGCTTGCGGCATTTTCAATGAAGGATATGAAGGCTGCACACATCCTTAATGAAAGCACCAGGCAATCCAACTCACATCCAGATGCCATGGGGACACCATGGGACACCAAGAAAACATGGAGCCATGATATGGTGCCAAGAAATGTCAGCCTGGGTTGGTAGCCCATTGATTTTCAATTAGTTGGTCAATGAATGAAACATGGAACATGAAACTGGGGTTTGCTCTGAAAATGGTTCGCCGGCCCAATGAACCACCCCTTGAGTGAATTCATCTAGGGTTGACCTTATTGGAGATTCAGATAGAAAGTGGCAGAATCGAATAGACATATGTAAATACAGTAATTGCAAATAGATACAGTGGATCATCCAAAAGAGATAGAAAAGAAACATCAACAAAAACCGATGACAAAGTGCTTTCCCATGCTTTCCCTTCCATTTTCTGTTCAACTTTCCACCATTTTTTCCACCTTTCTCTCACCTTTCCCTTTGGCAAAAGGAGTGCCGTGGACCGGTGCCTGGCTGATCTCTTGGTGGACGTGGATTGGGACGTCCTGACGCGGCAAGTCATCAAAGGCGCTCTCTCCGGTTGTGGGTTTGATGTAGAAAATGGGGAAAATGGGGAAAATGATGAGGAAAACATAGGAAAACTAGAACTATGCCACTATGCTGTACAAACATGATTGGAATGGAACAGAGATGAGCATAGACTGTGCCAACACCCTAAATGAAAGGAAATCCTTTCGTAGACTATAGACATCTATAGACCCTCTTCAAGTGGCAAGGGTTATGCTCTGTGGGTTCTGTCGAAGAGATGGCCGATGGGACTTTGCAGCACCACCAGATCGCCTCCTAGTTTAAACAAAGAGGATCTTTATAAAGTGGTTATGAACCCCGACCAAGCACAACGAAAGGGGCTGATTAACCCCATATTGTTGGGACAGTTTCGTTGGGGGTTACTCTGGATTTGCATAATGATGATCTACTTTTTAGTCTATTTGGAGATGTGTAGGCAGTAGCATGAGCCCAGGGATTGTCCTGAGAGATCCTGTGGCACACTTGTTGAGAATTCGATTGCGAGGTCCTGGAAATGCCACTGGAACTCTGGAGGTTCTGCAGGGATTTATGGGATTCCACATTTCCGGCTGGGTAGATGGTTGTTGGACAGGGGTCGTCTCTATGGTTGGGTCTGGTTGGGTCTGGTTGGGTGATCTTCAAATTGGACATTGCACCACCCGATTGGGTGGAGAACGGAGGAGATTCTGTTGGGTACAATATGCAAACTATCATGAGTCAGGTGGCAATGGAGAGAGAGAGAGCGAGAGAGAGAGAGAGATGAGCATATATTGGCATATATAGCATCATTGCGAACGTAACCCTGGGTTGGACTTCTTTGTCAGGCCTTTCTCTTGGAACTAGAAGCATTGAGCATGGAGCTGCAGCGCAAGGAGAAGCTTGTCTGAAAGTATGACAGAACTGAGTTCGCTACCCTAGTGACCTGGTGCATTGCTGGAAAAGCTAGAAACAACTTCTTATATGATGGTATTATGATGGTCAACATCTGGGAGTTCAGAAACTATCAACATATATCAACATATGTCGTCGAAGGAAGTTTAGAAGTCAAACTTCCGACAATATGGACAGATGAAGAGCAGAGCAGGGAAGAGGCAGAGAGAAGAGGAAGATTAGAAGAAAGAAGAGTAGAAGAGAAAGAGTAAGAAGAAAGAAGATGCAGATGCGCGAAAAGGTAGGAAAGTCGCGAAACACTGTGTTTTTCCAATGGTTTGTGGCTCCGGAGGGTCGAAAAGTAGGCTCGCTAAAGCGGCGGGTGCGGAGCCAGCTGGCCAGATAAGTGATGAAAAATTGCACACCGTTGTGGCGCGAAGCACATTTCCAAGTGAAAATGCACAAAACACACCACGTTCGGACCACTTTTGGAAGTTGCGATGTCGAAAAAGTGCACGCCGTTGTGGCGCGAAGCACATGTCCAAGTGAAAATGTACAAAACACACCATGGTCGGACCACTTTTGGCAGTTACACTACCCTTCGCTACATTACACTACACCACACTACACTACATTCCACTACACTCCACTACACTACACTACACTACATTACACTGAATGACACTGCACCACAGATAGACAGGTAGACAGATAGACAGACAGACAGACAGACAGACAGATAGATAGATAGATAGATAGATAGAAGATAGGCTGGTAGGTAAGTAGATAGTCAGAGAAAGAGAGAGAGAGAGGAGGCCTCAAGCACCTTTCGGCCCATCAGTGGATTCGCTTTGCCATCCCTGATTCACAACAGCCAATCTCTCCTATAGGCTTCCTATTTTTGAAACTTCCGCCACCGCCTTGTGCGGTACTACTGGAAATATTACCTTGATTGAAAGGCCATTTGCTTTCCAGAGCAGCCAAGGCCACAGAAATGGAACCGCTGCAGCAGTGTTTTGCTCCACTGCATCTGTGCTGCGTCTCGCCAATGCTAAGAGGTGGTGCAGGAAGTGGTCTCCCATTCGCACCATGCGCGCCATGCGCGCCATGATGGGCACCCCATTGAGAAGTGGGAGCAGGGCCCATCAGTGTAGGTACAAAGAACCCGGAATTTGGCAAGGAATTCATCGGCCTGTGAAGGGGCCTCGAATGGCCTTGGCGACCGATTGGAATTCAAGCAGCGATTCAAGACAAACAGTTCCAACTTGAACTTGGCAAACTCATCGACCAAATGATGCAACATTCATCTCCAAGCCAGTTGACAAGTCCAGCTGAGTCAGTGTCAGTGTCCTGCTGATGAGTTTGCCTCTTGCAGACTGCGTTTGCAAAACATTGCATCTTGCGAAAATTGCCTGAAACACTGGCCACGGAATCCAAGAACCGCAGGGACTGTACAGACTCCGACCTTGCAGTGCATATGTACAGGCATCGGTGCACAACAGCTGTCCGACTGCTTCCAGCCGTTTGCGGCTCGAATTGCTGAGCTCACTCAGACAAAAAAAGAGCGGAAACCTGATCTAAATATGTCCAGATCTTGTATGATGATGCAAGAAGCTTCCCTTCCTTCAGAGTGTCCCCAAAAATCCCCATGGGATATCCCCATTATATCCTCACTACTGGTCGGATTATGGTGGGCCTACTCCAAGTCTCAATGGTCCCAGCTCACGACAGTGCTGTACTGCAGGAGCCGGTGGTGGCGCGCTTCCTTGGCTGGCGTGACAAGGTCGGTCGAACCGAACCCACAAAGATGCTTCTGAGATGATCGTCACACTTGTTATACTTGCTTGTTTTTCTCCTACTCCTTGGTGCATGCATGCATTTGTTCAAGCAAACACATGCACTTATATATTTCTTGATGCAGCCCGTCAAGCAAGCATTTTTCTCCTGGCAAGCACCGGTACTTGAGAATTGGCTAGCGTCAGACTCACCCAAGTTACAGCGCTGGCATGCTACACAGGGCATGGAAGGGCATGGCAAATTGAATCAAAACAAATCAAAAAAAGCCTGAAAAAAGGCCAGAGTATCATATCATCTCCTGTGACTTTGCCCAAGATCATTCTCTGCTGCCTCTTACAACCTCATACTTCTCTTCACGTAGCACATATATATATATATACATATGTATATTATTGTATATATATATGGTTTTACAGCTATAGCATGTTAAAGAATGTCATATCAGATGCCACTGTGCCAACACATATATACGAATGGATGTTGTAGATCATGCGTTCAACCGCCGATGATCTGTCATTGGCCACATCAAATCTTGACGCATTGGCAGCTCAGGGCAGTTTGGGCGAATTTCCGCAGACCAGCGTCTCCTCTGTGAGCACGGATGATGGTGCGGGGCTCGGGGGCAGATGGGCGATGGGTGGTACCCCAATGAAATATGCATTTTTCGCAGTTCTGTAGTTGGGTGCCAAATATTATATATATATAATATTGCATATATCCAAACATATTTATGTATACATATGAGTACATATGTATGTAGCTATAAATAAATAAATATATATATATATATAATATAATAGTCTCTCTATCTCTCTCTCTCTCTCCCTCCCTCCCTCTCTCTCTTTCTATATATATATAATATGTAGAGTATTTATATATTTATTTTTGATTTTATAATTTAACAGAATGAATCATGCGCCGTCCGTGGGTTGCCATGGGTTGCCATGAGACACTCACCTCATGGGCCCAGATGCCAAGGCACCAACCATGACTCGCTGCGAAAAGTCGGACCTCCCCAAGCAATTTGGTCGGACGATGCAACATTGGAAAGCCATTGCCCCAGACATTTTCTGGGCTCAGAACTGGGTAAAGCACCAATGAGTCCACAAAAAGTGGTCAGTTTGGACCAATCCATCCGTTTTCAACAATTTTATTGGGCCAGTAAATTTAACAATATTCCAATAATTGTGACCCATGCTCATTTGAAATTTTGTTCCAAGAACTGGCTGTTGCAAAGCACAAGCAAAGATGTCATTGGCCGCTGCATCAGGAACAGATGGGTTTGACTTTGGAAGCTGCTGGGCTAGAAGATTTATAATTAGCCTAGTGCTTTCATGCATTTTCAGGGGGTTGTTCACAAATGGGATGATCCAAGTTAAGTTTATCCAAATTTTAATGGCAACATGATGATACTGGGGACAGTTCTTGTTTAGCAAAATGATGCTCGTAATAAACAATGGGATTTGGGGTGCACCATTTTCAGACGAACCTCGTGTTTCTGGTACGCGAACGGCCTCCGCCAGTGAGGTTGGTGGGAGGATTATGCTCCCGAGCACGAGCATCAGCCATCCAAATTAAGCAAGGCCATTCCGTACAGATGCTTGTGCTGCTATCCCCTTAGGCATATGTTATGACACGTGCACACAAAGCTTAGATCTACAGGGCCCCCAACATAGAAATGTTGGAAGCTGCAAACATATGAGGTAGGCCCAAGTAGGCAGGCAATACACCCTGGGAAAACATTTCTAGTATATATATATATACGTGGGTTCCCTATCAACTTGCGTAGATAAAATTTAAATTAAATAAACAGGTGTCGGGAAGAACCAGCTGGTAACCATTGGTAACTATGAAACGCTGTAAATCATGGGTTATAATCTATAAACCATGGTATTATATGCTATTATGATGTATTATGTATATAGTATAAATGGTATCTTCTTATAAAATCATAAAAAACCCTAAGCTCATGGATCTTTTCATAAGATAAACTCGGGCAAACCATCCACAGATTGCCAGGCCGAAGTGGTACGGCCCAAGGTTTGCACCTCAGAGCTCCAGCCGGTCTCGCCGTCCACGACAGCTGATCCCCAGGTGCCGCCGGTGGCACCACCAGTGCCGTCCCTGACAGCGACATGTCCTGCGGGTCTGCTGGAGGCGTTCAGGACTCAGGGGCAACTTCGGCGTTTTGCAGACGAGTAAGGACGAGTAACTCGTGTTTAGTGGAGTTCAGGGTCACATTGTTGATATTTCTGTTTCCTTCTACAGAAGTGGGGGAAGTGGACCAACTGCTAAATCTCAGGCTTGATACATGATTGATACCAATTTATCGCAGTTTATCCCCGTCCAAAGAATCCGTGGGGTTGCCGAAGGTTGGAAGCTATGCAGCGGGGAGAAGGCGTGGTCGCGAGCCAGAAGGAGACGCGAACGCCAGGGGTCACGCCAGTGTCGCCAGGCCAGCTTCAGCTCCGGGTAGTACCAGAGTTTGGGATCAAAGAATGAGTGGGTTGATATCTTGAATCTATCTATCTATCTATATATAATATACATAATATACATGCACATTCATACAAACATAATCTATACCTACCTGGCTATATTTATATACAGACAAGCACATACATAGTTGCACACACACATACATAGTTGCACACACACATTATATACGAATGATTATGTATATGTATATGTATATGTGTAGGTGTATATGTATTACTGTAATATATATATATATGTGTGTGTGTATGTGCATATGTATATATGTGAATATGTGTATGTATTTGTATGTATGTGTATGTGTATAGTTAATTTCATGAATGTCTACATCAGCCCATCAGCCATATCAGCCCATGTCAACATCTCTATCCACCATATTTTCGCAGGCCGTCGCGGCCGCTCCCCTTGGATCGGTCCTCGCAAGCCGCGGGCGCCACTGCTGGCAGAGCTGGCGGCGTTGGAACTGGAAGCATCGCCGGGGGAGCCATGGCTGCACCATGCTGCGCCGGGCTTGGGGATTCGAAGCCAATGATAGCTGATTCGTGGGGGATTTAACATGATTTAACCAAGAACAATGGGGATTCAATGGTACCTGATAGATCCTGATAGATGGGATTTCTATGATGTAACCAATAAAGATGGTGATTTATTAGGCATTTCATGGTGATTTTTAGTGTTTTGATTTAACCGCCCTCGGCGTATTCCTCCGGCCACCATGGAAAGAGCAGCTATCCTGTAAGCTGCAAACAGTCCTTGCACAGGCCCAGCAAGAACATGGTTTTTTGTGTAAAACATTGTGTTTGTGGATAACAAAGTTTTTGCATGTTTTTGCGTAAAACGGCTCTTTGTGTAAAAGAGGGTTTGGACGCAAAAATATTGGTTTTGTTCAAACCGCGGTTTAAGTTTAAACCAAAGCATGTGTGTAAACCAGGGTTTTGGAAAAGGCCATATTGAGAAAGGCTTTGGAAAGGGCCATATTTAGAAAGGTTATGCGTGTAAAAGGTGTTCAGCACAAAAGCCAGTGGATCAAGTATTGGCTGTAAGAAGCGACGGAGCAAACGGATGGCAAACACGACAAAAAACGGAAACAACCATCGAAATGACAGCAAGATGTGCAAAACCAAGCCGGCGAGGCGTGGGCAGAGTTGAGCCCACCACAACGTAAGGAAAGATGAAGGCGAAACGAAGAAAAGCTAGGCAGGGGGGAGACGAGGCAAAAATCCGCGCCAAGGGGAGAGTCTAGACAAGAACAAAGACAAAACAGACAGTACAACTACGAACAAGCATGAACAAGCAAGATCCACAAGACACGCTGGCAGGCCGGCGGATTCCCAATAGATGGTTAAAAAGGCCATAATAACCCACTTGTAATCGTGGTTGCCGGGTAATAAATCTTCTACACAGTACATCATCTATTATTATGGGGCTCACAGAATATGGGGGGTTGGCTGAATCCCCCAGGATTCTATGGATGAAAGATGATGAAACATGTTTGCGGAGAATTGTTTCGACCCACAAAATTAAATTGTTCTGAATGAACAATACCCGTGCCTCTCAAACATTCAGCTTCTGATATTCATTGTGTCAGAAAGGGTGCTACATATGAAGGGAACTCCTGGAGAGGGCGATGGAGAGAGAGAGAGAGGTATATATATATATATACACCATACACATATCATTACATATACACATACAGTACATATGCATATGTGTGTATGTATGTAAATAAATAAATTATTTTTTTAAATAAATACATAAATAAATAAATATATATATAAATAAATAAATATATATATATATACATGTGCATATGTGTAAATACACACAGTACATGTATCTATGAATGGCAATCCTGGGATGCAGGATGCTCCACGCAGTATTTCGCCATTGCCGGCTGCAACGGAAGTAGAAGAGGAGGAGGCATTGATGGCTTTGGCAGACCTTAGTGGTTCGGAGCTGCTTGTTTGCACTGACTGAAGTTGGTCACAGGACGAAGTCGAACGAAATCAACGGAAATTCAACATTCGACCTTCCATTTTTCCATGCTTGTCCTGTCAGTAAATTGATCAGTGGTTGAAAGGCAGGTGCGGCCGGACCAATGTTGAGCATACATTCCTGGACCTGGGTAGAGTTGTGTTGTGCTGAGACGCTTTCTTTTCAAAGTCAGAGCTTGGCTGGAGTGCTGGCGTCACTTCATAAGGATCCTTAGAATTTGTCGAGGGAATGCTGCTTGGATGCAAAGAGATGATCTTGCTTGATGCTGAGCGGGCTTGTTCTTGACTTCCAAGGTGCCCTCCGTGCAGAAAGCGCTTGAGCGACAGAATGTGGAAAGAGCGTGGCAAAGAACACGAGTGCGCAAGGCTCACCATAGCTCACCATGGCTCACCAACAGATCCAGCAATCAGCTCAGCCCACCAGCAGAGCCAGGAAGCTTTCAATTTCTGATTGGCTCTGGCAGGAGGAAGCCCAGCGCGGGCGCAAGCGCGCAGCCCATTTCCGACGGAAAGCTGAAAAAGAGGTTGCCCAGAACAAGGCGTGCTGTCAAAGATCAGGAAGCTTTCAGAAAGCTTGAGGGTCAAGTTCCACTTAACAAGTGGATACAAGTGGTATATAGCTGGTGTATTGGTGGACGTTTCGGTGGTGTATAGGTGGTATATAGCCATGTTTCTTGCCACGATGTTGGGGTTATATCCCAACCTATCGGGTGTTGTAACTCCATGGTCGCCACTGAGCCAGGCGGAGGACCAGAGTGACAAGGTGGGACTTATGAATCACGTGTAGATGTCAACCTTGGATTGGCAGACCGGAGGTTGACTAATGAAAGTGATTTACCACAAAAAATAGTGATCATGTGATATCATTCGCATGAATTTACAATCAAAACGGTGAGATAGAATGATTAACAGCCAGGGGGGTTATCAATCCGGGCCCGGGGTTGATGTTACATGTGATATCAGTTATTATCATGCTGCATGTGGCCTTTGCATGTGCTCTCCGAACAGACGATTTTAGGGGAGCGCACCTTTTGAAGGGTGTTCAATCTTGACCATGGGTCAAAATTGAGGTATTACAAGAATTCATTATTAATGGCGGAAAACACAAGAATCAACCCTGCTTTTACTCGAGATGGCTGGGATTGAAACCATCCCCCACTGCTGGCTGATCATTGTGTTTACGACATTTTACGACATCGCTTAAAATGACCACACGTATTTGCAGTCCCTCACAGACTTGGATGAAACACCATGGTTACCGGTATCACTTTTTCCAACTAAACCAACCTATTGAGCTCCCTTGCTCCTCTATTTTGCCAGGCCCGTACCGTCATGCAACGCCTGGAACGGCGTCACGAGCCCATTAAGACGGTGTCCACGCGTCGCCTGAGTTTGAGCATCCTGAAAAACATCGACGAGACCCAGGAGGTCGGGGATTGGACGGCGGGCATGGGCCAAGTTGTTTTTGTGCTTTATGATGATTTAAGATGATTTAACGATGCTTTTACGATGCTTTGCGATGCTTCACGATGGTTTTTGATGCTTTACGATGTTCCGATGATTCACCATGATTTATGATGATTTATGATGATTTACGATGGTTTGCGATGCTTCACGAATTTACAAGGATTTATGATGATTTACGATGATGTACGATGATGTACGATGATGTACGATGATGTACGATGATGTATGATGATGTATGATGATGTATGATGATGTATGATGATGTATGATGATGTATGATGATGCATGATGATGCATGATGATGTATGATGATGTATGATGATGCATGATGATGTATGATGATGTATGATGATGTATGATCATGTATGATGATGTATGATGATGTGTCATGATTTATGATGATTTATGATGATTTATGATAATTGATGATTGTTTTTGATGATTTATGATGATTTACGACAATTTACGATGATGTACGATGATTACGATGATCTATGATGTGTTTTGATGATTTATGCATGATGTTTGTTTGGAAACTATGATGATTTACGATGATGTGCGATGATGTACGATGATTTAAAAAGATTTACGCTGTTTTACGGGGATTTACAATGATTTATGATGATTTATGATGATGTATGATGATTTCTGATGATTTATGATGGTTCATCATGATTTATGATGATTTACGATGCTTGACGATTATTTTTGATGATTGATGATGATCTATGATGATTTATGATGTTTTAAGATGATTTTTGGGGATTTACCATGATTTATGATGATTTATGATGATTTTTGATGATTTTTGATGATTTATGATGATCTTATGTTTTTTTGGTGGTGGAAGTGTTATATGTGTGAGATTTGATGAGTATGACTGTGGCAGCAACAGTGGTGATGTTGTTGTTGTTGTTGTGGTGGTGGTGGTTGTTGTTGTTGTTGTGGTTGCTGTTGATGTTGTTGTTGATGATGCTGATGGTAATGAACATGAGGAGAACGGCACTTATAACTGTTATAGTGATAATATCAACCAGAATAATCCGAGTCATGACTATGCTCTAATAGTATCAACATGTATTGAGTTTTTTTTTCCTCTCTCTCTCGCTCTATGCACATAAGGTAGGTAGGCACAGGTGGGTGTTTTAAATGAGCAGCATGTGCCCCGATGTATTCTCACTTTGGCACAGTGCTGGTCCTATTTACAAGTGGATTACGACCCTACTTGTGGGAACAATAGCGCGCCTGGTTCAACCAATGGGATTGCGGCAAAATGCCAGTGCAACCTCTGAACTTGGAGGACAAAATGCTACATTTCCTTCGCTTTTCTTGCCTCTGACTTACATGACTGGTGATTGTTTGCCTGTTGGCCACGAGTCAATTGCAGCGGAACTGGTCCTTGCAAAAAAACATATTTGAATGATTGGGAGGGGGATAAATACTATATCACTGGCAGGCTTTGAAGCCTCGCACATTGCTTGGATATCATGTCAATTCAAAAGTGTTGTGGAAATCAGACTTTTCACGGCCCTTCCTGCCCTAAGCCTACTACTTCTTCTACATGACAAAAAACAGTTGCCGAGTTGCCCCAATTTAGAAACTCCAGAAGTGAATTTTTTCGATGCCTTTGCAGCTGCTAGGCGCAGGATTCTGAACGGAGGTTCTCCCTTGAAGAGGCTCGATGGATCGGAGCAATTGCTGTGGCCAAGAGATATCTCTTTCTAGCATTTTCTAGGTGTTTTGACGTGGCTGGGTAGGTGAGCCAGGCAATGTCTCATCAGTGGTTTCACATAGTGTTCAACCATGTTCAACCTTTCCTGGTACAAATAGGAAGTATATATCGGCACTGCAGAGGAATGATTTTTCCAATTGTCACTAGTGATTGTTGCTCCCAACTCTCGATTTACAAGAGGGGTATCAGTGATATTCTGGGATTCTCACGAATTGAGCAGATTTAGGATATTTTGTGCATCCATGGTGGCAGCCGTGGTGTTCCTGGTGGCACCTTGACTGGTCATCCAACTTTGGCAGGACTTAGCTCCGGAAGAGCAGCGTGAGTTGTCGGAGCGCTCCCGCAGACTCCGCAAGAAGCCTGGTGGCAGCTCTCTACTTTGGATGTGTCAATGATGAACTGGATATAACTAGTAGTTATGTGTCAAAATTGGCTACTTGATCGATTGCCATAATAGTACAAATGGGTCTCAAAACCTTTAAAAATTGACCCATACCTTGTGGTTTGGCTGTTTGTTTAGATGTTTGGGGAGCCATCTCCAGATGCTCGGATGCGTCGCGTGTCCTGCGCATTTGTTTCTCTGATTCTCTTGTCGGAGGCGCTGTTGTGGCGAGTGTTTGTGAAGCTGCAAAGGTTATCTCGCCGTCTGAGGAAAATCCGTGAAGCAACTCTGGCAGGCATCCGTGACACTTGGCTGCCGGCATCTGTTGAAGCATGTGATAACTGTGTGAAATTTGGATGCAGCTGACCCAGCCCAGTTTTACTGCCTGACTCGTCGGATCCCAAGGAGAAGAAAAAACACGTGGATCGAATGCACCGAAAGAGGCGCTTCAGAGAGGCGTCAGTGGCCACTCCCAATAGCTTGGGCAGGTCGTTGCTGGGCACTGTTTACTTGATAAATTTGATAATCTATTATTATCACATATGATGTCATATGATATGAGTATATATATATATATATATATTATTATTATTTATTATTATTATTATTACTATTATTACGTATTGGCACATATTATCATATGATTATGGTCGCATATCCTATAATTATATATATATATATATCATTTGATCACAGCTGTCGCATATGGTCACACATTATCACATATATGCCCACAATGCACAGAATGACACATATAAATTAAATACTGGGCCATACTCCGGTTGCTAATCATTGATCATTTAAGCCTTTCATGCCACAGGGGTTGCTGCGCAGGGCTGCTGGAAGGCTCTTCCCCATTCCGAGCGTTTTGCCATCGAAGCTGACTCTCGATGCAAGCCACGGGAGAGCTGTAGGGGCTGCAGGTCGTGGGGCTAGACAGTTGAGGAACGCCAAGCTTTAGAATATCAAACAGTGAACATGGATGGACGGATGGATGAATAGGATGTGCAGATAAAACATCATATCATGTAAATGTGTGCAATATAGATGCATGCCATAGCCGCTTGTTTATATCATTTGATGCCAAGGTGTTCAAACTCCACTGCAACGCTTGCAATGCTTTGTCGCCTTCGGCTACGTTGGATGCACTGAGAGATATTGGGCTTCGAGGCTTTCGAATGGGGCGGAGTTGGAACCTGTTCAGATTGGCATCTGAATTTTCAATTTTGCCTCTATTTTCTCCTCCAAACATCCATCCATTCATCACCGTTCCTGGAGACGTCTTAACCAAATCCTGAATCTTGACAGCATTTTGCAGTGCAATACTGTACAAAGAGACAGGGTGGGCACTGGATCACTGATGTTTTGTCAAGGGGGGTTTGTTCAAAACCAGGCCCCCACATTTTCAAAAGTTTGCAATTTATACAAATGGAAAACATGATTCTAAGCTTTTTGCAATCGTGGGCGACCCATTTTAAGATAAATCCAAGTGTTTTGCCTGCAGAAAAGTGCGTTAACCTTCAATCGAGAGGTCGGACCATGGTCGAACGAAACTGTGTCGAGAAAGCTGTCAATACCTTGGTTCGGGATCTCCTTCGCCTCCTGGCGCTTTGGGTTTTTTTGGGAGGGATCTTCGGTGCCAACAACATCCAAAAACAACCAAAAACATCCAAAAAACATCCAAAAACCATAAATGGCTCCACTGAGTATATTATATACTGTGTATATATATATATATAGAGTTAGCTTGGTGGATTTACTCAAGTTTCTCACCTTTTTTGACACGCCCATCTTGAGAACTGCGTGACATCGGAGCGCCATGGCAGCCCAGGAGTCGAGGAGGAGGGGATGTTGGGTGCCTGGGGTTCTGCACCGGAGGGTGAGCCGCAAATTTGGTGGAGATCCGCCAGAGAGAGCCTTGAAAGCGCTTGACGCAGATCAGAAGATGCCCTCTGGTCATTTCACAGTTTTGGAAAATGAGCCACTGGACAGATCTTGAGGGATAAGTTACATTGAGTTAGCTGTTAAACATGGCCATTTTCCATGACCATGATAGTTTACTGGAGGAACTTGAGGGTACACAGACCATCCAGGGAATCAAGGTCGGGTGAAGCTTAATGATTTCGGATGTGTCGTCGATTTTTTGACCCATGGCCGTATCGTCTTCTTGGCTCAACGTAGCAAACCCAACCAACAACAAGGATACCCCGATCACTTGGCTGGATTTATGAATATTATGCCTAATTGTGCACTCTAAGTGGCAATTGAGCATGTTTACCATTGGTAAAACGCTTGCACATTCTCATAGTCCAATTATTACATCCAATTCTTGTGCCAACTAGAAACGATTCCCCAATTGGATTTCACCAAGGGCCTGGCGTTGGGAGGTTCCTATCGTTCCTTGCCTCAGGATCTCTGCTTTGCCTGCTGCCCATCTGGCATCCAGCAAGGTTCCACCCCGGGCTCAGAGTGGGAGGCTCGCTGTTCCTTGGCTGCGCTTGGCTGGTTCAGTTTTCGCTGGCAAAGAATAGGAACAGAGAAGACCGCAAAAAGAGGGAAGATCAACTGGATGAAACATGAACAGAATGACAATGAATGATAAGAATGACAGGCATAATTGCTTGGAACACACCTTTTGTTTTACATCAGATGGCTTTGCAGGCATTCCAAAGCCTTGTCTTCCCGCATGATTTGGTGAGGCCAGGGCCTCTATCTTCCCTGTATCGCGTGGCAGTGTGGGTAGCATGCCATTGATGGGCTTCAAACCCGGCGGGCCGAGTTCGGCAAGGCCAATGCCGATGAACCCGATGGTTGATTTGAGCAGTTTCAACAGCAGTTCATGATTTATGGGGTTCTAAGTTGTATATACATAGTCATACTACCCAAATATCTTCGGGATCATGTTATGATGATCCAATATGCAAGATCACCACAAAAAGCAATCATGATTTGCATGGATTTTTACGATAGGTTGTTGTTGTTGTTGCTGCTGCTGTTGTTCTTGTTTTTAACATTGCTTGATAATTATGTCTTGTTGGATTGCCCATTGGATGGACGCAGGTCGTCCAAGTCCAATGATCATGACTCCACTTCAGCGAAGGAGTGCGTGCCATTCTGTTGGTGGAATCAAAACTCTTTCTCTATATCGGATGTATTATATATATATATTTATTTGATGTTTGTATATATGTGTATTAATTTGCATACGCGCTGCGTACATTTGTCGCATGTATACAGATTACAGAGCTGCGCGCGCGTATGGACATGCATTTGCGAACCAACATCGCGAGATACCATATGTATCCATATGTATCCTTATGTATCCATGTGCCAATATGTGTGTATACTATTGTATACTTGCTGCATTACTTGCTGAAATATCTATCTACTGAATCCACGATAATCCACGCAGGACTTGGCGAAGGCCTTGGAAAAGGCCACCCCGCGGCCCACGGGTATTCCTTTGGAAGCCTTCGGCGCCGAGGCGTGGCTCCTGTCTGCCGATGCAAAAAGGTCTCGGGAAACTACAAGAGTACCAACGACAATTGAGTAATGAATAGATGTATATGATACACACACACATACATTACATATATATATATATACATATTATCACTATATAAATTATGTATATATATATAATATCATTATATATAACTATATATATATATATATGTCCCATTGTTAAAGATGTTAAAGGGTTCTGATAATCCCACCATATCCCGCAAAATTATTATAATATCACATAATAGTACACACAGATTGAACTAGTGGATCAGCAACATCCAAAACTGGGATGGATATTCACCATCCCAGTGGATGCCAAGTTCCGGCCCTGACAAGTTGGTCAGGTCATGCCATGTGCACGCTGGGAACTCTTTGAGCAGAGGACACGCAGTCTGGTGAACATTTAGTCATCCCAGTCTGGTCTGACAAGCTTTGGGGGCTTTGCAACTTTGACTAAGGCTAATATGCCAAACCATGCCAAACCATGCCAAACCATGCCAAACCATGCCAAACCATGCCAAACCATGCCAAACCATTCAATTTTCTCCTTGATGCTAAAGCCAAACTGGGCAGGACGGAGCCGCACTTTCGTCTCTTTGTGCAGGCCTGCTGATGTTGGGTTTGGGAAATGGGGGATATGATATGATGCATTTCTTGGATGTTCTTCCCCGGGGAATTGTCAATGGGTATGGTGTACATGTCCATGTCTGGAATATATCTATATACTGTATAATGATGGGGCTGGCTTATGTATGTCTATTAAAGTCTATTATATTATATATATATATACACACCTCATATCTATATATTTGTTGCACATGTAGAACTCACAGTAACCCACCAATATCCGCCAACCCACAGTACTTTTGGCTAGTTCGATCAAAGATATCAAAGGCATCACACCGACGTCGCCGTGGCCCAGGAAATGGAGACATCCAGAAATCCCAGCGGCATCAGCTACGACCAATTTCAGCACATGATCTCTGAGATGGGCTTGGATAAAGCGAAAGGCCATACTGTGAAGCAGAATCTCAGAATGAGATGCCTTATTTATCTTATTTTTGCTAGAATCGTGTCTGCTGTAGGGGTCCCCCACAAAGTAGAAAATGAGTCGCTACACTGTTGCAGATGTTTCATGACTCTCCACTGTTTCGGAGACCCTTTGCCACCAGAATCGCCAATCACCGCCCGGCTCGGTAGGCCCGCTGCCCCCTGCAATCAAAGGAGGCTCTCAGAAGATCGGGCTGCTTTGTTTGCAGGGACTGCAAAGAGTTTTTGCATCGTTTTGTGGCAAAACACATGTGCCCAAAAGCGGGGATCTGACCAGCTAGCGTGGAGTTTGAAAATCCTCGGAACAACACCAATGAAGTTGAATAGCTGGTACCTAATGAAAATCATCGCAAGAACATCCTCCGAACAAACATGCATGGCACTCTAGCTCCCTCTCTATATACTCTATCTGTGTATCCATCTCTCTCTCTCTCTCTCGTCTATCTCTATACAATCTTACATGCTGTAATCTACATCTAGATCTAATTCAATCGAATCTAGTCTGTCTCCGTCTAGAGGCTGAAATGTCAATTGCCAGGTGAGAAATGTCCACTAGGCCCCAGTTACAAACCATTAAAGTTATCCCGAGGCCAGAGACCTGCATGGATTTGGAGATGGTCACTCGGCACATCTTGGCACTGCTAGTGCTGATATTTTTAGATTCGATGATGGTTTGTAGTTGCTAAATTGTAAATATGCTGTTATATGAATGTTATATGCTGTTTAGTCGAATCATCAGTGGCTTGTCATTTTTCCTGGCAATACCTGTGCAAATGATTTTTGGTTGCCAACACTTGCGCCCTTCCATCGGTTGCAGCGGTGGCACTGCAACGAGGTCCACATTCGCCTGTTGCAATTGGAAGAACGCGCGGCCAGGGAAGCTGCAGCGAGAGAATGGGTTGCTGGGCTTGATATGTAGCAGGGCGACTTAGGGATTCATGCGACTGCAGTCACGCATGGGTTTCGAGAAACTGTTTTAAGGGCAGCAATGAAGACCCTCAAGTCACAGGCCATCAGCAAAGACATAGAGAGGGATTCAGCTGCAAACCTTTCCTAGGCAATTGCGAAGCTGGCAAACGTCAACGATCAACTTTTCAGACAATACAGGCATCCGGGGGCCCCGGGGGTATCATGGGTTCATGCTGATCGGGGGGGGAACCAGGAGAGATAGCATGCAATTACGTTGACGGGACCTAGTTTTGGTGAACCGACATGCTGTTACGCATCAAGTGACGGGGGGACTGGTTCAAAAACGAAGCTACATAGGGACCTTTGAAACAGGCACGAGCTGCTCTGGATCTACGACATGTTCAACTCCCATGATGAGGAGCACTGTGGCTCCTTGGGTGAGTTTGAAGTTCGCCGCCTCATGAAGTACATGGGTACCTTTGCCGGCACAGAGTGCAACAATGGTGGGCATGCAATTGGCCTTTCGAGAACTTACTCTAGTTACTGTGGTCATATAAGAGTGACAAATTAAAGTAAATTAGTATCAACAGTGGTACCTCCCTACTAACCCGGCCTTTATTACTAATCTATAGTCTATACATGTCTATACTAATCACTACTAATCTGGTTTAAGATAGGTCAGGTTAAATTAAACTGACCTGGACCTGAGGTCTTGAACCCTACTTTCGCCATTATTCGCCAGAGAAGCCTGGCTGTGACAAAGAGGCACTGCCGGCCTGCAGTTTTTTTTCTCATCCCCTGCCTGGAAAAAATACGTAAATTGGCAGTGTGCACGATCTAGTGTGTTTCTCACTCACACATGCAATGTTGCACCCGTACATATTTAAGAGACACCACAAACAAACATCCACGCGTACCTCTGTGCACTCAACGGTGTGGGATTCGCCCAATGCCTGAGGATCGAAAAACTCATCAAAGAGGTTGATGCCAACCGTGACGATGAAATTGAACTGACGGAGTTCTTGTCGTTGGTGGGGCATGTACGAAAACTGATGCTTCTTGATTTGAATTTCCGAATTTTGGCGCAGCCTGATGTCAAGAACACATTTGGACCGGCCACAAGCCCTGCTAAACTGAGGATGAAGTTGCGAAAGAGCAGGGTGAGCAGATGCTTTTTGAAGGCAGATCTGGATGCGACCCTCGTGCAAAGTAATCAGGGTCCAGTGCAGCTTGGGTACAGCTTGCCGTCTCTTGCATCGATGTCACGACGTGAAAATGACCATGGCACCATGGTTTGACTCTAAGGACCGAGTGCCTGGCGTATGATCAGATTGTGGCAGCACTGGCTCAGGATCTGCTTTGATACGCTATGCCGCTATGCTTTTGATATCCTTTAGTAATCTTTAGTACTACAGTTCATCCAAAGTTGGAACAGGTCTGAACGAATTCTGCAGGATGGATTGCTGCGGACTCGTGGTGAGTATGCCATAGCGCACAAACTTCTCGATGAGGTGCTGCTGCCATAATTCATACATTTTTTCGTTCAAGTCTTGGGAAAAAACATGCAGAACCATGTGAATACAGACTCTGCAAAGGATGCATTGGGAACCAATGTCAGGAATTTGATTTGAGTTTTGTTCTGCGTGCGGCTGCACGCAGTGACTTGGCAGAGTGTTGCCGCATGGGTCATTTTGTCTGCTTGCTATTGGGGTATGGGTTGATCACCTGATAGCTAGAAAATGGTGTAGATTTCTGTATGAGTTGCTCGGGATCACCATCTAATCTGTCTTCCAGAAGCAGCATTCCAGCTTTGGGTACATTTTGATATTAAAGGGCTACGCCCTCTGCCGCCGACCCCTGGACACTGGAGGGTCATGCCTGCCTCTGTGTCGTAAGCATGAAATGAACCCTAAAGAAACCAGAAACTGACCTAAACAAACCATTTGTATGTGCGTTTGGCACTGTGCACATGCAAGCAGCATGGACCCCTGCAGGATGACACGCACAACTATGTGCTCTGACACTTTTTCATGGCTCAAGAAATAGGAGCTTTCGTCATTGGGCAGGTGTCTTGGGGACCTAAAGGGTTGCTCTAGCACTTAAGACCCGTACCCGAAGCCCCCGTTCGTAACCGCAGTATGAAACTTGAAATGGCATCCTAAAGAGACCCGAGACGACACTGCACTGCCAACTGCCACCCTGCTCGTGTCCTCCTGGAGCCGGCTTTCGTTCTGCACAGCTTCGGTCCAAGCTGGAGTCCAAGGACCGTGTCGCAGGGCTAAAACACCAGGGCAGTGAAGGACGGATTGGGCCCGCGGCCCGTATCCTAGACTGCCAAACGTCACTTTCTGAACCGACTAGAAACTAGCTCCAAACCATTCCAAACCTTGACTTTTCCTGCGTTTCTGCACTGCCAACTGCCACCCTGCTCGTGTCCTCCTGGAGCCGGCTTTCGTTCTGCGGCTCCAAACCTTGACTTTACCTGCATTTCTGCACTGCCAACTGCCACCCTGCTCGTGTCCTCCTGGAGCCGGCTTTCGTTCTGCACCGCTTCGGTCTAAGCTGGAGTCCAAGGAAGGTGTCGCAGGGCTAAAACACCATGGCAGTGAAGGACGGATTAGGCCCGCGGCCCGTATCCCAGACTGCCAAACGTCACTTTCTGAACCGACTAGAAACTAGCTCCAAACCTTGACTTTTCCTGCGTTTCTGCACTGCCAACTGCCACCCTGCTCGTGTCCTCCTGGAGCCGGCTTTCGTTCTGCACCGCTTCGGTCCAAGCTGGAGTCCAAGGACCGTGTCGCAGGGCTAAAACACCATGGCAGTGAAGGACCCCAGACTGCCAAACGTAATTTTCTGAACCGACTAGAAACTAGCTCCAAACCTTGACTTTTCCTGCGTTTCTGCACTGCCAACTGCCACCCTGCTCGTGTCCTCCTGGAGCCGGCTTTCGTTCTGCACCGCTTCGGTCCAAGCTGGAGTCCAAGGACCGTGTCGCAGGGCTAAAACACCATGGCAGTGAAGGACGGATTGGGCCCGCGGCCCGTATCCCAGACTGCCAAACGTCACTTTCTGAACCGACTAGAAACTAGCTCCAAACCTTGACTTTTCCTGCGTTTCTGCATTGCCAACTGCCACCCTGCTCGTGTCCTCCTGGAGCCGGCTTTCGTTCTGCGGCCCGTAGCCCAGAGTGCCAAACGTTACTTTCTGAACCGACTAGAAACTAGCTCCAAACCTTGACTTTACCTGCGTTTCTGCACTGCCAACTGCCACCCTGCTCGTGTCCTCCTGGCGCCGGCTTTCGTTCTGCACCGCTTTGGTCCAAGCTGGAGTCCAAGGACCGTGTCGCAGGGCTAAAACACCATGGCAGTGAAGGACGGATTGGGCCCGCGGCCCGTATCCCAGACTGCCAAACGTCACTTTCTGAACCGACTAGAAACTAGCTCCAAACCTTGACTTTTCCTGCGTTTCTGCACTGCCAACTGCCACCCTGCTCGTGTCCTCCTGGAGCCGGCCTTCGTTCTGCACCGCTTCGGTCCAAGCTGGAGTCCAAGGACCGTGTCGCAGGGCTAAAACACCATGGCAGTGAAGGACGGATTGGGCCCGCGGCCCGTATCCCAGACTGCCAAACGTCACTTTCTGAACCGACTAGAAACTAGCTCCAAACCTTGACTTTTCCTGCGTTTCTGCACTGCCAACTGCCACCCTGCTCGTGTCCTCCTGGAGCCGGCTTTCGTTCTGCACCGCTTCGGTCCAAGCTGGAGTCCAAGGACCGTGTCGCAGGGCTAAAACACCATGGCAGTGAAGGACGGATTGGGCCCGCGGCCCGTATCCCAGACTGCCAAACGTCACTTTCTGAACCGACTAGAAACTAGCTCCAAACCTTGACTTTTCCTGCGTTTCTGCACTGCCAACTGCCACCCTGCTCGTGTCCTCCTGGAGCCGGCTTTCGTTCTGCACCGCTTCGGTCCAAGCTGGAGTCCAAGGACCGTGTCGCAGGGCTAAAACACCATGGCAGTGAAGGACGGATTGGGCCCGCGGCCCGTATCCCAGACTGCCAAACGTCACTTTCTGAACCGACTAGAAACTAACTAGCTCCAAACCTTGACTTTTCCTGCGTTTCTGCACTGCCAACTGCCACCCTGCTCGTGCCCCCCTGGAGCCGGCTTTCGTTCTCCGGCTCCAAACCTTGACTTTTCCTGCGTTTCTGCACTGCCAACTGCCACCCTGCTCGTGTCGTCCTGGAGCCGGCTTTCGTTCTGCACCGCTTCGGTCTAAGCTGGAGTCCAAGGACCGTGTCGCAGGGCTAAAAAACACCATGGCAGTGAAGGACGGATTGTGTCGGCGGCCCGTATCCCAGACTGCCAAACGTCACTTTCTGAACCGACTAGAAACTAGCTCCAAACCTTGACTTTTCCTGCGTTTCTGCACTGCCAACTGCCACCCTGCTCGTGTCCTCCTGGAGCCGGCTTTCGTTCTGCACCGCTTCGGTCCAAGCTGGAGTCCAAGGACCGTGTCGCAGCTAAAACACCATGGCAGTGAAGGACGGATTGGGCCCGCGGCCCGTATCCCAGACTGCCAAACGTCACTTTCTGAACCGACTAGAAACTAGCTCCAAACCTTGACTTTTCCTGCGTTTCTGCACTGCCAACTGCCACCCTGCTCCTCCTGGAGCCGGCTTTCGTTCTGCACCGCTTCGGTCCAAGCTGGAGTCCAAGGACCGTGTCGCAGGGCTAAAACACCATGGCAGTGAAGGACGGATTGGGCCCGCGGCCGTATCCTAGACTGCCAAACGTCACTTTCTGAACCGACTAGAAACTAGCTCCAAACCTTGACTTTTCCTGCGTTTCTGCACTGCCAACTGCCACCCTGCTCGTGTCCTCCTGGAGCCGGCTTTCGTTCTGCGGCTCCAAACCTTGACTTTACCTGCGTTTCTGCACTGCCAACTGCCACCCTGCTCGTGTCGTCCTGGAGCCGGCTTTCGTTCTGCACCGCTTCGGTCTAAGCTGGAGTCCAAGGACCGTGTCGCAGGGCTAAAACACCATGGCAGTGAAGGACGGATTGGGCCCGCGGCCCGTATCCCAGACTGCCAAACGTCACTTTCTGAACCGACTAGAAACTAGCTCCAAACCTTGACTTTTCCTGCGTTTCTGCACTGCCAACTGCCACCCTGCTCGTGTCCTCCTGGAGCCGGCTTTCGTTCTGCACCGCTTCGGTCCAAGCTGGAGTCCAAGGACCGTGTCGCAGGGCTAAAACACCACGGCAGTGAAGGACGGATTGGGCCCGCGGCTCGTATCCCAGACTGCCAAACGTCACTTTCTGAACCGACTAGAAACCAGCTCCAAACCTTGACTTTTCCTGCGTTTCTGCGCTGCCAACTGCCACCCTGCTCGTGTCCTCCTGGAGCCGGCTTTCGTTCTGCGGCCCGTAGCCCAGAGTGCCAAACGTTACTTTCTGAACCGATTAGAAACTAGCTCCAAACCTTGACTTTGCCTGCATTTCTGCACTGCCAACTGCCACCCTGCTCGTGTCCTCCTGGCGCCGGCTTTCGTTCTGCACCGCTTCGGTCCAAGCTGGAGTCCAAGGACCGTGTCGCAGGGCTAAAACACCATGGCAGTGAAGGACGGATTGGGCCCGCGGCCCGTATCCCAGACTGCCCAACGTCACTTTCTGAACCGACTAGAAACTAGCTCCAAACCTTGACTTTTCCTGCGTTTCTGCACTGCCAACTGCCACCCTGCTCGTGTCCTCCTGGAGCCGGCTTTCGTTCTGCACCGCTTCGGTCCAAGCTGGAGTCCAAGGACCGTGTCGCAGGGCTAAAACACCATGGCAGTGAAGGACGGATTGGGCCGCGGCCCGTCTCCCGACTGCAAACGTCACTTTCTGAACCGACTAGAACGAGCCCAAACCCTTGACTTTTCCTCCTTTCCTGCGCTCTGCATTGCCAACTGCACCTGCTCGTGTCCTCCTGGAGCCGGCTTTCGTTCTGCACCGCTTCGGTCTAAGCTGGAGTCCAAGGACCGTGTCGCAGGGCTAAAACACCATGGCAGTGAAGGACGGATTTGGCCCGCGGCCCGTATCCCAGACTGCCAAACGTCACTTTCTGAACCGACTAGAAACTAGCTCCAAACCTTGACTTTTCCTGCGTTTCTGCACTGCCAACTGCCACCCTGCTCGTGTCCTCCTGGAGCCGGCTTTCGTTCTGCACCGCTTCGGTCCAAGCTGGAGTCCAAGGACCGTGTCGCAGGGCTAAAACACCATGGCAGTGAAGGACGGATTGGGCCCGCGGCCCGTATCCTAGACTGCCAAACGTCACTTCCCGAACCCGACTAGAAACTAGCTCCAACCTTGACTTTTCCTGCGTTTCTGCACTGCCAACTGCCACCCTGCTCGTGTCCTCCTGGAGACCGGCTTTCGTTCTGCACAAACTTCATGGCAGTGAAGGACGGATTAGGCCCGCGGCCCGTATCCCAGACTGCCAAACGTCACTTTCTGAACCGACTAGAAACTAGCTCCAAACCTTGACTTTTCCTGCGTTTCTGCACTGCCAACTGCCACCCTGCTCGTGTCCTCCTGGAGCCGGCTTGCGTTCTGCACCGCTTCGGTCCAAGCTGGAGTCCAAGGACCGTGTCGCAGGGCTAAAACACCATGGCAGTGAAGGACGGATTGGGCCCGCGGCCCGTATCCCAGACTGCCAAACGTCACTTTCTGAACCGACTAGAAACCAGCTCCAAACCTTGACTTTTCCTGCGTTTCTGCACTGCCAACTGCCACCTTGCTCGTGTCCTCCTGGAGCTGGCTTTCGTCCTGCGGCCCGTAGCCCAGAGTGCCAAACGTTACTTTCTGAACCGATTAGAAACTAGCTCCAAACCTTGACTTTTCCTGCGTTTCTGCATTGCCAACTGCCACCCTGCTCGTGTCCTCCTGGAGCCGGCTTTCGTTCTGCACCGCTTCGGTCCAGTCCAAGCTGGAGTCCAAGGACCGTGTCGCAGGGCTAAAACACCATGGCAGTGAAGGACGGATTGGGCCCGCGGCCCGTACCCCAGACTGCCAAACGTCACTTTCTGAACCGACTAGAAGCTAGCTCCAAACCTTGACTTTTCCTGCGTTTCTGCACTGCCAACTGCCACCCTGCTCGTGTCCTCCTGGAGCCGGCCTTCGTTCTGCACCGCTTCGGTCCAAGCTGGAGTCCAAGGACCGTGTCGCAGGGCTAAAACACAATGGCAGTGACGGACGGGTTGGGCCCGCCGCCCGTATCCCAGACTGCCAAACGTCACTTTCTGAACCGACTAGAAACTAGCTCCAAACCTTGACTTTTCCTGCATTTCTGCATTGCCAACTGCCACCCTGCTCGTGTCCTCCTGGAGCCGGCTTTCGTTCTGCACCGCTTCGGTCCAAGCTGGAGTCCAAGGACCGTGTCGCAGGGCTAAACACCATGGCAGTGAAGGACGGATTGGGCCCGTGGCCCGTATCCCAGACTGCCAAACGTCACTTTCTGAACCGACTAGAAACTAGCTCCAAACCTTGACTTTTCCTGCGTTTCTGCATTCCCAACTGCCACCCTGCTCGTGTCTCCTGGAGCCGGCTTTCGTTCTGCACCGCTTCGGTCCAAGCTGGAGTCCAAGGACCGTGTCGCAGGGCTAAAACACCATGGCAGTGAAGGACGGATTGGGCCCGCGGCCCGTATCCCAGACTGCCAAACGTCACTTTCTGAGCCGACTAGAAACTAGCTCCAAACCTTGACTTTTCCTGCGTTTCTACACTGCCAACTGCCACCCTGCTCGTGTCCTCCTGGAGCCGGCTTTCGTTCTGCGCAAACTCTTCGCCCCTTCTGGCATCTTGTTGCTAGTAAGGCCTCCTCTGACGCGCTCCCCCTGCTGACGGCAGGGGTCGGCGGATTTCAATGAAACTCATTGGGGGGAATTAGGGCCTTAGGGATTATCATGATCCAACAAAAAGTGTTTTTGTTTGTCCCAGATGTTTGACTTCGAATCGCAGATTCTCCCTGGAATTCTCCCTCTTCCCAGGTGACGTGGAATATCACGAGGGTTTGCATTTGGGCTATCGCAATGGCGATTTGGATCCTGCCTTCCACTTTGGCCACGGGTCGCTGGGACTTGGCAAACGGGACACTGTGGCCTGTCGTGGGCCGCGTTACTACCTTGGTTGGTAGTCAAATGGTATATGTAAGGAATATATTGACATTATTTGGACAATATGATATAGAATATGCATAACTAGTACATCAATGTACATCATATATATATATATATATAGATACAGTATATACATATTGTATAATATGGTATACACTTTATATTCAACAGTGCATAATTGCATATGCAATGGTATATGCCATCTTGCAAAGTTATATTAGATATATATATATATATAAATATACACTATAATCTACTATTACAGAGTCATATGCACATCTTTGGCTACAAATCGGGGTACATAACAGACCCCTCATGAGTTGTTTTGTATTTTTGTTGACTTTGGGGGTTATCGCCCTTCTGGAACAATGTCCATTTGGATGTTGTTCTTGTGTCAATAATTATGGGTTCTCTCACCACTGTTCCAGTTGCTCCAAATATCTACCATTCAAGAAATGCAGACTTGCAACACTATCATACATGGGTAAACAAAAACTGAAAACTTTGCCAAATGGCGATGAACAAGAAGGAGAACTTGACGATAAACCGGTGGAAAGGGCTATCCTATCAGACAAAGCCAAGTCCATGCTGAACCAAATCATACAGTATATATATAGGTAGAGTATAGGCACGGGCAGCACAAATAATTACTGGCACAATTCAGAGCCATGAACGAGTGTACCTACTTACAAATACACATATTATATATATATATATATACATAAGTATAGTATATGTATTTAAAACATATCTTATTGAGATGCCTTGTGTGCTAGTTGTGCTTTCTAGACCTTGGTTCATCTGACTTCAATAGTGACCAGTCATGATCATACCCCAGCAGACTTGATACCCTAGGCCCTAAGCTCAGGACCAGCTCCCTTTCACCATGTGGTATGCCACAGTCACAATCCCAGTTTTTGCAACCATGACTGGACGTCCAAAACCAAGGGGAAGTTGGTTTCCCATCAGATCCAAAAAGATCAACCCGGACCCGTTTCCCGGCTTCCCGGCCGGCTTCCCATCCTCCGCATCTCAGGCTTTCCTACACTCGTTTTGAGCACAGTGACTTGCAGGTGCCGCGCAGGTGAAGCCAATTACACCGGTTGTTCCATGGCCCAAACATAGGAAGAAAAGGTAAGAAAAGGGTGCCCCTTTGGTAATTGAACATAGGGAATTGGATGAACATGGCAAGTGTAGTTTGATGAGGACCTGAAAAAAACCTATCCATTTTTGTTCCCGTAGTAACAATGTTACTTGATCAGAGGGCAACAGGGCAACATCTCAGCTGGGGCTCAATGAACTGACCTCAAAAAAGACCTGTATCATCCACCCATTTTCGTACACCTGGTTGGTGGTTTCAAACATTTTGTTTTATGTTCCATGATAATTATATGGGATAATCCTTCCCATTGACTTTCATATTTTCAAGATTGTTAAAACATGTTAAAACCACCAACCAGACACTTAAGGGAACAAATGAAGCAATCTTTCGCACAACGTCATCTTCACGACCTGTAGCCATGACCGACGGAACCTGGGGTGAAACACTGGCAACAACCGTGTATTGTATCTATAAACATACTGTATATATATTTATGTACAATAGATATATTAGAACACAGCAGAACAGAACAGAACAGAATAGAATGCAACAAATAGAACGGAGTAACATATAATAGAATCAAATAAAATAACTAACAGGGAATAGGCATGAATAGACTAGAATAGACTAGCATAGATAGACTAGAATAAACTAGAATAGACTAGAATAGAATAGAATAGTGTAGAATAGAATGAAATAAAATAGAAAAATAGGACAGATCTTGAATAGAATAGAATCGAGTAGACTAGATACATAGATAGATAAATAGATCGATAGATAAATAGATAGAATATAATAGAATATGATCCATACAATAGAATAGAATAACATGAAATTACAGTAGATTAGAATAGAATAAAACGTTATTAGATTAGATTCGGTTAGATTATATAAATATATCAGATAGATAGATACAGACGTATCTGATACTACATGTTTGTACGTGAGTTCTTCTGAACGTCGAGTCCTATTTAAACATAGGGTTGTTCAGTTCTGGAAAAAAACAACATGTCAGTCAGCCTGACAAGTTTGTCAGCATGGTCAAGTCACCCGGTTGAGCTTGTTCATGTAAATATCTCGTTCCATAGGGTTGCAGCTTCATGTCTAACGTTGCATCCTCATGTTTCGTGGTTTTGGCAGCCGCATGTTTGTTCTCTGCGAATGTTTGTGGGCTACGTCCACCTTTTTTCTAGGTCACACTGCTCGCAGGTGGTGGAGTTGTTGAGGATTTTTGTTGCTTAACAAGACAATTGTGTCGATCATAACCCTGCCTCTAGTTGCTGAAATCTACGATTCTATGGATGAACAATGATGAACAACATCGAAGAACATAAGAAAAAAGAAAGGAACAAGTGAAAATATAGTGAACATATATGTTGGATTGATGCACGTTTTCATCATGTTGTATCTTAAAAATGTTTTTTTCTTGACCACGTCTCCTTGGTTCATCTGCAGCGATCTCATCGCAGGTGGAGCAGAAAGCCACAATGGCCACCGTCACCCTGCAGGTGATCAAAAGGGCTGGGAAAACCTGGGAGAACCCATCGAATTGAGGATTTTCCATGAATTTTCCATGGTTTTTCGATTGGTTTAAGGGATTTTCAATTTTCTCAATGAGAATTTCCATGGTTTGAGGTCGAATACTCAGAGTTTTCCATTGGTATCTTTAAGTCCAATCAAAAACCATACAAACCTTCATGGAATCATTGTTCCTAAGGGGAATCACCCGCAATTGTCCGATCTTGGGTTGGTAAAATACTACCTACTGCTGTTATCCGCATTCTACCCTTTGTGCTGCAGTTGTGCTTTATTTTTTATTTACTCCCCTACAGGATTACATAGAAAGAAAATGAGGTTCCATGTTAAGACACCTTTTTTTTGCGCGTTTGTTCCATGTTAAGGTCAAAACATGCAAAAAAATGCTTTCGCACGCTAACATAGAACAAGGTAGGGTGAACGTTCTAAGTACCAAAAAATGACCACATAAATTTAACATGGAACAGAAATTAGCCAATCCTACATTAACATGGAACAATTTCAGGTATGTTGATATTTTTCTTAAATTTTTGAAGGTGAAAATTGGCCCCGCAATCATTAACATAGACCCTGTTATGGAAAAAACATTTTTCCCGCCATGTTCCATGTTAAAACTTGTGGAGCTCTGGAGGGGCATCTTCGAAGGTGAGAATTGGCCCCGCAATCATTTACATAGACCCTGTTATGGAAAAAACATTTTTTTTCCTGCCATGTTCCATGTTAAAACTTGTGGAGCTCTGGAGGGGCATCTTCGAAGGTGAGAATTGGCCCCGCAATCATTTACATAGACCCTGTTATGGAAAAAACATTTTTTTTCCTGCCATGTTCCATGTTAAAACTTGTGGAGCTCTGGAGGGGCATCTTCGAAGGTGAGAATTGGCCCCGCAATCATTTACATAGACCCTGTTATGGAAAAAACATTTTTTTTCCTGCCATGTTCCATGTTAAAACTTGTGGAGCTCTGGAGGGGCATCTTCGAAGGTGAGAATTGGCCCCGCAATCATTTACATAGACCCTGTTATGGAAAAAACATCTTTTTTCCTGCCATGTTCCATGTTAAAAATTGTGGAGCTTTGGAGGGGCATCTTCGAAGGTGAGAATTGGCCCCGCAATCATTAACATAGACCCTGTTATGGACAAAACATTTTATTTCCTGCCATGTTCCATGTTAAAAACTTGTGGAAGTCTGGAGGGGCCGCAATCATTAACATAGACGCTGCTATGAAAAAACACATGTTTTTTTCCGCCATCTTCCATGTTAAAACTTGTGGAATTCTGGAGGGGCATCTTCGAAGGTGAGAATTGGCCCTGCCATCACAGGGGTCATTAAAAGACCTGATCTGACCAGATTGGACATCACTTTTTATCATTATTCTTTTTGATTTGGTTTTGGATTTGGTTTGGGATTTTGTTTGGAAATATCTTCTTACATATCATTGGGGGGGGCAGGGCGTCAGTGAAAATGTCATCAACACAGTACATACTTAGTGAAAACCACTTTGAAAACCCTTAGAAACACCATGACGTCTTAACATGGGTCTATGTTATCCTGTCGGAGTACAGTAACATGGACATGGGGGGAGCAATTGCCCGCTTCTGTTGCAATCTTGGCTGAGAGAAACATTGTTATACGGGACACATATCCTGCGGAAAGAGGCAGCTGAGTGGGCTGGGCCTGGAGGTCAGTGGTTTTGGATTTTTAAGCGTGCTGGAATCACAAACATTTTTTTTTTTAAATGGGCAATACTGGAAAGGGTTGGAGCCATTCATCAGCTACTGTAAGTACCACTGCATGGGGCTTTCTCCAAGCAATGATACTGCAATCCTTTTTACAGCACTGTATTGTATCTACTGGTTTTTATTTACTGTACTGTGCTTGTTTGAGAGGTTGGTCGGTCGATCGATTTGTCGTTGAGATGCTGTGATGGTGTCTCCCACGAGATGCCGCGATGGTGTCTCCTATTTTACCACAAGAGATGCCGTGATGGTGTCTTCTATATTGACACCAAAAATGCTCCAAATGAGAAGTTTTAAATAAAGAATTTAATTGGAAACACATATTTCATCATCTCAAAATTCAGGACTGAGCCGGTTGGACCCCAATACCCCCCCAATGGTTGACATGGAACAGGCCAATACAGTGCCCCAACCGGTGAGTTTTATTCTATTGTGCTGTAATCATTGATTTTTGAAGTACAGCATTTCTTGTACAGTAGTCAGGTTCTATTTTTTTTCTACCGTATGTGTTTTCCCGAACATGCCCTGCTTTAACATGGAACAGATGGTCCGTTTGGGACTGTATGTACTGTATGTACTGTACTTCACTGTACTGTAGGACCATGTCTCTCATGTTGGCTGAGGTTTGGCCCTTGCCCGACATTGATCTTCAAAACTTCCAAAGCCCGTCGGTGTCCCCAACGGCAGCCAGAGTTGGAGAGTTTTGTGGAGTAACTTACAGTACCCAGCCTTTGCTCATACCCATGTGGAATTGGAGGAATGATACATAATATTGTCATTGGAAAAACAAACACCTTGTTCATGACAGTCAAACATTCATTGTTTCCAGGCTTGGGTTGCATAGTCAATGGATAGTTTGGAGCAAATCTGAAAGAATGGAATTACAGTATACTGTACTGTGCTTCGGGCCTCTTTTTGGAGATTACTGTACTGTATCCAGTGTAGTGCGCTGACTGGTGACCATTGCCACTACTGTGCTTTCGTCCATTGCAGCCGGGCTCTTTTTAAAAACACGTTCTGTACTGTAGGTCAACTTTGTACAGCATTCATGTGTGTTTTCTTCTCACCTACTGTAGCCGTCATGCGCCCGCGCACACACACATGTTACTGTAATGTACTGTGCTGTAACAAACACGCCACAAACCAACACCAAAGACTAAGACAGAAAGCACAGGAGGCCACGCTGACGCTGAACAATGGGACTCCACCAATAACACTGCCACAAATCACAAAATTCAATTCTCCCTCATTTACCATAGCCATGGCAAGTAAGGAGGTCGCAGAGCGGAAGAAGTATGCTGAAAAAAGCAGACCGGAGAAGAGGAAGACATGGGAAGAGGAGCAACAGTCAACTGTTCGTAGAAAGAAGGTAGATATCTGGTGGAAGGAGGATGGCAAAACGGATGCAGAAATGAGGATAATGAAGAGGAAGACAGCAGAGGAAGAAGAAAGGAGGAGGAAGGCAGAAGAAGCAGAAAAGCAGACGAAGGCAGAAGAGGCCGGGAAGAAGGAGGCTGTGTTGGAGAAGGAGGCTGCAGAGGCTATTCCATCACCTTCGCACCGTGGTATCATTGACAAAACTGTTCTACTGGTGGCCAAAGGTGGAGATGAATACGAGGTAAGGATCTTGCGAGAAATGAGCCACACCAGGTTCGATTTCTTGTTCCCCAACCATCCATACAGACCGCAATACGAGCAAAAAAAGGAAGAGGCCAAGGCAGCAGTTGCAAAGGCTAAAGCTGCAAAAGCATCCGAAGCCCAAGAGAAGCGGACGGCAGTAGAGGAACAAGAAAGGATGAGGAAGGCAGAAGAAGTCGAAAAGCAGAGGAAGGAACAGGAAGGCAGAAGAGGCCCGGAAGAAGGAGGCCAAAGAAGAAGCAGAAAGGAAGAGGAAGGCAGAAGAGGCCCGGAAGAAGAAGGAGGCCAAAGAAAAAGCAAGGAAGAGGAAGGCAGAAGAGGCCCGGAAGAAGAAGGAGGCCAAAGAAGAAGCAGAAAGGAAGAGGAAGGCAGAAGAGGCCCGGGAGAAGGAGGCCAAAGAGGAAGCAAGGAAGAGGAAGGCAGAAGAGGCCCGGGAGAAGGAGGCCAAAGAAGAAGCAAGGAAGATGAAGGCAGAAGCGGAAGCCCGGAAGAAGAAGGAGGCCAAAGAAGAAGCAGAAAGGAAGAGGAAGGCAGAAGCGGAAGCCCGGAGGAAGGAGGAGGCCAAAGAAGAAGCAGAAAGGAAGAGGAAGGCAGAAGCGGAAGCCCGGAGGAAGGAGGAGGCCAAAGAAGAAGCAGAAAAGCAGAGCAAGGCAGCAGAGGAAGAAGAAAGAAACAGGAAGGCAGAAGAGGCAGAAAAGAAAGCGGCAGGGCAGTTCAATGCCGCTGTAGCAAAGATGTTGGAGGGGGAGGCTCTGATCAAGAGAGAGCAGGAGGTCAGGAGGCATCAGAGAGAGGAGGAGGATGCAGAAAAAGAGATTGATGAGATGGTGAAGGAGGCTATGAAACATGTGAATGCTGAGGAGGAGGATCAGGATGATGATGAGGAGAATGAAGAAGAAGACGAGGAGAAAAAGCTTCAAAGCAGCCAGGTGCACTCCAAAGGAAAGAGACCATGCAAGATGAAGTGCAAAAAAAGAAGGGAAACGAAGCGGTTCAAAGAGGCCAAACAGGTCCAGAAGGAGTACCGGGCTAGGCTTGGGACGGTCTGGGAATAGCAGGGTTTCAATGTACTTTACCGTGTTTTACAGTAGTGTACTATTCCTGAATCCTGAAGTTCCGTGTTAAATGTTATTGTAAGAACAAGTCCCCCATGTACTGTACAGTGCTGAATTCCATGAAGTACTGTACTGTTGCTGTACTGCATGTGCTTTACCAGCATTGTGCTGGACTAGAAAACTCGAACTGTCCAAGTCGCTTGTGGAAACACATCAGCCACAAATATTCCATGTGAATGAAATAATGATATATACATCAGTACAGTACAGTACAGTAATGCACGGTAGAAGAAATGATTTCCCATTTTGGGGCGACACTATGATTGTATTGTTTTTCTTTTCAGTAGGGAAAACATATGAACTTTGGTGGGTGTCCTTCAGGAAATCCAAAATCATCATTAGTGCAAAAGGCTGCTGTCCTTTTGAAATCGATTTGTTTTGCTTTCCTTCCAGAAAACTGTCATTAGCGCCACGGCTGTTCCATGTTAATGTATTGCTGCGTGTCTTTGGCATTTGTTGTACCGTACTGTAATGTTGGATGG